AAGCCTCATGGCGTAATAAGCTTAAAATGGATGCTGCTAAGCATAAACATTACGTAATAAGCGCCTAAAATAAGTGCTACTAAGCCTAAAGATGGCGTAATAAACCTAAAATGTGTGCTGCTAAGCCTAAACATGATGTAATAAGCCTAAAATGTGTGCAGCTAAGCCAAAAAATAGCGCAATAAGCCTAAAATGTGTGCTGCTAAGCCTAACCTATGCGGAATAAGCCTAAAATCTGTGCTGCTAAGCCTAAGATTATGTAATAAGCCTAAAATGCGTCATGCTAAGCCTAAAATGTGAACAGATAAGCTAAAACATTATGTAATAAACCTAAAATCTGTGCTGCTAAGCCTAAACATGGCGTAATAAGCCTAAAATGTGCGTTGCTGAACCTAAAATGTTTGCTGATAAGCCTAAACATGGCGCAATAAGCCTAACTTCTTTTTGTTTACTTCAGCCATGCCGAAACACAGTCTTAATAATCTTTCTATAAATTTAAGCTACACAATCCTATTGTGCTCTAGACTTAGCTAGCACTGTACTTTTAGCTAACCTAACATTACTCTAGACTGTACTATTCCCCGTACCCTTTGCCCTCGCGTTAACCCTCCCAAAACAATGTGGTATTAAAGGTGCAAATGGCTTAACCTTTACGACAAACGATCTCCGCTAAATTTACAATGTTTGCAGTGATATAGACGTGTGTTTACCGTTGAAAAAACCCGTATAACCAAAAAACAATAAAAGTAAAAATTGTTGCGCAATTTGTAATCATTGAATAGTTGAAAAAGGGAAAACAGGTGGACTGGACTGGCTAGCTTAAGTATGCTTTAGAAAGAGTGATAAAATGGTCAATTTTGGGGCTTTAAAAATGATTTTTCAAGTTTTAAAATGATTTTTAAAAATTTAAAACAATTTTTAAAATTTCAAGTTTTTAGGCTTACCTTAAATAGTTTTAGGCTTATTTAAGTAAAAATACTGCCTAGATTTATCTTAGGCTTAAATGATTTAAAAAATTAGTTAAGCTTCAAGGTTTTAAAATAATTTTTGAAACTCCCCAACGGTTTTAGGCTTATTCTACCCTCAACTAGTTTTTAGGCTTAATTTAGGCAAAAATACTTCTTAGACATGTTTTAGGCTTACATCATTTTCAAACTTCTGTTAAGCTTCCAGGTTTTAAAATGATTTTTAGCTTTTAAAAATACAAAACCGTAGCGCTTGATCAAGTGCCTTGTACTAAAAATATCATCGATAAGATCTCGGGAAGAATCTCTGTGAAATAAGCTCAATGATAACAAGATAACATCAACTTACTGCTCTTTTAGGTGATGTTTGCAACAAAACAACATCTGATCTTCAAAAGAAATTAAAATTTAACTGTTAAAATAATTTTATCCTCTCTTCATTGTTCAAAAATTATTGTGCCCATCAAAAGTTCAGTCCTTTTTTCTTGAAAACATGATAAAAATTTGCATTTTTTAATTTACAAAACCAAAAATATTTACATTCAATAACATAAACATTACTTTTTTAATAAAAAATAGCCGTCTCAAAAAGCTCGCCCACTAAAACCCCTCCAAAACCACTAAAACAGCTAGCCGATTGTCTTGCGTAATCGGTCGAGATCGCCGTTGGAAAAGGCTCAAGATTCCATCCCTCAACATCTGAAGCGTTCGTCTCCAAACATTGAGGGATGGATCGAATTGAAAACATTTTCATCGACAAAATTCATCAACACAAAAAAGTCATCGACCAATTGATTGACAAAAAATTCGTTCTAATTTCGACTATGCGATTACAATAAGCGCGAACATAAAAATTGAAGCAGATTCTGATGAATAAAACTCTTTTTTTTTTGTTTGCTGATTGCATAACATTAAACGGGGATATACACGGAGGAGCGAGATCGAGCCGATCTTCCGAAAATGATTAATAAATCAGGCAGGGGATGGAAAAAATGTTTAAAAAAATGTTGAAAAATTATAAAAATGTTGAAAAAGAACAACATACGGTGAAACCTCTGTATAACGAATCGCTAGAAGATTTAAAATTTTTTCGTTATAAAGAGGTTTCGTTATACAGGGGTTTTAAATGCACTGTGCAGTGTTTGTTAGCCGGTGATTCCCAAGTTGTTCGTTATATAAGGGTTTCGTTATATAGAGGTTTCTTATACAGAAGTTCCTCACAGGAACGTCGTTTGGGGGAGGTGATACGGGGGGGGATATCACCTCCCCCAGAGCTAATCCGGTAAAAATTCCACAGGTACGCAAAAATAACAAAAAGAAATTTTTTTGTAAAATCGGTCCACAGGAAATTTTTTTTCGACTTCCCCCTTCCCAGAGAAAATCTGTAACAAACAACGTCCCTGGTTACACTGTAATTTAATTTTTAAAAAATTTTTTTTTAAAAAAAATTCAATATTTTTTAAAAATTTTCAAAGAGTTTTCCCCACCCACCAACCCGCCCTTTTATAGTGCAACAACAACACGACCGCACCCTGAAAACCGTGAACTTTTGTCTGTCGTAACATATCGTTGTTTATTAATCAAGATTCGTTACCATTCTAGAATTGTTTGTTGTTCAACAAATGTTGTTAACAATTTTGTTTATAATTTGTGTTTTTCGATCATTAAAGTCGCAATATTTGCACTGTAAGAAAGGCCGGTAAAATAATATTTACAAAATTAAAAAAATAGTTAAATTGAGTCAAAACAACCATAAAATTGGACTTAGATGCTTGGATCTGTTCAACAATACAAGATAAGCCTAAGAAATCATTTGGGTTTAAAAAGTCTGATTTTGAATAATTAAGCCTAATATAAATTCTAATTAAAAAAATTAAGCCTAAAATAAAGTTTAAAAATAAAAACAAGATAAACCTAAAAAATTTCAACTGAAATACATATACATAAAAAAATAAAGCCTATAACAAATTTTTTAATTGTTTAAAAATATAATTTTGCTCTAAAATAAGCCCAAGAACTAAATAACCAAGAAAGCCTAACAAAAAATTTAATTCAAAACTGCCATAACGTAGCGTTCCTTATAATAAATAGTTTCAACATGACTATATAGGCTTAAAACTACTAAAATTCTATTCAAAATTAAAACCGAGTAAAAAAGAGATCTAAAAGTCAAATCCGCCAAGAACAACAACATTTCTCATCAAATGATCGCAAATCGGCATTGTAAACAAGAAATACCAAACGGAGTTGTAACAACATACGATAAACCAAGATTTTTTAAAAGAATCTCTTAATTCAAAAAAGTTTTTAAAAAAAAAATTTCCCCCCCCCCCCCTCAGCCGTCTTTTTTTAGTTTTAGACCTAATTTTGTTAACAACACACTTCCCGGTACTGTAAAAACTTCCATCTAGCACACCCCCCCCCCCTCCCCAAAGCCCCAAACATTCTTCGAATGCCCTCTTCATGCCATTTTAAAAAACACGTTTGTTACGGCAGCAATTCGACGGCAAATCACGCAACTTTAGAATCACACCGTGACCTCACCACGTTATTCAAGCCGCTCATCTGAAGATCCCCCCGCTTCAATTAGCCGATGACGGCGAGCGGAACGTTTTCTCTTTTCGAAAAAAAATAGTTTAATAAGCAACTACTTTTTACGGTTTTAAGACTCCGAAACTCACGAAACGTAACGGAGAATTGCAACTGTTTGCAATTACAGCACAGTAAGTTATATTTGGGGTAAAGAGTTTCTATTACAATATAAAGTCTTAATTGGAACGATTTTGGTTAAGAGAGATAGGTTTAGTGAGGCATTTAATAGACAGGTGACTTAAGTAAAGGATATAGAGTTAAGTAAAACTCATAAAGTAAAAATGACAATCAAGATGAGATTATTATTATGTTGAGGACAAGACTTAAAACACAAAAACTAAAGATAAAATTTAATTTTCCTAAAAAACCCACATATAAACCCAAGGTAAATTTGAAAATTAACTTGGGTATTACAAAAAATGATGACAAGAAACAAACCCATAACATCAGACGAATTTGTTGTTTAGAAATCGGTGAGACAGTTTATCATTGTAATATCAACGAGGAAGGTCCTTGCTACATTTTCATTTTACTTGGTTATGACTGTTACAGTAAGACCTAGAGTACATATTTTTTGTACATTTTAAAATTTTTGACCTAATTTTAGTACACGAATCTGTTAATATTGATTAAAAAGCTCAAAAAACTTTTTAATAGGTGCCGACATAAAGAACCCGCCATACTTTTCCTGTAATTTCCTGTAAAAAAATGGCGGGTTCTTTATGTCGGCACCTAATAACTATAAATATATCCACCTTAAAGTTTAAAAAATCAATTTTTCAAACACCGATTGAAACAAAACTGCTATATTTACACCACCCATTGCCATAACCCCATAAATACGGCGATTTGTTGACTTAATCTCGTGAATTGTGGAATGTTTCGCGAAATTCTTGCACCGAAACGATCAATTCGATTACAAAACGGGCTATGTATAGTAACCCTCTAATGAACAATTACTTATTTACCACCAAAGTGTGAAATTCTTTACTGCGAAAAACGAACAAATAAACAGTCGAATTTGGAAACGTTTCTCATTCAATTTTAGGTAAATAAACATTTACCTAGATATGCCTTCTTATGGTAGTTGACAAAAAACACACAAAATTACTATTAATCAACTTTTTAAAATTTTTGAATTTTATCTTAAAAATATCTCTTACAATTGTTAAAATTATATTTTGATTACAAAACCCTAAAATTCATTTTATCAACAACACGGACATTTTTAGTCGTATAAAATAGTCACGCAGGCTGCGGCTTTTTTCGCAGTATTTTAAAAGTAGGACGCAGTTCGCAAATTTATTTTATTGAAAAATCTTCAAGTTCTTGGTTGATTGGAAAACTGATCGCATATTAAGAGAAACCTTTGTTGTTTTATCTATTTTTCGGGTAGTAAACATTACATTTTTAGCTATGTCCACAAGTACCGAACCCAAAACTATGGAAACGGCGTTGGAGGAGTCGGCCAACAAGATGTAAGTTATTATTGTTTGTTTCTTATATTTAGATCAAGAACTAACGGGAAAGGAATGTCGCAGAGAGTGACAAATATATTTTTTGGTTTATTATACTAGTGTGGTTTAATTCATGGTTACCTTGATCAAAATTTTGGCTTTTTCAAAAAGTTTTGTTTACTAACGAATGTCACTGTCATAAAATGCTGTTTTCAGTCTGAGCAAAGACGGCGTGACTGGAGTAGTTTGTGCTGACGACAAAGGAGCTCTATATTGTTGTAAAGGCACTTTAAACGAGAAGAGTGGTCCCATTTTGGCGCATCTGGCGAGTTTAGCAGCTCAAATCGAAAGTCCGATTGAACCAGTAATCTCACTGCAAGGATCAAACTCCCGTCTTTTGGCACGGCGTTATAATGGAGTTGTTGTTGGTGTACACAAAAGCGTTTAACTCAGGGTTTTAACTTTCTCAGAAACATATTTTGCCAAATTAGTCATTTTTATGTAGATTCTATATGGACAATATTATCCTAATAAACAGATAAATATTTTTTTAGGTCTTCAGTACTATGTACTATTATAATGGTTTATTCTAAAGCTGTATGTCAATATTTTAGCCAAAGTCATAAATTAAATAACTTAATAACCCGAAAACCTTACAGTTATGCCAATCTGCATTGGTAGTCTGTTCTAGGGTACCTCTTTTGCAAATTCGGCCATTGTACATAAAAGGCGTCGTATAATCGCAGGTAGTATAATATGAGTCCAGTTAGGGATAGAGTTTCTACTCTGCATACTGATTCAACGTATACGATTCTACAGTCGAATATGTTGAACAAATTGTAGAAAAATGTGATTACGGTTACTGGGACACAGGTACCGGGGCCATTGCACAGTAATAGGTCTGGACTGCAATTATAGGGTACATGTTTAATGTAAAATTAATATCAAGATAAATTTAAATGTGGAAACATTATAAGTGACCTTGGGTATGGTAACGCCAGATAAAAACTTACTTTTCATTAAAAATCAATGAAGGAATGACAATAGTGCTTTTCAATGTACTGAATATGCTTGTAAAATACGACTGACCGACTTCTCGGCTTCGTGGTACTTCAATCATCGTATACTCTTTGTTATTAAGGTTTTCTTCGAACGAAACTATCTAAAACAAGTTAAATTTTTCATTATAAATAATAATTCTACCTTCTTTCTCGAAGCCTCGTCATAATACAGATATGTACGTTCTTGAAATTCTTTTTGTTCAACCAAATACTCAATAAGCTGTAGCATCTCCATGGTATGTCCACCAGAACCCATTACCGCCAACAACTTGCGCGGTTTCTTGCTTACTCTTCTGTTCCTGTACAATACATACAATGACGCCAACGCTAAGATTAGCAGCAGTATGAAGGTTGTTAGACCAGCCACTAAAGTTAGTGCTATTTTTAGCACGTCCATCCTAAAAGTAGAAATCTTTGGAAAATTAATATTTTTAAATCGAAACATGATTCGAAAACAGTTAATGTTTCTATTGTACAAAAAACATAAATTTAAAAAATCAGCATTTTCTGGTATTTAACCAAATTTTACAAAAATTACAAACCCAACGTAGCAAGTAACTTTTTATTAGCCATAATGTAAAACTATACCCGTAGTTCTGTAGTACAACAACAAAATAAATATAAAGAAAATTTCCAAAATCAACTACATTCACCGTTAAACAATAATATAACCAACAATAAAATCAAAGATCGAGCATTTCCAGTAGTTCATGAGGGATTTCAGTCAATGATTTCTCCTCCAGGTATCCGTATAAAGCTTCTTTTCTTCGTTCCAACGAATCCAGCGGTGCCAAGATTGCAGTGGCCAACATGGCAAACTTGTACTTGTACGCGAATATCAATTTTTCCATATTGTGAACAGATCTGGCTTGTTGAAGATAATGTTCGATAGCACGTAGAAGGTATACCATTTTAAAATTCCATGCCACGTCGAGTAGAACATCAAATGATCGCCTAAAGGTACTAGTAAATTTTTTGGTAAAAAAGATGATTCGATTAAGATTCTGGAACTTACTTTGTTACAATAATTCTAGAGTACGAACACACAGCCTTCAGAAGGATTTCTAGTTCATTTTCACCAATATTGGTCGGTACTACTGTCGATTCTCCTTGACATTCGCGTAAGTACCAGTCCGAAAACAAGCTTCCGCCCACATTCTCTTTTAGCCATGTGGCATTCACATACAATTCCCCATTTTTAGTCTAAAATTATTATCTATAAGCCCTTGAATTCAACATAAACATACACAATGAAATAGAAGGTTCATCTTATAAATACAAACCTCCATATTAATGATAAAAGGAAGAAAATATTGACGTACCAAAACCCGAAAGTTTCTGTGAGGACCCGGCTTGTCGATGGACTTTGATGATAATATTTCATGTACTTCAACTTCTAGTTTTATTTGATTTTCAGTTGAACTCAATGGAAGACTAAAAACTTGTTCTTCTACCTTCCATAGGTCGAAATCAACCTGGAATTAAACTATATTACTTACACATATTTTTTCCATTCGACAATTTTTACTATAATGACATACTTTTTGAAAAGTAGAAGAGGCATAATGTGAAACACTATTTGTCCAACTTACATAGTTTCCTGTGCCATTGACAACTACTCCGTAGCTAACCAACAATTCATAACCATCGTCATCTTCTGGCTTTACATTGACACTCAGATTTGCTACGTCATCGCTTTTGACTACCTAAATATACACATTAAGCTATGCTTTTTTTACTTTTACTATTGTAAATTGCTGTTACCTAAAATTATAAAAGTAGAATAAAAAACTTACATTCAATTGAATTTCGAAGCAGCTCTCGCTTATAGAATAAGTAAAATTATCGTTTTGTACGTCAACATTTCCTTCAAATAATGGATACATCAGCCCTGGTTATACCCTAATATACCTCAAAATATCACAAAACGTCGGTGAGACTTCTGAACTGCTACTTTTAGAAAAAAAAAATTTTTGTGATTTAAAATACTACACAAAATAAATTTCAAACTTAAAAATACAACTCAAAATTTTTAATTGTACTTTTTAAACGTAATTTAAAATTAAACTTCGTATTTTAAAGTTACAGAAATCTCACGTAAATTATAAATACTTTCTACAGATTGTCATACCGTATACCAAAAAAATTTCACGATGTATACATGTTCGGTTTATTTATATAAAAAGTGAGCAAAAAATAAAATGTAAGAAATGATAAACCTGATGCCTTGCAGCATTGTATCTTCTGCAGTAATCACAGTACCGCAACTACTACATTAAACACAATACCGTAAGCCTTTTCTTAAACTTTACACCGGAAAGCTTTACTGTAAAAACGTTTGATGGCTAAATTTCGTTAAAAACACAAAACTTGTTAGAAATCTACACCTATGTAAGGTTATGGATACATATAATCATCTTCAAAAACGGTGCGTGACATCTTGACTATATATATAACAGTATCGTTGACCTTACACTCGTATCACTGCAATAAATGGTAAAGTATAATGACAAGACACATTTTTTTACAGTCTTTCCCAAATTACTACAATTTATTAACGGTTTTTCTAATTCTAAAGGCTAAAGAACCTTTTCCATTGCACAGTGCAAAGAATTTAACTGCGCATTATAAAACAGAAAGTCATACGAAAAGATCATCAGATATCAAGTTTTATCACAAAATTTTCCAAAAAGTGTTAACATATTGTAGTAAGTCAAAGAAATTCCGTAAGAATACTGTATAACTGTACATGAAATTAACCGTTAACAATACAATGTCAGGTTATAAAAAACGTCAATTATAATATAAGACAACTCCCTATCGATATTACAATCAAATTAAGTTTGGATTATAACAAAGATATACACATTCCTACACTGATACAAAAAAAAGCCAAAGTTTTTACTTAAAAACTTAAAGTTTCGTGTCAAAATGGCTTAAAATTAGCTCTTCCATAACACCAAACCAAAATTTTCAAACAAAAACCCAGCATATTCAGTCAAAACCAGCCCAGTAGTCTTATATCGGTTTGTACAACAACGTAGTAACATATTTCTTGCGGTGTCGGTGAGTAGCACTTAGTACCATAACCCCATCCTTTATACTCAACGCGTACAAATGATTCAGCATGACATGATTGGGCTCGGGCAGCACGTTGGGGTCGCATTGAACAGGGGTATCTTTATTTAGAATAACTTGAAGTAGATGTGGAGGTAGAACGGGCGGATTCGACGCTTTCTCAAAGTCGCGACGATCCGGCAATTGCTGTGTAAATTCGCGAAGTTTCTCAATTTCACGGTCATTCGGTGTGTCATGACTGGGTTGTTGAACACCTGTGGAGTTCATCTTCTTCATGGCAACACCGGCGTTCGAAGCTTCCATGTCTTTGTCTAACGCGTTGAATACCTAAAAAATATGTCAAAAATTATTGTTAGACCAAATAAAAAGAATAAAAAACCAATAATACTTAACATCAGAATAAAAATCCAAGTCACTTTCCACATCACAGTACCTAAACTTTTTAAAACATCCATAAATTTACCTCAAAATCAGCTTCGTCAATGTTCATAACATTGCACACGTCCCCATTCTTCTCGCTTTTGTTGCCTTGAGAATCGACCATCCATTTTCCATCGACCAGAAACTTGTACTCGTAATTTCCTAAAAATCAAAGAATAAACATGTAAAAACCATACTTGAGTAGCATCTTCTTTACTTTAAAAAGAAATAAATTATTTTTAAGCTCTAATAACATAGATTATCCAAAACCCTCCTCAAAACATGTCATACCCGGATTGAGATTAATAATAGTGCTGAAATCATTGGTGGACTTGACTAGGGGTATTTTACTCTTCCACTGATCCCATGAGCCGGCCAGGTGCACCACTCTGGCGGGATGTGTCTGCGTAGACCATTTAAAGACAACCGGATACTCGTTGCTGTCCAACAAGTCCTCCGACGGGTCGAAGTTGTCCTGGGCGATGCGCATCTGAACCGGACACCCGTCGTCCGTCGACACCGAAGGCGGCAGATGCGGGATGGCCCTAGAGCGGGGTCCTCCGCCGTCCGGCACACGGTCTCGCTTGTGCGGTTGTGCTTGAGTGTTGCCCATATACGATAGTGCAATGCGCGGACTTATGACAGCATAACCCGGAAGAATGGGACGACAAGTCAGATGAAGTTCTTCACGTTTTAAACGACGTTTTTCTAAAAAACTTCAAATGAAAACCCTTTAAAGCTTAAAAACAATAAAAGTACAATCAAACACTCGACTTCAATATTCGTAAAATTTGATTTTCATAACGGGAATCCCTGAAAATTCGTAATAACAAAACTAGCTCTAAAGCAAAAGCTTAAAGACAATCTTCTTAAAAAAAATATCAGTCTCTAAATCAAAAACACCCAAAACAATCTTCCTCATAATTTCAATCTCAACTACAAAATCAACTCGAAAGTTGACAAAATTAACAAAAACCCAAAAAAAATCACAAAACTTATCCAATACCTAACAACAAAATAGATAAGATCGCATGAAACTGCTAATTATTACGCTCAGATTAGCGTTTCAATGATCAAAAAAGACCTCGAGACATTTTCAAAACGAAAAACACGAAAAAATAAACATTGCTTCAAACTGAAAAGAAAGTTTAATGTTGCACATAGTTAAATACCTACAAACAATACCTGGTCAATTTGTAAAACAATAAAGCTAATTTACCCGTGATAAAGTAAAAAAAGTCACAAACACCAAAAAATGTTCTTTATCAACAAGGAAATATAAAATCTATACACATTTCGTCGCTGCGAAATGCCAATATAGATTTTCTAAAAATAAAAGAAAATAAATTATTCGACGTAAAATAACTTAAATTCACAGGATACTTGATTTGATTTAGGCAGATGGATGTTCTTCTGACTTTCTCCTTAAACCATATAGAATTTAGAAAAGCTGAGTGGGATTCGATTGTCGATTTCCAGGGTTTAAACCTTCCATCTATATCAGAGTCGAGCAAAGTAGGTTGTTTCTTCGTTTTTGTAATTTCTAATTTAGGAACCACTGGAATTTATCAAGGTCGAAAATGTAAAGGAAATAGAAGGCGTGCTGGAACGATCTTTGTTATTGAAACACGCTCATGAAGTTTTGGCAAGCGGTGAATCTCACGACAATGTTCTTCACCAGTTGATTACGAGAAGGAACGAGATAAGAGTAAGTTAAGGTTATTTTTAACATTCTGGACTTTTAGAATAGGCTGCGTAGTTCAAACACATGGAGGATAAAATACCGATCACATAATAAGAAGCAAAACTCTGATTACATTGGCGATGTTGTTCAGGTACGTTGTTAATACATTTGTTCTTTTAATTGGCTTCATTTTTAGAAATACATTGATGCCGTGGCTTTTGACGACATAGAAGTAAATATGAACTGTCCAGATTATGATTTCAACATAATTGAAGATTTTACTAACGTTGTACCAAAGGTTTACTTCACTTTACTAGTAAGTTCTCAATGTTTATATTAGCATTAATAGATAGGTGAGGGACAAGGTCGGCTGAAACATGACTTCAGTTTGAAAACCAGGAAGTACATTGGGAATTCTACAATGGACCCAGAACTATCTTTCATTCAAGCAAATGTTAGTCGAGTTAAACGTGGCGACCTTGTACTTGATTGTTTTTGTGGTACTGGTGGCCTAATTTTGGCCGCTGCCAAATTTGGAGCGTTTGTAATGGGATCTGAGATTAGTTACATGGTTGCCAGAGCTAAAGGGTCTTCAGCAAGAATGGGAGAAGGTGAATTAACTGATGAACACAATGTTATGGCAAATTTTGCGCAACAAAAATTGGAGGCCAACTTTGGCGGAGTGATATTGGCAGACGCTAGTGAACATATGCTTTGGAAGCGGACCGAAATTTTCGATGCTATCGTCGCTGACCGTATGTTTTTATTATGTTAGAAAGCGTATTTTGCGTGATTCTTCTTGATTAAGCTGTATATCTTGACTTTTTAGCGCCATACGGGGTAAGAGAAAAGGGAAGAAAGCTTGGTAAGAAGGAAGACAAAGATGGCTGGATTAAGAATGAAACTGTTCAGTAAGTATTTATACGCCTGGGTTTCTTAGAGGTAGTTATTAATGAATAACGACACTAATTGCTCAGTTGACGAACCTAAACATAAGATTACCTTAATATCTTTGTTTGTAGCCGAACTGTCATTAATGTACACTAATTAACATTTTAGTTTGGAAAGATACCCAGAGAAGCAAAAGTACAAAACCACCACTTTATATCTAGATTTAATGGATTTCGCAGCTAGCCACTTGGTCAATGATGGGCATGTTTCGTTTTGGTATCCTGTACTTCGAGGGTCGTAAGTTTATCATCTGCTATCTTAGATTGGTTTTCTAATTTAGCTCTCATACAGCTGCAAGAGCTTTAAAAGGATGACTAATTAAATTTGCTAGATTTTACAAAATTAAAAAACATTTATAGATACGGAGAAGATGTTTTACCGAAGAATCCATGCTTAACGTTGGTTTCAAACTGTGAACAAGTTTTGTCTCGGAAAGGATCAAGGTAAAAATTTTTGGCTTACGTTATTTAAAACTTACATTTTGTTAATATATTTATTTCAGAAGGCTTTTGTGTTACCGTAAAGTTTGGAACCCGGTTGACAATGAACAATCTACGGTAGATCGTGATCCTTATGAAGAAGTCAGCTACAGAGATGCTATTTTTGGACCACCAGCTTGACTTTTTTAGTTCTTAGTTACAAAACTACAACATCGTTTCGTTGATAGTTCTTGATAATTTAAAAAGTTGTTGAACTCTTTGTTGATTGTTATTTTTGATAAACTTGTTATACTTTTGCTTTAATTTTTTTATTTAAAAGGATATGTCCTTTATAATTATATATACTTTATTATGCTTTTACGTCTTGATTGTGGGCGTTTTTATAATATTGAGGTCATTCAAAAGCGTTTATATTGGTATAATTGATGTAAAGGTTAATACAATGGAACCTTAACCCCTCCGCAAAAGGAAACCTCCTATAAAGAATATTTTTGGGGTTGCTTAGTTTTGCTATAGAAGATTCTGTAATCTTAGTTTTATAAATAATAGTTTATTTTCTTGTTCCTGTTTATTTTATTTCGGTTGATTTTAAATCTGTGCTAGGTTTGGTGATAATGATGAGATTATTTACGAAAGGAAAATTTGGAGCAACCATAATTTTAAAAAATTTTTCAACGAATTATGCGACAAAAGTTTGTTTTGTTAGGGAAACTCTATTTAAACCTTTATACCGTCTTTCCATAGCCATGTCTGTTATACGATTTTTACCATTCGACTTTACAAATATCATTATAACAGTCATATTTAGATGACCGCCTTCCCCGAGTACGCATTCCCATCACAGCACACCCTGTTCGACAGTTCTGATGGCTATACCTTCAATATTGGGGCACCAGCGCAGCATTTCTTAAAAGATGCTGCCATTTTGATGAAGGAAGCTACGGTCAAAAAGCTGGACGAGGAAATCAACGTGCATCAAGGTCGGTTGCTCCAGTATGGTGCTGCCTGCGGTGCCCGTGACTATCTGGAAGCTGTGAGAAACTTCTTGGCTGATCAGTATCAAGACGATAACGTGGATGTGTAAGTTCTTCATGGGTCCAAAAGGCGTGCGTGCTGAGCCTACGTATGCTGTAATAAGCCTAATATGTGACTAAAAATTACGTAATATGCCTAATATTTGTGCTGCTAAGCCTAAGCGTTACGCAATAAGCCTGAAATGTATGCAGCTAAGCTAAAAAATGGCGTAATAAGCCTAAAATGCGTGCTGCTCTTTATGTAATAAGCCTAGAATGTTTGCTGCTCATTATGTGATAAGCCTAAAATGCGTGCAGCTAAGCCTAAAAATGGTTCAATAAGCCTAAAATGCGTGCTGCTCTTTATGTGGTAAGCCTAGAATGTGTGCTGCTCATTATGTAATAAGCCTAAAAAATTAGGTGCTACAAAACAGAAAAGATTGATGAAGATGCTAATACACAACATTTTCAGTCAAAATTTGGTGCAAACCGCGGGCGCAACTACCGCCCTTATCATCCTACTAAACCAAATGTTTCCTCAAAAAACTACCGTTTACTTCGAACAATTGTCCTACTTTTTGGCGGCCAAAATTCTGAAAAGTGTTGGCTTCGAATGCAAAGGAGTTGATACGGGTTCTACTGGAATTGATCTAGAAGATTTGGAAAAACGCCTACAGGAAGATACGGACATGACTACTATTGAAGAAAAGCGAAAGGACAGAGTCTACAGTAGTGTAATTTATGTGGTACCTATTTATCAGAATCCTATTGGAGTGGTTTTGTCGGCAGGTGAGAGCGTCGTACTATGAGTTTGGGGTAGACTTTGAAAGGTATTACTGTACTTTGGGTGTACATTTTGTGTTCTGTCTATGTTCTTTATTATATGGAAATTACTTTGTAAAAACATTACTTATAAAGCTTCATACTTTAGAAAAATGTCAAAAGTTAGTTGCACTGGCCCGAAAATACAACAGCCTAGTGTTCTGCGATGACGTCTACAACATGTTGCACTACGATGGAACTGTACAAAAACGGCTGTTCGCTTATGATAACAAAAACGATAAGGATTACGGCAATGGTCATGTTGTAAGTAATGGAACCTTTTCCAAGATTTTGGCACCAGGTTTGCGTTTGGGGTGGATGGAACTGCCAAAAGCGATAAAGGACAAGTACTTTTACAAAAGGTAGGCGTTTGTTAGAATGGTGTGTTTGTTGATATTTGTTGTTCAATGTGTGTTTTTGAGTGTTTATTAACAACGAAGTATATGTTTCTAATTGTTTTCTTTTGCTTTTTTAGATAATATGTGTGATCTTTTTAAATTTATGTTTGTTGCACGTTTTTGTTTATATTGTAGCTTTGTTGGTGTGTATGGTGTCGCTTTTTGAGTTTTTTTTTGTTTTTACTAATTGATTGTAATCTTTTTTTATCATTTACGATAGTTTTTACCCAAGGTGTTATAAAATTTTAGGTAAAAGTAACAAATTATTTGTTTTTATTTAAATGACACAGTAGGATATACATTTTTTGAAAGTAAAAGTCGAGAAATATCTCCATATTCTCAAAAAAATTCCATAATATAAACTTTATAACAAAAGTTGGCGAATGCCCAACAACAAAGCTCCACCGCACGAAATACTGTAAGCACATGTTTGCAGTGACATCCTGGTTTCTAGTGGCAGTCTGAATACGTACACCGGGGGAATTGTCGCCGAGCTATTGAAGGACGGGAAGGCAAAAGCTCAGGTGGAGAAGATTCGCAATGAACAGAAGCTGAAAATGGAGATTTTGCTGAATGAACTGGACCAACATTTGCCAAAAGATTGTAGTATCATCGCTAAACCAGATGTATGTTTGAAAATATTAGTGCCGACATAAAGAACCAGCCATGCTTTTCCTGTAAAAAATGGCGGGTTCTTTATGTCGGTACCTAATATATAACTGTGTCGATACCTGCCGAAGAACATACCAAAATTATTTACTTTAGGGTGGGTATTTCGTCCAAGTTTTGGTACCACCACGAGTGAATTGTGTTGATTTTGTCGCGAAAATCAAGGAAAGCCACAAGATCTTGCTCCACGATGGCAGAAAGTAAGTTCTTTTTATTTTTTTAAATAATTTTTTAAAAATAATCACGATTTTAAAATCAATTTGACTTTTTTTTCTCACAAAACCGTTTTAAGGTTTGTACCTGACGACCGTACTAACTACAAACATCCGGAGTACGCCAACAGTATCCGTCTATGTATCGCGTTTATCGAAACCGATAAGATTGCCGAGGGCATTCGAATCTTCTGCTCCGAAGTTGACAACTACGGTCGTTGAGCGCAAGGAAACCATAGGAACATGCATAATCACAAATCATTTTACTAACTTATTTACATTCTAATTTTAAAATAGCTTTTTCATAATTAACCTGCATTTTCAATAGCATAAAACAATATTTCAAATTTAAACTTTGTAAAATTCGAACCAATTTGATATTAGATTTATTAGTCATAGGAGTTTAATTACAAATTTCAAGAACCAGTAAAGTCATGCAGAAAGACGGTTTTTAAAGCATATCGTACAAAAGGCATTAGTTAGAAGAAAAGGTAACCAAACACATGCCATAACTATCATTGACTACATTTTGTAAAAGGATACCATAACATTGAGCAGATGTGTAGCGTTTTATTTCATTAAAACACGAAGGCACCAAAATTACTGTAAAAAGATGTGAAAAAAATTACTTTGCAGTTATAACAACAAGGATGAGAGAAACAAGTAACAATAAACACAAAATAAAGAGGTTTTGGAAAGACTTCTATTTCACTTCAGGTACCAGTTGACGTGTAATTACATAATAATTGTAGTTTAGTGACAAAAAACTGTTCTAGTTCGTCAGCAATACAGCTTATTGTGTTTCCCTCACGTTGTTCCAAAAACGTTTTGCACAAACTACTTATTTCATCAACTGATGGCATTTTATTGAAACATATAGGCATTAGCTTAAGCTTATCTAAAATGTTGAATTATGCAAATTGATTTAGATATATCACTTTAAGTATCATTCTTCATATTATAATATTTTGATGTACTTACCTTCGGTGTAGTCGAAAAAGAATGTAGGGTTTCCTTCATGGCTTCTGCAAAGTAAAACACGCCGACGACCTTCTAAAAGATAATTAAATGAAATAATGCAAGATTCCGTTTGTGGCGTGTATTGAGGTGCTACATAATACTGGCAATAGACGAATTGTGAATGAACTTGTTTTGTTCTTGAGTTGTAAATCAAATACTAAAAAGTAGAAACTAGGTGTCAATTGTTTTATTATGATAGTTTTTTAAAAAATTTTTCCGTTTTAAATTTTTTACTGTGCACAGTGGCGGGCGGGGACTTTTGGTCTGGGGGCGGGGGTCAAGAAACGCCAAAAATTTTTTCGAAAAATCCCTAGGGGACCAAGTTCAACTTTTTTTGGAATTTTTTTTCTGGGGGGGAGGTTTCCCCCGCCCCTCAGCGCCCGGCCCTGACTGTTTATATATATATGTCAGATTATCTGCAAAGCATCATAATTTCGCAAAATAAGAAATTAACACTTACTTCGCCAGTCATAAAATTAAATATAGCATCGCTTGAAGCACCGACCCAATAATCGTTGTTTCCATACGAGCGTTCGTACACTTTTTCCAGAGTTTTTATGTCATATAACTGGATATTATCAAAGCCAAAAGCGCCCTCGGCTAAGTCTAAAATATGTTGATCAAGCTTGCATAGAATAGGTGGTAGAAAAAGGTTTTCTGTCTTATTTACTCTACATTTATAAGATTGTACACTTTCTGCCTGCTAAGAAATTAAGCTTATTTTACTAACAAGGGAATTTCCACACCTGCCCCGCTCAGAATCAGCTTCACTTCTTTATGAGCTCTTTGTACCACCAAAAGTACATATATAAAATTTTAGTTCACGCTTTTGAGTATTAAAATTTAAATATTTGGCCAAATTGGCAAATTTGGCATTGTGTTGCAAGTCCTTTTTTGATGTTCCAAATAAGGTATAATTATAATAATGGCTAAGTTATAATCTTGAAGCACTAAATCTAGCAAGAAATTCAAAACGTAATTTTTTGATCTTAATTTTATCGAGGTTTACCAGAAAGCGCAATTTAGTACTTTTCGTAAGATCTTATGTTTACATGCTCTTTCTATAGAAAAAGTTTGAAGTCAATCAGAGCAGGCCAGGCAGTCGGGATCCATCCTTGTAAACCTAAACTGACTAACAATGGAACTCTAAGTCTAATAAGCGTAAACCTACTAAGTATAAAATTATGGACCTACAAACGTTCTCAAAGTTTTTACTTACTTGTAATAAAAATAAAACCACGTTCTTCGAAAAAGCAGACTTCAACATCACTGCTAGAGACATTGCACAGTTTAACAATGTTATCAGTTTCTATGTCACCGATGTACAATTCGTTTTGTGTTTGCGTCAGCAATGCTATATAGCGATGTTGACCGTATTTGTCAACATTATTACTATGCTTAAATTCCATGCCCGAAGGTATTTGAAACTCCTTGTTGCTAAACGGATCGTATACTGTTTTGTTGTCTATTAATTGTGTGTAAAGTCCCTCATGAGCGCTTGCTGTTTTAAACTCTCTTAGCACTTGCCGTGTGTAAATGTCGCACAAGTAGGCGGTTTCACCCGGCTCACAATTGATTATTAGTCGTGTTCCGTGGTTTATCATGACAATACGTTTGATTGGCTCTTCAAAGTGTTGCTTAAAGTCGATTTATTCGAATTTTAAGTGGGAAAAGTCGATGTGAGAAAGAATGACATGATGAGGCTTCAAGTAAAACACAACCTTTCCAGTATAAGGACAGTTGAACACGCTAGATTCAAAGGAATAAAAGGCGCGATACTGCGTCCTAAAACAAAGAAATTAGAGCAGCGCAAGGATAAGCCACAAGGGTTGGGTAAAAGTATAGTTATAAAAGGTCAGTCATTATTTTCTGCTGTGCATAACGGTGTGCCAGTCATTATTTACACCTTACTACCATCTCCGTATGCTAACACCAACAACACTATTTTATGAAAAAATACAGTAGGGAAACGTACAAACTGAAAGCGGTAGCCCAAGTTTCTTGATTAAACCTGTAGATTCCGTCTCGATAACACATTTCTTTAAAGTCTCGGTTGATGCATTTGTAAACGGTTTTATCTAACGATGCCATAGTGTCAATGTTTTCAATATAATTGAATATATTCCGCCGTATCTAAAAATATAAGTACATAAGGAAAGAATTCAATCTATTGCACCTGGTAGTAATAAAATATGTAAAATCGAGGAAAAAAAACAGTGCAAAAAATTCAAGGAAGATTTGCATGAGTTAAAGTGAAGTGGAAACTTACCTCGTTTGGGAGATCTTTCCAGCCCGTGATCATTTTGTATGAAAATATAGTCAGAGAGCACCTAGAAGAGTGGGTTTTTAACGCCAAACAATAAATGAAAATTTTTATTTATCTCGGTAATAATGAGCGAAGAAAGAACGCGCTAAAATGACTTAAGACGCTTTTTTTTGTTACTTGTTTTTATGTATGGCTTTTGGGCATGGCATATTTTGTTAATGAGAAGTGCATTTACACCTATTGTCAAAAAGAACAAACCTAACATATAACGCTACATATATACAGCATACTTCAAATCTAGTATATAATGCTATTACGGTCAAGGATTAGAAGAAATAAACTCTTACCAATTTATAAACAGCTCACATAGATCAAGTCTAAGCTTCCTCAAAGTCGGCTTACCGTATGTATCCCTAATCAAACCTAGAGTTAGAAACCGCCACACCAGAACTAGATTTCGATATACCCTTTGAATTTTCAATACTCGTTCGGTACTTCGGTATTTCTGATATAAAATTGTAGCACAACGATAACAAATCCAAAATATCGACAAAAATATCGAGGAAAGTATCGAAAATGAAGATCGAAAAGTATCAACAAATATCAAGCCTTGTGAGCGTGTCATAGCATAATACTCACAAACAGGGCAGAGCAGGCACTTTTGGTCTGGGGACGGGGGTCGAAAAAATCGGCGCAGGCTACATCCAAACTAGATTTCGTAGCTTTACAGATTTAAAAAATTTCCAAGGGTCAAGAACAAAAAACGTCATATCATACAAGAGGCGCTAAAGTAAAGTAAGCAAACAGGTGATACCTGACATCATCTACATTCAAAAAAAGTAGCATAACATAGAGCAGATTGTAGCTATTTCTTTAAAACACGAAAATTACTGTGAAAAGCTTTTAAATAACTGTAGTTCAGATTTAAATTTCAATAATGTAAAATTCGAACCAATTTTAAACTAGATTTATTAGTTTTAGAGATTTAGTTTAATTTCAAGTGTCAAACACCAAAAAAGTCATGCAGAAAGACGGTTTTTACAACATATCGTATACAGAGGCATTAGTTAAAAAAAAGGTAACCAAACAGATGCCATAACTGACATTGACTACATTTTGTAAAAAGATACCATAATATTGAGCAGATGTGTAGCGTTTTATTTCATTAAAACACGAAGGCACCAAAATTACTGTGAAAAGATGTGAAAAAATTACTTTAAAAAATTATAACAACCCGGATGAGAGAAACAAGTAACAATAACAACAACATATCTGGCCGTTCAACAGTTGCGTTTCCTATTGAGTACTAAAGTAGTTCCTTGATATTATACATCTTATTATAGAGTACCAAGAACTCAACGGGTAGCTATGACACTAATTCGGCATTATATGTATTAAGACAGACATATGTCATCATAATACAAAAAACGCCGTCTAGATTATCAGAGCCATATAGTAGATGATACCCAAAACTTCCAAAACATTTTTTTTCAACAAAACAAATTTAAAATCCACCGTGCACATTTAATACAAAAAGTGCACCGTGCAATATTATTTTAAATTTACTGCCCAATCCTGGAATTTTTGGCTAACATTGTACTATATATAGAAAACAGTTGATAAAAAAATTGAAAAATGCACCGATAAAATGAAATAACGAACTATCTAGTTAGATTATATTATTGTAGGTACATTCATCGCATCTTTCACTACATGTAACTACTTAAGGTCGCTAACTGTCACAACTGACATAAGATAAGGCAAATGGACGTATTAAGGTCACACCATGGCTGAGTTCAAATTATTCGCATTTCCGTTCATTCGGCGGATCGGGCGCAGTGGTACGGTTCGGCGGAATTGCTCTCCAACTTTTTGCTAAAATGAAAAAGTCATTACTAGATAGATGGTACACGTCCTAATTTGGCAAAAAAATAGGTTACAATATAAGGAAGTGATATAGATAAAATACGTACCGCAATAACCGGCTTAAGCATCTTGCGCATCAAATCACGTTTGTTTTTCTCCATAACGTTCTCCTGGTTCACCGAGTATGCCAAGATTTTTGTGTCGAATTCCTGCACCTTTTCGGCCGAACTCTCCGGAACTTCTGTCAAAATCTCCCACAAGGTTGGGTGTGCTGGACGTAGACAAGCGTAGACACTGAAGCTCAAGCCAAGCAGTGGGCCACAAACTTCTTCGTCCGATCCATTAACTTGTAGACTTCTGATGATGTGAACCAACACGGTTTTTGCCATTTGTTCATCAAAAGCTGTATGGAATGCAACAAAGACGGTCCTTGCTACTGGCATCAATCTCATTACTGTCTTAGAGTCTGGGCAGTTGATTAGGGAACAAACTGAGAGAACTGTAGCTTCGAGGAGGGACTAAAAACAAAAACTCAAATTTAAAACCAAGAAATTTTACTACCAATTCTAAAAAAAGAAAACCTACACTATTTTTAAGAGCCGCCAAACAAGAATGTGTCATTAGTTCAGATGGATGTTTTTTACTATCCTCTTTCACCATTAATCCTGGGCCAAACACAAACAACCTCAACATTTCAGCAAACTCCCTTGACATAACGGCAACCATTTGTTGTTGTAACAGCTCTTCTTCCGTTACGTCGCCATCTAAAAAAATACTACATTATATAACCTCAAACTATTCGGTCCTTAACATAAAAAATATATACACAATATTATCCCATACAACAAAAAACCCAAAAGACAATATAAAGTTGGTTACCTTGATCCAACGTAGCCACAATAGCCCATCGTTCGCTCAGTAGATTCCTCATATGTTGAAAAACACCACTGGCAATCTGCTCTACAACAGCAACATTATCAGCCGGACAATGGCAAATAATGTGCGACCATGCTCGTTTCACCCAGTACCTCAAACGGTAGTCTGGCACACAATCCGCGTTGATAAAAACGGATTGAATCATGGATGAAGCATCTGGCAAAGAGTAAAAGTTCCGGCTCATTTTTTGGCCTGTTAGGCCTACAATGTTCTGGACAAAATCTCCGATGTCAAACAAGAAACGGCGCATTTGGGTTACGGGTTCTGGACTGATCGCCGGGGAATCTTCGTAACTTTCGCTTGCTGAGTCTGAAAAACATGATATTAGATTGCTTTTAATGTCTGATAATGGTATTAGCATAAGTAAAACTAAAGAACCTCTACTTACAAATCATCAGTTGTTTCTCCGTAGCCGACATTTTCAAAATTTGTGTACCGTATGTGTTTTGAGCTAAAGCTGCGCCTTCGTGTGAATAGATATTGTTTAAGCACCTAAAAGTAGAAAAATAGTTTTCTTCAAATAAAGATATTACACAAAAACAAATAATAATTTTTCAATTAATTTTAGGTACAAACTCCTAATTTTTCTGTAATTTCTCTGAAAACATACCCCACAAAATGGAAGATATTCCGAACAACAGGTAACAACAGCTGGAATAATGGGTTTGACCTGTCTTCCGGTACATTAACATGAGACAAAGCTCCTTCAATTGCAAACAAATTCGACTTGAGCTTCAATCTGTTCTCCACAAACTGAAGAATAGCTGTATCGTCCGTTGTTGAAGGTACTGGATTCAAAATACCGACGTAATCAAAGAAATCCCTGACTGATTTTGAGCAAAGTAAGAATTCCTGACTTTGAAAATAAATAATATTGTCCCTGAGAGCGTTTTCTAAGAAAAACTGTTGTTCATCGGAATTGGTTGCCAAATTGCTTAAAGCTGCCAGAACTTGAACGAGGTTGGCTTTCTGAAGGGCTGATACGCACGGTGCTACATCGATTACCACGTCCAGAACTTGTCGAGCGTAAGGCTGGAAATATAACCGATATTACAAGATATTTTAAGTTTTTGCTTTAGTTTTATCAAACCCCTCTATATTTATAACAAATTTAAACACGTTTCTACAAATTGTAATTTAAAAAAACCAGAATTTAAAAGCTTACAGTAATCACACTAGACAGGCTTTTGACAAGCTTCAACAACAAATTAATGCAATGCCGTTTCAAATTCAAAAGAGCCGCGCCTTCTGCAGTTCCTCTGTTCGCTAGGACGTCGTCGATCTTCAGACATTGTTGTAAAAGGGAAATTACATCTGGAATCTTTTCCGGATGATTTTCCAAAACTACAAAGAAGGCAGAGAAGATCGACAAAAGTTCACTTGTAACAGTTGGATTAGATGATGATAACAGGCGATTGTAGACATTATTCAGTAGGACAAACAGCCATTGATCCACGTCCTGAAATTTATCAGATCAGGTTGAAATATAAAAAAAATTTCAATATAAAAAAGTAAAACGTTTTTCGTAAAAACATAAATTTTAAATCCCAAAAACCTACAGCTTTCATCATTTCCAACTGCTGAACATTAGCCAAATAGTTTGTGATGTATTTTTTCATACTATCCCATTCAGTACTAGTGATACGTTCGGTTTCGTTAATACAACGACCATTGACCCAATCAGTTACCAAGGATGACAAAACTGGAAAGTGAGTGTCCATGTTCTCCTTCATCATGCGGAAACATCTGTCTCGAAGTCCTAAAACAATTTCTTTTAAAAGCCTCGGTTAAAATCTCTTCAACTTAATACAAATAAAATTTCTGAAACAATAAATAAATACCCGATCTAAAACGTTGTTTTAAACGTCATCTAACTATGCTTATTTTAATCCATTAAAATTTTGTTTGTCAACTTACTCGTGTGTTCCTGAACAAAATCCGACTCCGTTTCGTAGTCCATCAGCGAATAAAAGTTGGTAGGACTTGAAGAGTCGTTGATATTACCAACTTTCTCCAAGCATTTCGGAATAGCAATCAAAAACGATGGCATTCGTTCCAGCACACTTGCAGTTCTTCTAATTGAATTGTTGCTTGAAAAAGCGCACATTACTTGTGCAACTTCGGCACGAATGTACTGAAACAAAAAATTTTTAATTTATTTTTAAGACTTTAAAATAAAATCATTTTAAAAGATATTACTGAAAGCTCGTAAATCGAGAAAAATACTGTAACTGCAATTTTTTGCTTAAAATTTCATCTAAACGCAAAAAAATCAATAAAAAACTCACCACACTTGGATGCTGGAAGAATTCGGATAAAGCATCAAGGTACAAAGCGAAATTCGTAGGTGGGTTTGTGATATGTAGCCAAACTTCGCCGAGATGAACTCCCAGAGAACACAACAGGTCGCACAAAGCTTTAAGAAACTTGTAATGTACTTCACTTGAGTTACTTTGAGTCGCGGCTAAAGAACATGCCGCCAAAATAGCTTGCATTGGCCGATCTCGAAACATTGATACCACAATCGGAAGTTCGTCGTTCTTTTGCCGCCTTCTAGATGCCAACTTGTGCAATGAAGAAGCCGCACATTCGTAAATTCCACAAAGATCCAACTGAAGGTACAGACACAAAACATCAACAATTCCATCGATGAATGGCTCCAAATCTTTTCCAGAGACCCAGTCAAAAATCTCCGACAGCAATTCGATCGCACTTTTCGCCAACAAAATATTCTGTTCGTCCTGTCCTTGATTTACACAAAGTACTAGCCTTTCAACTGCCATCTTCATTATCTTTCCAATGTGAGCGTTGATAGCGTTTTGTAGATCTTTCCGTCGGATTGAGTTTTGAATCGTGATCAAAGTCAGAACATCTTCAATCAGCCGTCGGAGAATGAGAAAAATCATATGAGACTGCTGAATCAATTTTGGATTTTCGACAATACTCGCAAATTGATCAACAAGTTCTGGCCAATTCTCGGGCCACTCGTGCTCCATCATCGTAGCAAAGACACGGGAAGCGGCGGTTTTGACTGGTAAATCAATAGAGCCCACAGAGTAATTTCCTGAAACCAAAAAATGCCTTATAAAGTAACGTTTCTTCGAACTGTAATCTGAGTTAATTGTTACCTAAAATCACAAAAAAACTATTCAAAAGCCAACTTACCTGCTGAGATCCATTCGAGAACACCATTCCGTACTTGCATCTTCTCTTCGACTGACAGCTCATGCCATTTAAACCTAAAAGAATCAAATTTCATATTAACCTTCAACGAAACTTCACCATCCCTTTAATAAAAAACAATAGATAAATTTGTTGATATCAAAAAAACTTACTTGATAACATCTTCAACTATATTCAACCCGGCATGCGCAATCAATCGATCCGAATAAGTTACCAAACCGAAAGCAATTGGAATCGACTCCGATGTAGCTCCTTCCTTCAAGGCTTCTAATGCCTAAAATAAAAACCATCTACTTTGTGGATGTAAAATCTTTAAAAAAACTAAACAAAATTTATAATTTTAACAAAAAATGTAGCCTTAATTGTCCCTTTTTCAACTTATAACATAAAATTGTTGGTTATTTCCATTCGCTTTCTCGGCGCTAGGACAAATGCGGTTTTTGGACATTTGCGGATCTGCGGTTTTTAGACACTTGCGGATCTTCGGTTTTTGGACACTTGCGGATTTTGGACATTTGCGGATTTTTTAAAGGGGTTTTTTTTATTTTTTATTTACTTTAGTTGTAGTATGGTACTAAATGGTACTAAAGTTTAAATTGGTACTGTTTTAATATGTTTTAGTGCTAAATAGTACTAAATTTTAAATTGGTACTGTTTTATATTTTTTGGTACTGAATGGTACTAAAAGCCCAAAAAGGTACTGTTATGTTAAAACCGCACCAATTTAAACTTTAGTACAATTTAGTACCATACTACAACTAAATTAACTAAAAAATAAAAAAAAAACTTTAAAAAATCCGCAAATGTCCAAAATCCGCAAGTGTCCAAAAACCGAAGATCCGCAAGTGTCTAAAAACCGCAGATCCGCAAATGTCCAAAAACCGCATTTGTCCTAGCGCCGCTTTCTCATCCAAGCCTAAAACCTCAAAATACATATAAAACCTTACTTGAGTAAGTTTATGACGTTCGGCTTGTGAAGTCTTGACGTCCTGTATAGCACGGATGGCGGTAACAACACGTTCAACTTCATCAGTAACAGATTTCATGAAAATACCAAAAGAAGATTCAAGTTTTTGATGCAAGAAGACCAAATTCTCGTTGCCACAGGTCTTCTGAATTGATTGTGAAGGTCTACTAAAAATGACATTAAATTATACTAGTCTATAGATGGTTTAAAACGTGCTGTACAAGCAATCAATTAATAAATTGAAAAAATTATTATTAAAAACGACGTAAAATACATCGTTTTACATTATTTAAGTTGATAAAACACGGCGTAACAAAAATATTAATAAAATGTACATAATATTATAAAAAAATAATCAAAATTAACTAAAAACGATGTTGAGTTAAGAATTTATTTGGGTTTCGTCATTAAGCTTCCGCGAAAAATAAATACCCAAAAGAGTGGAAGGAATCGCGAGAGAAATGCAGTCCCGATTCCTCTAACGCTATGAGCAGACTGCGGACGCGTGAAAAAGCCTGCGCCCTGCGTTTGTTATAGCGTGAGCTTTCTGGATTTACGCAACGGTACAAAGCTGTAGCTTAAAGAAAACGCTACAATATAAGTTTTGTATTGGGTTTGTTGTGTTTGCTTTGTCATTTTTGTATCTTATTTTGTGTTCAAAAATTGGAATGCTTTTGTAAACATATGTTTAACAGTTAATAGAAAGCCGAACTCAACCACTAATACTCCAATCTATCGAAAATTGATCATACTATTAACTTACATGTTATTGTAAAATTTATTAAAAACGGCATTCCTATCTGCATTTTTAATATACAAATGAAGTTTAAAATTTTTCACTAATTTTTTAATAATTATGAACTAGTAAAAATAAAAAAATTTTAATTTTTGGTACAACAGCACTTCATTCACATTTCATTAATAAACTTGTCAATCAAAATACAGTGCATTCCAAAAAGTCGGGCGCAGTTAGTAGTTTCACTTCTGTTTCTTACTTTTTAACGAGATTGGATAGGACACCTTCCTGCTGAAACATAATGCCATAGATTTTTACGAGGGCTTTTTTAAATTGAAATTTTTGAAATTAAATGTATCAAAATTAAATTTCTAATAAAGTAATAAAAATTATATATAGATTTTGCTTTTACTTTCAGGTTTTTGTTCAAAAAATCGTAAAAATAGCATAATATTTTTACTCATAAACATTTCACTAAAAATAAATATAAAAAACAGAGAAAATAAATGCATTTTTAATACTCCAGCTTTATGATGAACTTATTAAAAATACATTTTGCATCGTACTTTTCGAAAGATCCCAACACGAAAACGGAGAATGTCGAAAATGTGGCCTTCCGCACAAACGCGAAACGAAAAAGAGCGCTTTAAACCGCGTCGTCACCTGACCGACTTGTTTTTTGGCAGCCCCCTTCGGTCTTTTTTTTCAGCTGACCGCGCGCCCTTTTTCCATCCCGTTCTTATGATCTTTGTGAAGAGGTTCGGATTCGAGCAACCTCGGGGCGGTGTTTTTCCGGCTGGTGGTGGCGGGTTACGTAAGGCATGGTTTTGAGGTTGTGATGTAAGCATTTGTTGGCAAAGTTGTCATCCTTGATGGCCACGGTTTGTGGCTTTGGGTTAGTTTGGTGGGCTAAAATGAATCATTTTTGCAGTGCCATGGGTTTTACTTTTAAAATTTTTAAAATTGCTTTTTTTTGTTTAATTTTGGTGTTAAGTTTATTTTGTGGGTACATTTTTGGGCTAAACCTTAGGTTTATCTATTTTCGAAGGACAATGTAGTTTTTAATGGTTAGTTTTTTAGTTTTTATTCGTAAAATTTAATTTCTTTACAAGTTTTCAGTTTTGAAAAAGTATTTTTACAAAACTTTTTGTCAGTCAGCTCCTTAAGACGTAAAATTAATTATTATAACAGCCAAAATAGACTTTAGTTGAAAATTTAGACAGTAAAAGCTTAATAATTATTGAACGAGCTTTTGGAATGTTTATTTATATCGTTAATTATAGTTAAAAGTTGATTTAGGGTTTTTTTTTAAGTATGCGGTTATTTAAAGTTTACAGTTTTATCGTTGTTTTTTCAAGTCACATGTTTATAATAATAAATGACAGTATTTTGAAGTGTTGCGTAATCGTATTTATTAATATTTTTAAAAATACCCGTCTCCGGCGGGTTACAGCGAGAATTTATGATGATATCGAACTTTATGATTTGCGTTTTTTACTTTTGGACTTTTGTCTTAAATTGTTATATTGTTGAATTGTTGAACTTTAATCTATAAAAAGTTGACTTTTTAAAAACTTTCAGACCCGGCCTCTTTAACATCGCATTGGCGGGCTTACCAACAGATTCGGAGCCCTCAGCCATGCCGGTCACTGTGGTTGAGGGCCCCAAATCCGGCTCGAATCGGTCGGAAGTGTGGAAGTATTTTACGGAAACGGTCGGTGGGGCCAAGTGCAAGCTGTGTGGCCAGTTGCGTGTTCGCTCTGACAAAAGCACCAAGACCATGCACGACCATTTGCGTACGGCGCACAAGGATGTCTCATACCAGAAGGCATATCCTAACAGGAAACCGCAGCGCATCGTACCTAATATTCGACCGCCAAAGGTGAGGGTTGTTAGTTGTAGTAATTTTTGATATTAATTTCTTTAGTATACTACATTTTATAGGTTAAAAAGTTATACACGGTACATGTTTTTGGTTTTTAGTGTGTTTTTGTACATTTTTTATAACTATTTATGAAAAATATTGCTTTTAGTCCGTATCCGAAAGCAAATCGACAGTAGTATCAACGGCCGTTCATCAATCACGTAAAATCGAGGTGGATGCCGATAGACATGTATTATGTTTAATATTGCGTTGCATGGTAGACTTCAATACAGTTTTAGCAGCTCCTGAGTTTCAGTCTTTGATGCAAGCATTATATCCTACTTATAAAGTAGGTGATTTGTATTGATATTGATTTTATGTTTTTTATTGGTCATTAATTGTTGAATTTGTTTAAAACAGCTAAATTTGCAATGTTTCAGATGAAGTCTCGAACTCATTATGGTTGTGTTGTAAGCGAAAGAGAATCAAATCGTATCTCGTATCAAGTAACGCCTAAGAATAAGGAGTTTTTCTCATTAACAGCCGACTGGATTTCCAGTGATTTTGATAATCTTATAACGTAAGTTTTATATTTTCTTTATTATTTTTAATATAATTTTTTTATACGTTTTATTATGTTGTGTTTTTTAGATTCTCATCTCATCATCTTACTGAAGATTATAAGGACGTTAGTGGAATCTTGTTTGCCAATTCTTTTGGACCGTCTACTTCAGACTTGGACATTGCCGAACGTTTCCGGCAAAAACTACGCGAAATGCATGTTGATATTAACAAATTGGTCGCAATATGTCATAATGGCAGCTTTGTAAATATTTCTCGTCTTTTAAATGTAAATAGGTAAGGAGTTTTACACAATTGTTTGGCTTTATGTCTTCATTGTGAAATTTTTTATGCATTTTTGTTATTTTTCATTTAATATTGAATATCTTGGATTTTTTAGTTTTGAATGTGGTGCCAGGGTGATATCTCGTGTTGTGCAAAAAGCCCTGGACGTCGATTGTGTACAGTTTATCATAACCAGAGCCAGAAATTTAATCGAAAATTACAAGAAACACGCGAAAACAAAAACATTTTTTCATGACCGCTTCATCAAGAATGTAAGTTTTACGCTTGAGGTTTGAAAGTTTTACAGGTAACCCTGATTACGATTAAAATTGACAAAAAAGTTGTAGGAAGCCAAAAAGCATAACATTTGTTAAATATATTTAAAATTTTTAGGACAAAAACTGGGTCAGAGCTTGTGAAATGCTGACAGCGTTGGTGACAAATTCCGAAACCTTGAACATTATAGCTGAAGAATTGAGTAAAAAGGAAACAAATACAAGGTTATGCCTTGATGAAGAAGAAGCCGAAGTTTTTTCACATTTGTCCATTATCATGCTTACCTTCAGGGAAGAGGCGATACGAGTATGTTTTGATAAAAGCTTGATTCATAAACAATAGTCGTCAACTGTAAATTGTAGTTTTGAGTATAGTGAATATAAAGAAAGACGTAGTATTTATTTCTTGCGGTATATTATGATAATATAGAAATTTACATCAAAAACCCATTGATTTAATTTTAGCTTTCCCAAGATTGTGCGTCCGCCTACTTTCCTACTTTCATCAAGCTCAAATCTTTCGTGGACTGTTATCACCACACGACTGGCGGTGTTATCGAGGTATTTATCAACACTCTAAAACAAGAGCTTTCATTTATCTGCGAACAAATCAAACAAAACAAATTCCTGATGCTTTGCGCTGTGGTGGATCCACGTTTTCGTAATCGACCAGACTACTGTCATGTGGATTGGGGCCAAATGGAAGGCGACTTCCTTGATTTCGCCCTAAATTGTGCTCTAAAAGTTCAGCCACAGATTGAGAAACGAGAAGAACCAGCAAATAATATCACCCAAATATTTGAATTAATGATCAACAGGGTGGATAAACAACAACAAGACAATGGATGCATAAAGTTGGCTCCAAAAGATGTGAAGGAAGAAGTCCGAGAAGTTACTAAAGAGGTCGTGACATCAGAATCAGAGAAAATCGAAGACAAACAACTAAGATCAACGAAACCCGTAGACATCTGGAGCAATGTGCCATCAATGAGAGAAGAAAACGACCTCAACTTTAGATTGTCATTCTCTGTGACATTAAAGTGTGAACTGGACCAGTTTGCTAAGATGGAATGCATTGACCGCAATTCGTCGCTACAAGAATGGTGGATACAACATTCAAACGAATTCCCGAGGTTAAAGCGATTTGCGATTATCTTGAATGCAATCCCGGCAACGGCTATATGTTCAGATCAACTTTTCGGTCCTGAGGCTACACAGTATTCGGCAAAGTTGTTGAGATGGTAAGTAAACCAAAAGTCGTTCCCAAGATTAAAATAGTAAATATTATTCTGTGAATTTTAACTTTAAAATTACGGCAAGGAACGTGTTACGTACGCCATTTAATGCCTTACTTTAGGTTCGGCCATAAGTCGACGGCCAACTGTTTGATGATCAAGTCGAACATGAGCCCTTTTAAACGTCTACCCTTCCAATTCCAGCCTAATAAAACCGAAGATGACTCATGAAGCATGGATATATACATATGATATTGTACATACAAAATGTAAATAAGTGTAAATACAGATAAATAATTTTTTAATTCAACAATAATGTACAAAAAATATTATTATTAAAATTTGGATCTATTCAATCTATCTCCTCTTGAGCCAACAACAGATCCGCCCTGAGGCGTTGTAACGAAGAAACTAAATGAAAATCTCCATCAATTAAGCTCAAATTTGTCCGAAATGGTTCAGTTTTTCTGATTGGTCCTTGGTTTAAATCCTCTATTACATTCGTATGTTCTTTGTGAACTCTAGTCAAATGCCGTAGTAGAACAACCAAGTCGTCGAGATACGTTTCCGATGGGACTTGATCTGATTCCATCAATGTTTGGGTGATAAGATGAATGAAACCGGCTAGTTTTTCCAAGCTTTCCTAAAATGATCATAACGTGTTTAGTTAATAATGACAAAAGCTTTCTATCAATCACAGCTATGTTTACTATGAATAATAAAAGAACTTTATATTACCATGAGCTCACATGAAGTATTTATTATTAAACTTACATTTAGTTTCAACATTTCTTCAGATGTACTCAAATACAATAGTCCCAAGGTTTTTGTAGATAGGCTAGATTCTTTTACCGACTGAACTTCCTTTATTTGCCCGCACAAGTTGTTAATCACATCAACAAGTCCAACGATCTCAGCATTCAGTTTCCGAAGCGACGTTACCACGTTGTACAATGGGTTCATTCTACAGAAACATAATTTTATTAGAAAATCATGGCGTTTTGAAAATAGTGTAATTAAAAACGTTAAAAATATATGATAGTAATTAATTTTTGTAAAAATAAAATTTTAATAAATTTTAATACTTCAATACAGAAAAAGGCAATAACTTTATTTACAAAACTTGACCGTCTGCCGCCTGTCAAAAATTTATTTCACCGAATAATAAGAAACGCCATGGAGTAAACGTTGAGAAGACGTGTAAAAACACGACAAAATATAAATTCAATATGACATATATATCATATTCTATTATAAAAAGTCGTTTTTTAGTTGAATTTTGATGATAAACATGAACTGTGCTATTTTTTACAAAAATCTTAATTTTTTCTTCAATATATATACTAATTTTTTAAATTTTTACACCAAAATCTCATGTTCTATATTAACCTTCAACCAAAAAGACATTTTTCAATAGAAACGTAAAAACGTAGTAAAAAGTATGTCAACAGCTATAAACACATGCAAAACGTTATGTACTAAGCCAAGATAATTTATTTTGCATAATAAATACTTGTGAAATGTACAAAATTACAAGAAAACGCTGGTCTGACCCCTTTTTTATTAACAATTTTTAAAATACGTCTCGTAATAAATATGAAGCCCCCGGGAGGGCCGAGATCGGAGAGAAGATTGCCGAGACACACCAGAAGATAACACCGGGAGGGAGATAAAAGAAGACGCTTCACAGTTGGTAGATACTGCCTCTGCTCAAAATAGGACAAATTTCAAAAAATTTTTGAAACTTGAAATTCCAAAAATGTTTCAAAATTACCCCTTAACAAACCACAGTAGAAAAGAGCCGTAGATGTTGTAAACGAGTAGTTCTTACTTGAATTCATAAAAATTTATAAAATAAAATAATATTTGTCTTGCCACACAATGCCAAAACTCAGGGAATTTCCGCTCGAGACCCGCGCCTGCCCTCAATGTTGACGTTTTAAGGGCGATTTTTGAAGATGGGTATCAAAAATAGATTTTTATAATTTTCAAAAATAATTACAAAAAAGGAGATTTTTGAAAACATTAACATGATGTTGATGACAAAAAAGCACATTCAAAATACAGTTTTAGAAGCAACGAAACTGCATCTATACCTACAAAAAAAACCAAAAAATGTAAAGATCTTGATGTTAGAGATCTAATCTTGTAAGCCTAGTTGTTTTAGATCTATTGGTTTTTGACAGTTGGTTTTTTAGGTATAAAACTGTGTTAGCCTTCAAGGATTTTGGCTAAAGTTTGGATTCTGAACTTCAATATCGCCAGTCGGTGCAAGACCGGGACATTCATACACACTGAAGTTGTGCTCTTCAAGGTCTTCGTTCTCATCGTCACTCTTGTCGGAATGATCGTCATTCAATCCTTCATCGCCGATAATCTTCTGTTTGGTCTGTTGATAGTGATGAAGTTGAGCTTTGTATGCCAAAGATTCGTCTCCGGATTCGGCAACTGGAGAGCCGGCAAAGCCTTTGCCCTTGCGAAGCATGTCACGGCCTGGACCGGCTGGCGAGTAGCGGGTGAAGTCGTCAAAGGCTTCTTCACGTTGCTTTCGGACACTGAAAAAGATTTTAAATTAATTGAAGAGTTATTAAAAAAAGTTCGTTGCACATTTTTTTAAAAATTCAAACAAATTCGTTAACGCATGAGTACCAAAATATGAACTTACGTGTTGAAGTAGTACGCACCACCAACAACACCGACCACGCTGGCTACACAGCACATTGTGACGACCGCTGAAACGTGAAAAATTAGGAAATTTCATATTGAGTTTGTTGTTCAAACATTATGTAAAATCAAATTTGTTTCATCATAAACAATAATCTTGTTATTGGTTTTGTCAATATTGTTAATATAGAGGAGAATATTGGTCAATACGGTCATCAAACATAACGTTATTTTGCGACGCAACATCAAATACCACAGTAAATTACATTATGGTATTAAACATATATCAAAAATTGTTTTATTGACTGTGATATTCGGAAATGATATTGTTTTATGTTACTTGATGCATTAAAATTTTCATAAAGTAAGGATTAATACGTGTTTGACTTGTTTTTGAAAATCTTGCCAATAATTTTAGTATTGTATACAGTATTAGAGGACTTGTTTATTGTTTTTACACTAAATTTTTGCAAAAAGTTAAGAAGATTTTCTGTAACTTGCAAAAAAACTGTCGTATTACAAATTGTAACAAGTAAACAATATAATTCTTCGAAGAAAAGGCGCAAAAATTACAAAAAAAAATAAATTTTGTTAGATCAACAGAACACAGATTTAGTTTTTAGACGCCGTTAGACTTTAGTGCTTTTTGGGCTTATTTGCTACTTACAGTATTTTAAATTTACTTAAGATTTGTAAGAATTGTAAAGCTCATTTATTAAATTTGAACTTTTAATATAATGTTTAAACCAACTTGTTTTCAATGTTCGGTAATGGGTATAACAAAACGTAAACACCATGATTTACATGTAATGTCTCATATAAAACGAATACACGTAAATGTTACTTTCACTTTCCCAGCTTTTGAATAATTTTCACTGTTCCCCGAATGGCCTTAAGAATTTCAAAGCGAACGCAATTACTATGCTATTCAAAGAAATGGCAGTTTTGGTGACAATGAAGTTAATTACCACAAGATTCTACAAACCAAGCCAATTATTAGTGAAGTTAAGCTAATTAGTAGAGATGTATTAGCAAAAAAGTATAATAATTTACTTTGTCAATATTGTGCTTGAGATAGTTGTAAATTAGCTTGTGTGTGGGCGTTATGTAAATTAATGTTAATATTGTAGACATTTAATCTGGTAGATAAAGTGTTAAAAAAAATTGTAGGCTTAATTAATCTAAATCGTAGCATCCAAAAAATTATAAATTTATCCTTCTTAATACTGATATAAGCCTAAAGTAATCTTATGCTTAAGAACCATAAAAACCTAAAGCAAGCCGAATCTGAAAAAAACCATAAGCGCCTAAAATAGGCTTAGCTTTAAAAGTCATATAAGCTTAAATCTGAGCCTAATGTCTTAAACTAGGCCAACATAATTACAAAAGCCTTATTAAAAACAAGAACCCAAAGATTCTGTTCCGCTAAACAATAATATTTTCTACCATCACTCACACGTCCAATATAAACAAGTCATGTTTTCAAAATTAATTTACAGTGATACACATAGTCATTAGGAACGAAGTCCCGGAAACCCGATGCTGTTTACGGCCGCTTCGCACGCCATTCGTTTCAATTATGGCTTGGCCATGCATATGTGGTTTTTGAGCGTACAAAATAAGTAATGTAATAGAGCCGCAATAACAAGATTGGCATTACGTAAGAACGGCTTTTGTAAAACATGTCTTAAATTTTAAAAGTTAACACATCAGCGTAAAGTAACCCTATGAAGTTCCTAAAATGTTTTTAAAATTTTAAATTCAGTCTTTTTAAACTCCACACATCATTCAAAAACATTGTGGTTGATTAAACTTTTTAGGCCTAATCTAATCTCCACTCAACGCAAATTCTATTTTCGGCCGCAAAAAACTTTATTCATGTGAGAGATTGCTCGCGATGCTCTTTACCCTTATGATTACTGGGTGGGAACGCAAATTATAGTACTGTGGTGTTATATATTAGCATTATATATAAAATGGAAAACGAATATTTCTAAAAATCGCTTACGTCAAACAAAAGTTCCTGTTTTATATTTGTGCAAAAAAAAATTTAAAAGTAACTTACCGATAAAGACAACGTTGCTAGAGTTGCCAAAGATACCAAACAGTCCACCGGGCCGTTGGAGCTCCATAGCTGGTGCTCTTTTGTCCAGTACTTGCTGGTTCTTCAGAATTTTGGCGTGAGGTTCGACAAACTCCACAAACTCATATTGGCCCTTCTTTTGGGCCGTCAATGGTGCAGATGGTACTTCGGGGACTTCTTGGTCGGCTACTTGTTCACCTTGTTCCGCTTCTGGTACTTGTTGATCTGGTAGCTGTTCCAATTGTTTCTCTAGTTGTTTATCTTGTTGTTGTTCTACTTGTTGTTGTTCTACTTGTTGTTGGTCTACTTGTTGTTCCTTTTGAGGTTCGACTTCTTCGACCGGCTCTTGAACGGGCTGCGATTCTTGGACGAGGTTTTGGAGTTGTTGATAATCGAGGGGTTCATCGTATTGTTGAGGGTTCAAGTATTGAGAAAGACGGCGCAGAGGTTCAGCGTTGTCTTGGTACTCGGCTGAAACGTTTGTATTTGGTAATTTTAAAAAGTTCAGTGAAGAACCAAGTTCTAGTAACTTTTATAGTTAGAAAAAAACTGAAATTTGATTTCTTTGTGTTTTCTTAAAACTTTTCTTAACCTTGTCTTAATGTTTTACATAAATTCAATCCGCTTCCATCTGTGCAAACGAAAACATTACTGTTTGCACATTCTCCGAGGTTCATAAAATATTTATATTTCGACGAATTGGACAAAAAACGTCAATAAAGAGCAGGTAATGACGCAGACTGATAAGAGGTTTTATGTTACTCGAAGAATGTTAAAACCCCAAACTGTGGTGTATCGAAATTTGATGACAAACTTTTAGTTTAATAATACTTGATGATAAAAAAGTGTTAATTACAAGTTTACACGTCGTTTTCCATAAATTAAACGTCAATTTTTGAGCAAAAATTCACATAATTTTTGAAAAATTATGAAAAAGTTTTTAAATTATGCGTTAAATTTGCTAAAAAATATTTTAAAAAAATTGTGAAACTTTAAATCTTACCTTCCTCAGACAATCCGACCGGGATTTGTTGATCATACGACTGTGCAACTTGTTCGGCTTCTCGTAGCGCCTGAAGTTGACCAACGATGCGTTCTAACGAGTTTTGAGCTTCTTGTTGCGGGCTGGGACCACCCTCTAGAAAATATTCTTATTAAAAAACAAGTTTAAAAATTTTCAAATTTGTTTTAAATTTGAGGTTCTAATAGCTTTTACTGCCTCTTGATGACTCAAAAGTTTTTATTTTAAGTTTTAAGTAACAGAATTAGTAGTTCTGAACTTTAAATGTACTTTTAATTGAAAAATAACATGACTTTTTTTCTAAAATACAAAAAAAAATAAAAGTAGGTTTTTTATTTTTAAATTAAAAAAACAAAAACGCTGTTTATTGATGACGTTTTGATTGATTTACTGCGTGATGCACAACAACCTTCAAAAGTCACTAAAATTTTAATCAAATTCCCAAAGGACAAAGAGCTTAACAGTCTCACTTCGTTTACAATCGTTCAAAAGCCAAAAAAGTATGAAAAATTTAAAGCAGACCCAAAAATTTAAATCGAGTCATAAATTAAAATTTGGTACCCACCTGAGTAATAGGCCTGTGCTGAGACGGCGCGGGTAGAGCTCAGCAGGCCGAGTAGGAGCGCGGCGACGTGCCACATCTCTTCGTTTGGGCCCACGGCACGGAATGGCCGTTTTTGCGTTCTCGTCCGGCTTTCACCCTACGCGAAGGGCCTCGGGCAGTGTGTGTGCGTGTTGGGGTGTGCGTGACGTTTGGCGGGGGGCAAAACCGAGAGTTGGTTGGACGTTGAATTGCTGGCGAGCTGATAAAAGCGGAAGGCGCGGTCCAGAGAAAAACGGAAAGTGAAGTCCAAAGAAAGAAGTGAACTGCTAAGATAGACGTACTGACGCTGTAGAATGTAGAGAGTACGACGTGTTATGAAAAAATTAGTTTACTGTGGATTGTGAAGAGAGTACGGATACATTGACTGCAGAGTACTAAAAATATTACTTAAATTGTAGAGTACAACAGAGTTTCTTTTCAAACTAAAGAGTACGGCTTGTTATACGACGAAGAGTAATGCGAAGGTTTCAGAATTGTAGCAGAGAACACGGGGTTGATGTATTAGCCCTTGTGTAGCCCTTAGGGCAAACGAGTAGTTGATAGGGGGACACGGGGAACGGAAGCACAGTAGTCCACGTCGGGGGGAAAGTGGGTGGGGCAAAGCCTCTCGTACTCTCTCTGATAAGGACTTTTAATTCACTTGTCGCACTTTTCTCTATGTCTCTCTTGTAAGTTGTCTCTTCTGAAATTTGACTACAATTCTTTTTTGTCTTTTGTATATTGTTTGGTACTTATAAGACTGTGTTTTGTATATCGAATTAGTTATATGATAGCGTTATGTATAGTTTTTATACAACTGTCTTGAGCAAGCCAGTCATTCTACTTTTTTAGATTTTTGAAATTTTACCTTACATCTTCTAAACTTTAAAAAATTCTTGCTTTGTGTTCTCATGAATACGAAATTTCTTACTTTGTATTTTTCTGATTATGACTGTGTGCGCACAATACTGGTACGTGACTACAAGTTGTTGAACTAACGTTTCGAGTATAATATGTAATGTCTGGTTTCAAATAAAGGTTATTTGTAATGTCTGGGTTCTCTGAAAGTTGTTGCAAGTGAAGTATTATACAGTATACACACTTTGATGAATACAAAACATAATTTTGAAAATTTCATGAAATATTGAATTTAAAAAACAAAAAATAAATAAATAAACTGAAATCATAGTAGAATGAAACTTACTTAAAATACGGTTAATCACGTTATTAGTAGATAATAAATATAGTATATAAATTAAATGTCTTCTATTTAACAGATGTTAACAATGAATTATAGTAAACTATCACATTAACAACTTATTAATATTATCAATGCAGTTGTATTTTACTGCATATCTACAATGCTCTTGATACGGTTTAAAGTCTGCAACACTATACAAATAGCGTCAAAAACACAACGCAGCCATACACAATAGATGTCAACAAAAAACGACGTTGAAATAGCTTCAGTATTTTACAATATGACGTTAAAACTGTAGCAATGTCTTAAAATCTGACGCATAAGAGTAGCTTTTTTAATATTGTTAATTAAATGTTAGTGTAGTACGCTCTCGAATATGCGGTATTACACGGTAGAATATGACAATATCTAATCTTTCTCTAATCTTTAATATGTGATAATCGGCTTCACTCTAGAAGGTTTTGCAATCACTTGTTTCTTAATCTCTATGTACTGTGGTATCTTCTGTACTTTTTGTATAAAACAATCGTTTTTTGTTTTTAATACAGATTATTGTAGATTCTAGATTTGGAATTTTGAAGAATTTTGTAGCTTCTTTACTTGAGAATCTTCGTTTTAATTTTAGTGTTCTCTTGATGTTTTTATGTTTTCTGTAGCCTTCTAATATAGTTTAAGAGCTCTATTGTATCATACAAATGCCCTGGTTTTTGTTTCTCAAAAACCTTCTTATTCTAACCAAAACCACGTGGTGTCGGCCGTCTTCTTCAAGCGCCCGCTATTTCGTTCACGTTGTTCTGAAAATGGCAATCGATAAACGAAAAGGGACTTTGAGTGCCGTTTTCGACTCCATTTTTTCACGTCACTTTTTTCGGCGTTCAAATTGTCGCAAAAAAGAGAATGAGGAGAAATGCGGCCGAACATGGCATTGAAGGGGGAATGCGGCCGAACGCTTTGAAAAGAAAAAATGGCGAGCATGACAATAAGGGGTCTTGACATAGCCGGGGGGGAATAAATTTGGCTTGATAAAGGGAGAGGAAAATTATAGGAGAATAAGGGGAAATTTAGCCTTAAATGGGATTGAAGGGGAAATTTCGTCTCACATGCTTTTTAGGGGAAATACTGCTTAACTCAACGTTGAGGGGAAATATTTGGCCAAGTACAGAATAAAAAAAGGCCAAGCATTGAGTGGAGATGAAAATGAACACGCGGCTTCATAAAGAAGCCAAAAAACGAACATGCCTTTGTGAGAACGTGATCTTCCGGCCCCTCCGGCCTTGTTAAGGATTACAAATAGAATGAGAACGAAAATTGTAAACTAATTCCACGGAAATTAAGAAAATGAGCCGTGAATTTGGTTTTTAAAGTTAATTGGCCCAAAAGGGAAAGTAAATTTTGGTCGGTAATCAAATACGAGCACTATTAGTATAAAAGATAGTCAAAATATTACGAATATATAAACGAAATTGTAAACAAATGGAAGAATAAATAGCATTGTTGGGAAAAGCACTGTCATATACAGCTAATTTACTATATACAAGTTTAGTATTATGTACTTGATGCGTTCCTTCAGATTTAAAAAGGTTATTTCGATGTCATTTTGTAAAAGTTTTTACAACACTACTAATAATAAGTAGCTTAAAAACATATCTTCTTAAAATTATAATTTTTTAAGTTTTACAATAGCGTCATAAAAAAAGTAACTGAATGTTACGGCAGTAAAGATTTCACGCACTTTTTGTCATAATTTTTTAAATTTTATGTCTTTAACATATGCCACAAGTATAATGCATATTATTTACTTTTTTAAATGAATATAATATGACATATCAAAAAGTACACTACGTTATATCAGGTTTTCAAAATTATTATCTCTTGTTTACTCATTAAAACTCTTAACATTGCAATAATAAAACATACAGTAAGTATAGATGTAACAAGGCTTATAGTAATTACTTAAACATGTATTACATTAACTACTCATGTTATTCTGTAAACTACAATTTTAATAGACTGTATGACTAATTAGCTGACTACAAGTAGCTGAAAATTATGTTTGATCTTACATTTATTTTGTGGTTTTGCACTATTGTGACATCAACAACACCTACATATATATATTTAAAAAACCAAAAATTAAACTTTTTCTTAAAAAACGTTGTAAATTTTATAAGAATATAACTTTGAAGCGTAGATAAGTGTAAATCAAAAAATAAATTGTTTATGGCTAGTTCGAGTATTTATTACATTTTTTGTAATTCCAAAACCTTATAAGTTCAAGAAGCCATAAGACAAGAGAACATTGTGCTCGTTTGTTGACATTAAAGAAATCTAAACCAATCTGATGCAAATATATGTAAATGCTTAACGAACCAACCAAACAACAAGTATGGCTAACAGCTTTACGGATCACACTTTAAGAAATCAGAAAACTTTACAGTTTGCACCTTAACGGCTTCTGCAAACAGTGTTATAGCGGATAAAGATAACATTATTATTTTTGTTAATTTTGGTGTATAAAAATAGAAAAATATTTTTTTTGTAAAAAATGTAAGATCGTACAATTTTATGCAAAAAATTGCGAAAATATATCCAAAAAAATAAAATAAGACCTTAAGGAAGTAAAAAATTATTAGTCCTAAAATCTATTTTACATCCTAGTTTCCTGTTCCCTTTACACATCAATTTAATATTTTCAAAACATTCGTAAAAATGCGGAAATAACAGTCTTATAAGAGAGAGGGCTTAACTCATTTAGTAAAAGGCTTAAATTGGCTTGTAAGAAGGCTTAACTCACCTCATAAGAAAGCTTTACTTTTGTGTGCCATAACTTTATGACCGTTTAAAAATTTTTATAAAACGTGACCAAAAAACCAAACGAATTAAAAATATAAGTCAAATTCTTTGGCTTAAAATAAGTCAAAATCCCTTGGCATATCAAAAAATAAACCCATAGTAAAACGAAGAAACCGATCAGTGCTTCCCTCCTGAAACCCTATTAAAATATACGATTGAGAAGCGTCTTTTCTGTACGTTGAACACACGAATCAAAAAACAAATATTATAATTCCGGCGGATGAACAAAAGCACACTCTATATTGACACAAAATTATTATTTATTATGCAAAACAATAGAATATTATAATGTAACCCGTTTATTTGTAGCACGACGCTACGAGAACGTCGATCTCTTCGCACGAAGAGTTGGGAAGGTACATTTTGGCAAAACCACAATTTTTGTGTACCCAGCCCGTCACATCTGTTACACCGTACAATGTAGCGTAGTGACTTATCTGAAATTTTTTTAATAAATTTAAAAAATGTAAAGATAAATGATAATTAAAAAATAAAAATTTTTCAAAAGTTTAAAATAATAGTGTAAAAGTTTAATAAAACTAAAGGTTAAAATCTTATTTTTATCCATTTGCCTTTTTAATCAGTATTATTAGATTCAGGATTATCTTTCATCGTAAATTTAAAAGTGACAACATCAAGTCACGCTTATAAAGAAATTTTAAATTTAGAAACCACAGACAATTGTTCAAAAAAAAATTTTGTGCAATTTTTTCCCACCCCACTACACCCAAGATACACAAGAATTAACTAACATACCATATGACAATGTTCAGGCGACAACTGTAGATCCTGACCAGGCGGTGGCGTTACTTGTAACGAGGGTAGACCAAGCGGAATGTTGAAGTTGACATTCGACGGCCTGTTACCTCGATTTAGAGTAACCTGCTTCAGTTTCTGCGTTGGAGCTGGCTGAGGTGGCGGAGGCGGTGGTTGGGTTGTAGCCAAAGGTAACGGAGCTCTGATTGGAGCTACATTAACTTTGCGGACTTTTGGTTGTACCTGTGGTGATTCTGGTGCTACTCGGCTTATTTGTATCTAAAATTGAATCTAAAGTTATCATTTATTCATTTTTGGGCTTATAATTTTTTTTTAATTTGCAATGCTTATATAACAAAAATTAAACCTTGTAAAGTAGCATAGGACTATATATTAATGTGTTACATAAAAGTATTGTCGTTTTTTACGTGAAAAAGTATACAATTTAGCGACAATACTTTACTAACAATCTTATATTATGCAGACTACCTAAAAAAGTTATGCAAATCAAAAAAAATATTTAAAACAATAAATAATCCAAAAAATCGTACATTATCAGAATCCGGGCCGGTTTCGCCACTCCTAATCGTACTCTGTAGCCGTCGCTGCTTCAACTCATTCAAGTAGCTAGGACCACCAGCATCCCCCACCACCGGCTCGTCATCGTCCACCAAAACACACTTGTAGCGTTTCGGCTTTTGTGCCTCCGCCGCCGCCAATAAAAGTACAAAAACAAGGGTTTTGGTAAGCATTGACCCGGATCGCTTCTGCCGCCTGAGCATCGCGCGTTTAGTGCTCGAAGGGACTTTTACGGAAAATTAATTTTTTCCACCCCCTCCTCCGACGGCACGCTGAAGTGATCGAGCCGGCTTTCTCTTCCGGATATAATGAGAACCGGTTGCATCCCGCATTCAAATTGGCTCTTGCGGATTCTTTTTCACGCCATTCCTTAATGAAGATTACATCACTAAACAACAGAATCGCTGTGGTTTTGGAATTGGAATCTGATGTGGTTTTTTTTGCGAACAGCAAAACTTCTACTTTACTAAAATTTAAAAAATATGCTTTATGTTTTTTATGTTTTTGTTAGGCTTGTTTTAAATCGAATTATTTTTTTAGGTTTACTTAGGCTTAAAAGTGCTACAGATTTATTTCTAAGTTTTATGCTCTGTCACTCCTTTAGGCTTAATTATTCTTACTTTAAAAATATTTCATCTTTTAGGCTTTTTTAGGCTTATGTGGTCTTTTTGGCTTGCTTTAGGCTTGTTTTGTTTTTGACTCTTTCTTTGTATTTAAGCTTAACTGATTTTATAGGCTTAAGTTAGTAAATCCTATCAATTTTACAGCCTCGCAGTACATAAAAATTCAAGATTCTCGATCGGAAGCATTATTCCCCCTCATTAACAAATGATTTGTGGTTTTTTAAAACGGGTTTCTCGCCTCCAGAATCTCTTCGCTCCTGAAACAATGTTCCTGTTTCAAAACGGATAAAACGATTAATAAAACAAAGTTTACACAAGGAAGATCAATATTTGTTATTTTTTTTTATTTTTACTTTGTGGTATTATAGTCTTTATTTGTTTTTAGCTTGTTGACTAATCTTGAATTTGTGATTCTAATTACTACTTTCTCACTTATTTTATCTTGCGCAATCTTGAGGTTCCGGATAACGGTGGATTAAATGTAAAAACTGACAAAGAACAATAACAAAGATTTAAACTTGTTTTTAAAAAAAATATAATATAAAGCTAACATGAATGGCCTTTAAACACAAATCTACAAAATAGCCAAAATTTCGTATACTATGTAACTAAAAAGTCAAGCGCAAGCTGCGTCCTAATTCGTTGTTTGGAAACGTGGCTTCAAAAGGCCAAAAAATGGGAATTTCGAGGGTCGGAGAAGATAAACAAAAAACTAGAATAAAGAAGAATGTTCTCTCCGGAACTCCTGGCCAAACAGGAGATTCTGTTGAAGGTTGGTGTACTGGCTGTAGCCTGTATTGTGGCCTTCATTCTCCGATTGTTTGCTGTTATTCGGTTTGAAAGCGTTATCCATGAGTTTGATCCCTACTTCAACTTCCGAACTACGAAATATTTGGCTGAAAACGGGTACTATGCATTTCATAACTGGTTCGATGACAGAGCTTGGTATCCGTTGGGTCGAATCATTGGTGGCACTATCTATCCCGGTATGTTTTATATTAACATTGCTTCAACTTTAAATTGAATTGTTGTAGTTTAACTAGCTGTACTATGCATGTTTAACGGTTGTTCTATACATTCTTTTTAGGTTTGATGGTAACAAGTGTGTTTATCTACAAGATTTTACATTTTTTGAGTTTTACATTGAACATCCGTGAAGTGTGTGTGTTTTTGGCGCCGTTGTTCAGCTCTTTTACTGTTATTGCTACTTATTTGTTGACAAAGGAAGTATATGTAAGTTTTTGATTATTTTTTGTTATTTAGGATTTTGAATGGCATACATTTTGACATGACGTTCAATGTGATAAAAACGTTAATATTATATATCCTAATGACTTATTTTTTAATAATAATGGTTTTTTAGTCAACTGGAGCCGGACTTGTTGCTGGCGGCTTGATTGCTATTGTTCCTGGCTATATTTCTCGGTCAGTAGCTGGATCATACGACAATGAAGCTATTGCCATCTTCTGTATGATTTTTACCTATTATCTGTGGATCAAAGCTGTTAAAACAGGTACTGTAAAGTACGGCGCTGCGGCTGCTTTGGCTTACTTTTATATGGTTTCTAGCTGGGGAGGATACGTGTTCTTGATTAATTTGATACCGCTTCATGTCTTGGCTGTTATGATCAGTGGAAGGTTTTCACACAGGATTTATGTTGCTTATAGTACTGTAAGTTAGTTTTTACGTATATTGTTGTTGGAAACATGATTAAGTTTAATCCTATATTGTGAAGTTGATGTACTTCGTCATTTTAACTTAAATTTCTTAGTTTTATCCTCTGGCTACTTTGTTATCAATGCAAATCCCGTTTGTCGGCTTCCAACCAGTGTCGACTTCTGAACATGTAGGAGCCTTTGGAGTATTTGGATTGATTCAATTATATGCGTTTAATTTGTACGTCAAAAGCAAACTAAGTGATCATGATTACTCTGTTATTAAAAGTGCCATTTTTTACGGAATTGTTTCTATTTTTGGCGGACTTATCACACTGTTATTGTTGTTTCAAAGTAAGTGCATTTTACTATTGTTTTTTATTTTTAGGATGTTGGTTTTGGTAAGTAGCTTAGTTAATGCAGATTTTAAATTGTTACCTTCTAAGACGATGATGTTTTTCAGAGATTGCACCATTTACTGGTCGATTCTACTCGTTGTTAGATCCTTCTTATGCAAAAAATAACATTCCAATTATTGCTTCGGTATCTGAACATCAGCCTACGACATGGAGTTCATACTACTTTGATCTACAGTTTTTGGTGTTCATGTTTCCAGGTAAATTGATTTTTTAAAACTTTTAAATGTGCTAAGTTATGTTAAAGTCCGTTACTGAATGCTAAAAAGAAGTTTATTCTAAGCAAGTTTAAGTTAAGTTTTTTACAAGTTATATTGTTTTAGTCGGTTTGTACTACTGTTTCAACGGTCTAACAGACGCCAATATCTTCGTCATCATCTACGCTTTAACATCAATTTACTTTTCTGGAGTAATGGTACGGTTGATGTTGGTATTGGCACCGATTATGTGCATCATGAGTGGAATTGCCATCAGCACGTTGTTGTCCAATTTCTATAAGAACATCACGGATGAGGATAAGAAAAAAGAGTCTCAAAAGCCCCAAGGCAAAACTGGTGCTAAACGGGAAAGTAACGACAGTTATCCATACAGAGATTCGGTACGTTTAGATTATTTTTAAAATTCAACAAAATTTTTATTATAAATCAATTTTTTATTTAAAATAATTAAACTAAAATTTCATAATTGTATTTTTAGGTTGGTCAAATTGTCATTGGAGCTCTGTTACTAATGTTGACCGCTTATGTGAACCATTGTGTTTGGGTAACATCTGAAGCCTACAGTTCTCCAAGTATTGTTTTGGCGGCCAGAAGTGGAGGCAGCAGAATTATTTTTGACGACTTCAGGGAGGCTTACTATTGGTTGAGACAAAATACTGATGAGGTAAGGTTAAATGTTTATGTTGTTTTTTAGGTTATTTGGCACTTCTTATTTGTCTAGAATACGGATCGTTTTATAAAACTTATTTATAGTAAAACAACAATTTATGTAGCTAACTTATATTATAAATAAATTTAGGATGCCAAAGTGATGAGCTGGTGGGATTACGGGTATCAGTTGAGTGCCATGGCTAACCGAACAGTAATAGTGGACAATAACACATGGAATAATACTCATATTAGCCGAGTTGGACAAGCAATGGCATCAAGAGAAGAACATTCCTATGAGATTATGAGAGAACTGGACGTAGACTACGTACTAGTCATCTTTGGTGGAGTTACGGGTTATTCTTCTGACGACATCAACAAGTTTTTGTGGATGGTCAGAATTGGAGGATCAACGCCGGAAGGTAAAATAAGTAGAAATTAAATTTTTGAAAGGTTAAGGGATATTCTTCGGTCGCTTTTACTTATTTCAGTTATTATTTCAACTGGTCTTTGGCCGTGTTTATTTAACTTTAATATCATTTTTAGGTCATCATATCAAAGAACGCGACTACTACACGAAACGAGGAGAGTACAAAGTTGACAAAGATGGTTCCCCAACTATGCTGAACTCCTTAATGTACAAACTCTCCTACTACAAGTTTGGCCAACTCTATACAGAACAACATCGTGCACCGGGTTACGATCGAGTACGTAACGCTGAGATTGGAATCAAAGATTTTGAATTCAAGCATCTGGAAGAAGCCTATACATCTGAGCATTGGCTCGTCAGAATCTACAAAGTTAAAAAACCTGCCAATAGGGGATAGGAAGTAATATACGATGGTAACTTAAGTATATTGTAGATTGAAAAAGAATACAGTTTTATTTCTGTTTGCACGGTAGTTTCGAGAATCTTTTTTACTACTGTATTCTCAATTCTGATCGTATTATATACTTAATTATGTTACTTATTGTATTTGTTTCTGAGAGATGTTATTGGTTCTAGTTGAATACGTGTTATTTATTAATAAGTTATTTTAAGTTTGTTGTAATATTGTAATTATTCTAATAAAGTTTTTCTATCTTTGCTCAGTTTTTTGAATTTGAAATTATTTTTGCGTTTGATCATAAAACACAAAGAACTTAAACTAGAAACTTCTTTTGTTTATAATTTGGTCCTTTCTTTCGCCGATTTGATTAATAATGATAGCGATAAAAATTTCTCGAAAAGAAGCGAAAGTTTTTGCGTTTATAAAAAGTTGTTTATATTTTTCTTTCGCAATCTATTCTATCTGTTTCGCAATATTCTAGAAATTTGTAAAGCTGTATAAAAGCCATCAGAAATTGTAATCAAGAAGGTCTACAGAGGTCTAAGAGGTCTACAGAGGTCTAAGAGGTCTACAGAGGTCTACAGAGGTCTAAAGAGGTCTAAGAAGGTCTAAAGGTCTGAAGGTTTAAGGAGTCTAACGGAGCAGAGTTAAGAAAATTAAGCTTGTATTACTCTACTATATTACTGTATTATCAAATTGTATTGCTACTGTATTCTGCTACTGTATTAATTAATAAACTAGACTATTGAGCTAAAATATCTGGGCCAAATATTTTATTATTGTAATTTTATGTTTCTTATTTTGGAAACAATTTTTTATTTTGTTTTCATGCTGCTGTTGTTTGAAACGTTACTTTTGGTTTTTGATGTATTCAATGTACTCAGTAGGAGTTCAAAAGGAAAATTTTTGTAAAAATTGTGAAAATATTTTCTAATATTGTCAAAACATGTCTAAAAATATTTTTCATGCTTTCAAAAAGCATTATTTTTATGTTTTCATAATGCCGTTCGGTTTGACTATAAACTTTTATTTTTGGTTGGTGATTTATTCATTGTACCTGAAAGTAGTCGCGGATTCTGCCGAAGTCCAAGTGGAACATTTATATTTAGAACTGTTGGCAAAAGCGGTCAATGATGAAGGAACGGTGGATTACAATTATCAACGTCCCAATGACTGCGAAGTCGATGGTAATAATTATATACATGAAATTGAGAAGTGCATGTACCGTGGCAGTGAAGCTGTGTACATGAGTCGACCGTTTGAAAACTTTGACATGCGGAAGGTTACTATGGAATTGTTTAACATCACGCGGAAGAACTTATGCACGTGGGTTTAATTTTGCATTGTAATACAAATTGAAGACGCAAAAAGGTAAAAAATGACAAAACTTTCTTTACATACGATGAATTAGCACAAATTGTAGAGAACTCTTCAGTGTCATATTTTCAGAGAAATAGGTCCATACAGTTTGTGTTCACGTGAAATTTCGTGTTCACGTCCAAAAGCCTCCATCATGAGTAGCAACGTTCTTCAAGCCTTGTTTGTGGTACACTTTAAGTGTGAAGGATACTCGCTCAGTGAAGTTGATTTAATGGGTGATTGTGCTAATAAGGTGGAGTTGCCGCCGGAGATGTATAACACAAATGGGCCGTGCAGGTAAGGTTTTCAGGAGTTTTTAAAACTGGAAATGACAAAAACTTTGGCGCTACTCTGTTTAAAGGTCCCACGCCACCCAATAAAAGGTCCCAATTTTTGACCCAATAGAAGGTCCCAAAATTTTAATTTTATGAGAACCGAAAATCGGTTGTATTGGTTGTTTCATTCTTATTTTTTGCAAAGACCATGGATGGTCGTGTCATTATTGTTGGTCCGTGATGACCATGTCTTGACTTAGGTTTTGCCTGAGACAATCAATGTCTGATGAATGGTTCTCCTGAGAAATACTTGCTGATGATGGATCCCCCCACTTGATCGTATCTCACAAAAATACCTACACGGTAAGTATAGTTCTTTACATATTGGTTCAAACTTTTTAGTAGTGGTCCCACTTTTTAGATATGGGTCCCACTTCTTAGATATGGGTCCCACTTCTTAGATATGGATCCCACTTCTTAGATATGGGTCTCACTTCTTAGATATGGATCCCACTTCTTAGATATGGGTCCCACTTCTTAGATATGGGTCCCACTTCTTAGATATGGGTCCCACTTCTTAGATATGGGTCCCACTTCTTAGATATGGGTCCCACTTCTTAGATATGGGTCCCACTTCTTAGATATGGGTCCCACTTCTTAGATATGGGTCCCAACTTCTTAGATATGGGTCCCAACTTCTTAGAATATTGATTTCAAATTACTTTTTTGAGACCATTTTCAGGTACAGCAACCACGTTTCAATTTCGCGATCTTTTTACAATGAAATTTGTAAAAAAAATGCAATTTAAATGAATAAAATTTGCATGGGACCTTCAAATGGGCCATGGGACCCTATAATGGGGTGGGACCTTTAAACTGAGTAGCCCCAAAACTTTTGTAGAAAGCATTAAAATAGCAAAAACTTTCTTTACATGTTGATTTTTTCAGAAAAGAGTACGTTTATTACATTTTCGACCAGTTTAATCAACACTGCAAATTCCTGACTCGACCACAAGTGATCTCTATTTGTGAATTGTTCACCTTACATTTTCGTTTTTATTGTCTTTCGTTTCACTGTAACGACGTGGCGATGAAACGATGGAACGGTACTGAAAGTGGTTTCCGTTCGCAAATATCGACCCACATTGTGAACAAGATTCAAATGCACGTCAAAGAGATGAACAACAAATACGAAGGACAATTCAGTTTTACTTATACTGTGCCTGATAAAGTTTAATTAAAAGGTGGTTTACATAGCCAATAAATTAAACGAAGGATCGTATAAAGTTATTGAAAAAAAATAGTCATAAAATAAATAGAACATTCCAAGCAAAGACGCATTAAGTTACTTTAAATTCAAAAAACTCAGACCCAACTCTTCACACAGTAACTTTTCGTGTCTTTGAACGATCATGTAAGAGGTAGGCTTCGGAACCGACGTCATTCCAGGGCATCGTTCTAGCGACGGTTTTCCCAGCCTTGGGTCAACGCGAAATTCCAGATCTTGAATAATACTACCCAGTACTAGGTACAGTTCCATTCTGGCCAACGCTTCGCCAGGACACGCTCTCTTCCCGATGCCAAACGGATTCAAAGCCGGATGTGGTCGATAACGACCCTTACGGTCGATGAACCGTTCTGGCCGAAAAGTGTCAGGAGAGGAAAAGATTTCCGGGTCATGAAATACCACACCCGGCTGAGGCATTACCACCGCTCCTTTCGGGATTAGCACTCCACATACTGATACCTATAATATTGAAGTTGTAGTGTGATAATCATGAACGATCTTATGTAGTTTAGGATATACCAAATTATCATAATATTGTTTTAAGCCTAATATCATAAAGCTTACTTCCTTATCACAAGTATGTGGTATATGCCACGGCAAAACATTGACCATTCGCTGGATTTCATCCAAAGCAGCATGAAAATACGGCGTATTAACGCGGTCCGATAGTGTCAAGAATCTTCTACCAATCACCGTATCCAACTCATCTTGCATCTTCTTTTGCACCGCCGGATAATGGATCATGTATATGATAGCCCATCTTATGGTTGTTACTACTGTTTCTAGTCCTCCGGTCCATAAATCACCAGAATTGATCGCACAGCTCCATTTACTGTAACACAATCGCTTATAAGTTAACTTATTCTTACCTAAGATAAGGTTGTTGTTCATCCTTCATAGCCTTCAGATAATAATCAATAAAATTTTCTGGCTTTTCGTCTACCTTCAGTACTTTTTCGTGCTTCTCAATTTCGTTTTTAAAGAAATTCTGTAGGGCGAAACCTTCTTCAACATAACGATGGAATCTGGGCAACATGAATCTCATCCAAGGGAAGGAGTTGACCAACAACATTTCCACGCTGGCTACCTAAACTACCCTGGTTTGAACAAGATTTAAGTGAAAACTTGCACTGGCACACAAAACTCAAAAATTGCACGGTGAATAACATTTTAAAATCAAATTTAAAGCTAGAAATAACATATAATCAAACCCCTTCAAGCGTGTTGTCCAGTAGCCTCTTGAATCTAAAAAATTCTCCGTCATCATGTTCAAACTTTGTTCCCATCACCAGGTCGTGTATGATGTTGCCAAAACAGTACGCCAATGGGTAATGAAGATCAGTCACCAAGCCGTTATCGTTCTTCTTGATTAAAAATGAAGCACGTTGTACCATCACTTGTGTATGATGCATGATTCTGTCTTCCATGATTCTTTTGCCCATTCCAAAGCCTCTGAATGCTCGTAATGCAATTCTGCGTTGGGCTTGCCATTTTGGACCACGGCACAAAATGATGCCATCGCCATCAGAAGAATGTTGGGTAAATAGTGTATAGAGGAAAGTGGTTGGCCGACCAGCAAAGTAATCTCCTGAAAAATTATATTTTAAAATTGTGATTTTTGAAAACTCAACGTTATTAAATGTATCACCGGTATATACCTTTAGCTACTAAGGCTTCAGTTAAGGCTTTGGTTCCGGCTAACACAACGACAGGCTGAGGAAGATAGACAGTGTAGACTTCTCCGTAACGTTTTTTCCATTCTAACATTGTTTTGTGCGGAGTTGACACATCAATCTATAAATTACACTTTTAATATGAAACTACTCTTGGACTTTGAAAGATTAATTACCTGTGGAAAATTTCCAACAACGGGAAACGGCGGTGGTCCACGAGGATACTCCACCTTAACCTTCTGTTTGCCTCCTTTTTTGTCCAAAAAGTACTTCCAGATACATACTAGTACGATAAGAACAGTAATGATAAAACCAAAAATCATTTTCAATATATGAAATTGCAAAATGAAAGTAAATTAGAAAAACTGCGGTATTTATATGCTACGAAATGGCGGTAATACTCTCGGCAGACATCCTTAAGTACACGGCAATTTGTAGGAATTGTCTGACCGCACACATGATTTTATAACTATAAAGCGCTAGACTGCGCAGTGGAAAAAACTTTTATCCACTTTTTTCTGATTATTTGACCAAAACACTACAAATATCACCAATTATATAATAAAGAATAAAGTATGTACTTTTGACAACTTAATATTAAATGATAAAGGACAAACAAAGTTCAGTCGACAGAAAGTTCTTAACACTCATTGTATACTTAAAGCTTTCTTTTTAAAAACCATGAAACATCCGTTCGAAGTTAAAATTTAAAAACCTTGAAAACACCGTTCGAATTTTAAAATAAGTTTATTTATAGTATGTTATTCACATTACACAATCGTACATAGATAGTAGAAGCCTTGTAAAATCTGAAAAGGAAAAGACGCAATTTATTACATTTAGATCGATGAGAACAGACACCAGACAATCGTTACAGGTGAGATTTTTATGTTAGTTCAGGGCGAGGGCTTCGGCCGCGTCGTCGGCAAAGTATCTTACATCAAATTCGGTGTCTTCTTGGAGCTTCTTGATTAAAGGTTTCACTTCAGATGCCAAAAGTCTGAAAATTCATATTTTTAGTAAAATTAACTAAAAAAATAATAATTTGTTTTTAAAAGTCAACGTTTCACATCTAAAAAACAAAACTTACGGTTGATCCAAAACCTTGCCGATGATACCCAAACTCTTGGCCACATTAAATCTTACATTCGGAACTCCATCTTCTGTCAATTTCTTCAGAACTGGGAAGATTTTGGCTACGGTGTTCTCCTTTCCGATCGCTTGAGCTAAGGTATTGTAACAGAAGATACATGTCATTCTGTGAAGATAATTGCTATCTTCGGCCAACTCATTTACTTTCGGCAGAATCATTTCACATGCCCATTGTGCGCCAAATTTCTCAGCCAATCGCTTCAAGGTAGTTGTAGCGGCTTCACGAATAGCGTAAACTAAAAATTTCCAAAACATTAAACGTAAAATCAATATTTTAAAACGTTATTTAAATTTTTTTAAGTATAAAATTAAAATTGTCAAATAAAAAATTGATATCTAAAATTTCGAAAAATTACCGTGGTCAGTCAGCCAAGCCATGCACAGCTTTAAAAGCTTCTCATCAAAGAACTGACGGCCCAATTGTTCAGCCAGCAGAGGCATATGTTCCACAATGGCCAATCTCACCCTCCACTTTCCATCTTCAGCCAATTCAATGATAGCAGGGAGGACTGATTGTTGAAGATCGTTACCTCCGATCACTTCGCTGACTTTATCCAATGAAGAGATGATGTTCAACCTCACTTCGGCCGTATCATCATGTAGCATTGACAAGAAGATTTGAAGAAGATGGTCTACCGTGTTTTGTTGACCAAGAATTGGAGCCAATCCCATGATTACTGAAGCCAAAGCCACTTTAACATGCTGGTTAGCATCAGAAGTTAGTGGTTTGACGACAGGAAGAACTTCCTTTATAATGGCTTCTTTTCGGCCAGCTTCAGGAAGAGCGGAGCAAAAAGCTTGAAGTTTAGAGGCAGCAACATCACGAACTTCACCTTCGGCATCTTTCAACAAGCTAGTGTAAATTTCGACCATCTCCTCAATGGTAATCTTGTCTTTGAAAGCTTCTTGAATCTGAAAACCAAACAAAATAGTATAACATTTGAAAAAGTCTTACTTTGACATAAAAAATATACTTCTCACAATACCTTTCAAAGAATTTTTTAAAACATACCTCAACAATTCTCTCAGCAACCATATACCTAGATCTCCACGATCTGTCGTTGGCCAATTCTTTAATAATTGGCTTGAGTTGGCCCAGCTTAGCAGCGTCATCACGCAATAAAGAAACCATAATTATTCCAGCTTCTACTGCCAAAACTCTAACGGAATCTTGATCATCCTTAGACAACTCTTCGAAAATTGGGAACAACTCATTCTTCAAGCTGTCTTCTTCGACAACCTTGGCAAATTCACCTAATTTAGATGACGCGGCACGACGAACCATAGGCGTATCATCACGACACAATTGACGATACACTCTAAAATCATATAATTGAAAACAAAATTACAATCAATTTAAAAAAGCTTTAAATTTCCCAGATTACCTGTAAAAATCAGAAGTTTAACAAAATAAAACAATCAACTCACCCTCTGAGCTCCAATTTCATTTGAGGACTAGCTCTAGCATAAGCAACACTGAAAAGACCACAAGCACTAGTTCTTGAAGTAAACCAATCCCCTTGAGCCAACCTCAAGATCATAGGAATAAAATGATCTTCCAAAGCGGCTGGAGAATGTTTGTCAGCAATCTTCCTTAAGCTTTCCACAGCTTTATCCCTAACGACCGTCTCCTCGATGTTAGCCAAATTTTCCAATGGAGGCAGAAGACAATGGACGTACTCTGGGCCTCCAACCAATGGAGTAAAATTTCCCAATTGTTCAGCAAGAGCAAGAAGAACTTCGTCTTCATCGTAGATTGTGTCTAAATGATAAAATGTTGATTTAAACGATAAATAAAAGTTTGTTTACTAGACACCATAAATTTCAAAAATCCACATCGACGTCTATGCTCAAAAAAGACCTAAAAATCAAAAATAAATCAATAACAACTCACCAGTTAAAAACTGGATCAACTCCTTCCTCGTTCTCTCAACTCCCAGTGCCAAAGCTATCGTCGACAATTTCCTAATAGAGTTGAGTCTCAGTTGAACATCTTCATTTCTCAGTTCATCGATAAGAACGGCAATTGGATACAAAGAGTCTTCTCCTTCTTCAGGCAATGGTGGCTGTGCTGTAGCGGCCGTCATTGCTCTTTTAAATCTCTAAAATTAATTTTAAAAATAAACTAACAAATATTTGCTGTTGTAATGCTATAAGTAAATACGAAAAATAAACGCGCTTAACAAGTTATACACAAATTTGCCAAGAGAAAAAGCGTAAACTGCCCCCCGACGCGTTTCGAAATCTATTATTACCTAAAATCCAAATGCCAGCTATATCCTCTAAAATTACTAGAATTAAAAGGAAAAACTATTATTCTTGGTAACAAAAACAATTATATGCGTATAAAATATACAAAAACATAGATTTTCGACGTAAACAACACGCCGTTTCTTCATCACAAGAGAAAAAAGAACTGTTTAAAAAAGTTAGTTTTGAAAATATAAGTCAATACAAATTGGCCAAATTACATGGAAACCACAAACATTGGCGGATAAAACGGCCAAAAGCAGCCATGAAGAAGATTATCAAGCTTATTGCACAATGCCATTTACCGTAAAGAATTTTTTGGCATTCCAATCAATAAACAACCGTCAAAGAAAGCGGGCTTTTTGCGATAAAAAATGTTTATTGGCATTCTGCAATAAAGACAAGTTCACGTTGGTCTGACTGCTATTCTGGTTCATATTTCAGTCAGGATCAACATAAATGTTGTTGAATCCGGCCGTTGCAACGCTTCGGAATGTGACGGCGAAAAACGGTAAGTTTATATATAGTTTTAGTCGTTTTAAAGCTATTTATCTGCTTTTATATTTAGTTTAGTGAATTTTAATTTAAAAAATAGCAAATAAACTACGAAGAAAAGTTATTTATTGTTTTAGCCGCAGCACTGTCCGTCAGGTTTTCATCGACCGAAAAGCCAGCTGAAAAGACCCATTTTGGGGGCCTGAAGGATTCCGATCGTATCTTCACTAATTTATACGGCCGGCACGATTATCGTTTGAAAGGAGCATTGGCTAGAGTACGTGTTACTTTTTGTTTTTTATTTTCTGTTTAGGGTGATTGGTACAAGACAAAGGAGATTATTCTGAAGGGTTCTAAATGGATTTTGGGTGAAATCAGCACGTCTGGGCTTCGTGGACGTGGTGGAGCCGGTTTCCCTTCGGGAATGAAATGGGGATTCATGAACAAACCTTTTGATGGCCGGTGAGAAATTATTTTTAGGCACTATATAGTTTTTTTTAAATTTAGTGTTTTGTTACTGCTTACTCATTTTGAAAATCGTATGGTATTCAGTACATATTTTTAGTCCGAAATATTTGGTTGTGAACGCTGATGAAGGAGAACCAGGAACATGTAAAGATCGTGAAATTATGCGTCACGACCCTCACAAGCTGATTGAAGGATGCTTGATTGGTGGTGTAGCTATGGGTGCTCGCGCTGCTTATATTTACATCAGAGGAGAGTTTTACAATGAAGCCGTTATTCTTCAAGAAGCTATTAATGAAGCATACAAAGCCGGATACTTGGGAAAGGATTGTTTGGGAACTGGATATCCATTTGATGTGTTTGTTCACCGAGGTGCTGGAGCTTATATCTGTGGAGAGGAAACTGTATGTTTTATATTATACCTATATTGTTACCTAATAAGATTTTTGTCTTTACGTAAATTTTGGTGTTATTTTTGTAGTTTAAGGTTTTCTAATTAAGAGGTGTATAAATTTTAATAGCATTTTAGGCTTTGATCGAATCTATTGAAGGAAAACAAGGCAAACCTCGTCTGAAGCCTCCATTCCCAGCCGATATTGGTGTTTTTGGTTGTCCAACTACAGTAACTAATGTTGAGACCGTAGCTGTAGCTCCAACTATCTGTCGTCGTGGTGGTTCATGGTTTGCTCAATTTGGTCGTGAACGAAATCGCGGTACCAAGTTGTTCTGTATCAGCGGTCATGTTAACAACCCCTGTACTGTTGAAGAGGAGATGTCGATTCCATTGAAGGATTTGATCGAAAAACATTGCGGAGGTGTTATCGGAGGCTGGGACAATCTTTTGGCAATTATTCCGGGAGGATCGTCTGTCCCGTTGTTACCTAAAAGTGTTTGTGACGACGTTCTGATGGACTTTGATGCTTTGGTGCAAGCAAAATCTGGATTGGGAACTGCTGCAGTTATTGTAATGAACAAACAAGCTGATGTTGTCAAGTGTATTGCCAGATTGTCATTGTTCTACAAGCACGAGAGTTGTGGACAGGTACGTACGGGGATCGGAATTATGCTTATATAGAAGATTTGTAAAGGGCTTTTAAAATTTAGAAGGGATTATTGCGACAACTTACAATTTTTTCTTTTAGTGTACCCCATGTCGTGAAGGTTGTAACTGGCTGAACAAAGTGATGTGGCGTTTCGTCAAAGGAAAAGCCCAACCTTCGGAAATTGATGCCGTATGGGAATTGACCAAACAAATTGAAGGTCATACTATCTGTGCTTTGGGTGATGCTGCCGCGTGGCCAGTACAAGGTCTGATCCGGCACTTCCGACCCGAATTAGAGCGACGTATGGCAGAATACGCTCAGAAGGCACCGGAAGTTGTGAATAAGATTGAAGGCGCGCATTAAATTGTATTTCTGACATTATAAACGTTGTAGGATAAACAATAAAAGAAATATTTTTAATTTGTAGTCTTGATTGATATATTAATATTGTTATTTCGATACTGCAGGGTGTTGTAGACATTGGTATTGTTGCGTTGTCGATCTTTTTGCGTATTTGTGACTTTAAATAGAAGGTAAGGACAGTATATAAGCTATAAATTTAAGGTTTGGGATCCTAGTAGTACATAGTCAATGCAACGATATACTACTTTAAGCCTTAACCACGTAAGAATGATCTCAAAGTATGTTAACGGGAAAGCTGAGCCAAATCTGTATCAACAAGAAGTTCAGATTAATACGAAAACAGGGAAAATAGCCAAGGTCAACTTGGTTTTTCAGGTAAATTTATACCATGGTTTACATTAATTTAACGCTATGTTCGCACCAAGTTAATTATAAGTTTTTAGCTGTTTTATTACATGTTATTTATTAAAAAATATTACACAGGACACGAAGCCGGAAGGATCACAAGTGGGAAATTTGGTTGCAGTTCATGGTGCTCCTGGTACTCACAAAGATTTCAAGTATTTGAATCCGATTTTGGAAGAAGCGGGAGTAAGGCTGATAGGAGTGAATTGGCCTGGAATGGGATATTCAACATGTAAGTGAAGTTCTTTAGTTAAAAGTTATTTTAGACGATGAAAATTTGAATGATGACAATGACGAAAGAGTACAACTAGTGAAGCACTTGGTAGAAGAGCTGAAATTAGGAAAAAATACTGTATTTATGGGACATTCGAGAGGTTCTGAAAACGCTTTGAAAATGGCTGCTCTTTTTAAGGTTTGTTATACAGGACGATTTATACTTTTATATACTGTAATATTAGCATTGTTATTCTACTTTTGAGGTTTTATCAATGTCAAAATTTAAATTCCAAAAGATGTTGTTGTAGAATGACTGTGCGGGCTGTGTACTAGTGAATCCTGTATGTCTCCGGCCCCATCGTGGTATACGACCCTATTCGTTGGTATGTCTACTGGGGTGGATGTGGAAGAATTTGATGTTTGCTCGACTAATTTTGAATCCCTTCTTGCATTGGCGTAAGTTTTGTTCTCTACGCTTATATGAATTATACATAAGTATAAGTTTATGTAATATATTTATACTTTACAAATACTCATACATGCGCGTTTATAATGGAGTATCGAAGATTTTTTAGTATACAACAATGTACTCGGTTTGCGTACTTCGACCGGACATTCCTGTGGCGTTTCGTTACATTTGATGAATCATGTTGACTTTGGTGGTCAGCTACAGTACATTGAAGCCATAAATGACAGCAATTTGAAGGTACTCAATTGCTATAGTGGAAAAGATTTTTTGGTACAGCGAAGTTTGAGTCGAGAGTTGGGATCTAAGTTTAAGAATTCTGAAGACTTGGTATGATTTTTTAAATTTTTTATCTTTCGTACTTGAGCTGTAATGTTAGGCTTAATCTTAGTTTTAAGTCTGCACAAAATTCTTATTGGACAGTACAAAACAGTCATATTTTAGGTTTGCACGTCAAAAGACGACGCTTCAGAAGCCGACTTTCAAATGAAGAAAGCATTTACTTCAGGCAAAAAGTCAGTAAATGTGTTGTTTGAGCCGGATGGACATTTTTTACAAAAAACACGTGCTAAATTTCTTGCCGATGGCGTTGTCACATTGTTGGAGACCAACAAAAATTAATATAGTACATTAGAAAGCTATTTAGTAGTTTAGATAATATATAAAGAGTTTTACTTTGATTTTTAGACTTTAATAATAATTTTGGATGTCTAGGCTTTAAATATACTTTAATTAAGGCTTCAAAAATTTATAAGTTCATAAAGGACATAAATATTGTATAAATTTATTTTACAGTATGTACAGCTAATGTTTTTGAGATTTTCACGTTGAAGTTACCAGTCTTCTGAATGTATTTTGCATTAATCTATGTATCTCGGACAAGGTTGGACGTCGTTCCGGCTCTAAATACCAACATATCCTAAAGATTTCCTCGTACAGTAGCGGGCTACAGTAGTCCGAGCGAGGTAGAAGACTCTGCAAGTTGGTATTTGTGTTAGATATGATACGACGTTCGAATATTGTACTGTATTCTTTTTTATACGAACATGCTTGCTATTCCTACCTTAAACTTTTAAAAATTACGGTATGAACTTACTGTCATTTGATCTTCATGTAGCCCTTGTAACAATCGTATCACTTCATCATCTCCAAATTGTCCTAAAGGCATTGATCGACCTTTTTCGAACACTTCCCATAACGTCACTCCCAACGCCCACACATCTGTTTTATTACTATAGGATACGGTATTTATGTCGGAAATTACTGTAGACGGCGTGTAATGCGTACTGGTTGGGGTTACTGTAGTTGATATGATCGGTTGTGTTGTAGACGTATTTTGGGACAATTGTTGGAGTACTGTAACCATATTTTGTCCACATGTTATCATTGGAGGGACTTGTGGTACTTCAGCTGGTACAGAAGCGTACGTACTGTCCAGCAATTCAGGAGCCATCCATCTTATGGGTAACTTATAGTCACCATGTTGTACGCATTGATTTGAATATTGTTTACAGTACCTCCCATAATCCATTGTGACTTTTACTGTGCCATCAATGTCAATAAGACAATTTCGGATAGACAAATCACGGTGGACAATATTGACGGCTTCCAAATATGCCATAGCTGCCGCAATCTGAGTACCAATCGATAGTAGAGTATCGTTCCTAAAAATGAAAGTTACTGTATCCAATATTTCTAATTTTCACAACTTTTAAAAGCGTTACTAATTTAATTACAGTAGAATTTACAGTAACTTTCATAAATATAATACAGTCCTACGCCTTACCTCATGTCTGGTATGTTATTCAAGTACCCAGCCAATTCCACGGCTTCTTCCATCTCATATACAGCACATTGCATATTGTTCATCACTGTAGTACCAAGCATTAACATAATATTTTGATGTCGCAACGAATTCAAAGTCGCCACTTCCAACCGCAACCCTTCTTTAGCAACTTCTGTCTTCGGCAACTTCAGCAATAACTTTCGTGGGCCAGCTTTGTACCGTACCATCTTAATAGAACCATCTTCACCTAACGGGGTGCCATTTTCGAATACATCCGAACCATACTCAACAATACATTGAGTACCAGTATAGTCTGGGTACCGTTGGAATGGGCCTAAGGGGTCCAAAAGTACCGTTGGCTGTTCTTGAAGTAGATCGCGAGAGGCATAGTGCACAGAGAATGGTACCTTGTCACGACTGTGCCAAGATTTTATTAAAGGCTCGGCTAGGCTGAAAAAGATATTTGTAAGGAAAATTTTTGCTATTTTTTGTTTGTAAAGAAAATTATTGCTATTTTCACTTACTTTTCAATTTCCGGTTCGGCGTACTCGCTTGCATTGTCAACAATACTCGGTGGCGGAAACTTGTCAACGTGCACGTTTGGATCATACCTATTTTGATAAGGCGATAAATGCCGTTTGAAGCTCATTTCACCATTCAGCTTCAAGCTATTCGCAGCCGACGTTTTTCTTGTGTAGTTTAGACACAACAAACAATATACGATGACTAGTAGAACCCCACATCCAAATACTACTGCTCCTACTCCAGCTGAAACACAGGAATTATACATGTACTGAATTATTATATGTATTAATACATGCTGTAAGTAAATAATAAGTTTAATTCTGCGTAAAATAACATTTTAAATCAAAGTTTACAAATGACGTACCAATAACAATCCACATTACATTATCTTGGTCAACATTAGTTTGAATTGAAAATACAGTAAATGTATTGTCTTCAAATGTGTCAAACTCGTTCAAGGTCTGTGGAATCACCGATGGTTTTGACGTTGTTGTGGCTAAAATTAAAAACCGTTTTAAAGTTTTAAATTATTGCTTCTTAGAAACCTAAAACATTAAAATTTTTTGATTTTTAAAATAAAATTTCAAAAATATACTCACCATGACTAAACTTGATTTCACTAATCAACAGCCAATCCGCATCGTCAGACATCTTTAACTCCATTCGGATATGTTTACATGAATACCCATCAATGTCAACTTTGATCCATTGCGCGCCTTTAGAATCCTCAACTTCCATAGAAACAAATTTGGCTACTGGAGGCTTGGTACGATCTTCAAAACCGCTCATTATTACAGTGATTTCCTTGAACACATTTGCGTTTACCGATCGGTCAATTGAGACATGAAAGTAGGCGGTCGATATTTTGGTATAATGTCCAAAATTAAAGTCTAACTTGACTTTACTTCCGATCTGATGACGATTCCAGCCAACCCAGCTACTGTTATCGTTTTCTGAAGCTATAATATGATCCGTCAGTTTGCCTAGGCCACCACGATTCATGTTGTCGACTTCTTCACCATCGTATACCAGATCTTTTAGTTGAGGAAGTTCAGGCATACCGGCTATGGGAGCACTGTATGACGTTATGTCTTCTAAAAAGATAAAATTATCATTTCTAATGCAAAAAATATTATGACATTAAAATTTTAAAAAAGTTTTAAGATATTAAAATTATTATGAAAAAGTCGTTTAAGCCTAAGCCTACCAAAGCTGAACCTATTAAACCTAAAATTAAGTCTAACGCTAAGGCTAAACATAAACCCACAATTAAGCCTATGTTCCACTTACCTTTGAAAGCACATCCATACAGCTCAAACCGTAGGCAAACAGTTCGTGTAAACTCAGAAACTGGTATGATCCTGATCAAACTAGCCACCACGCCACTCTGTAGCTGTCGTCGTACCCCATGTTTCGTATCTTCATTTCCTGCCACAATTTCCACGCCGTTTGCATCGTGATACCGTGCCCATTTGCCCAGCGATGGTCTCCAGTATTCAATCATGTAGCCGAGTGGGTATTCTCGTCCTCTTCCTTTGTCATCACGACCCTGAGTCTCAACGGCCATAATTATGTAATCTTGGCCCAAGTCAATTTGAATCCATTCGTGAGACGAAGCGTTGATTTGGCTTAAGGGACACCATGCTCCCGATCCGGACTCAGAATTTAACCTGAAATTTAAAATTTTTAAAATTTTGTGTAAAAAAAGTTCCTTCGTTTTTATCTTGTAAAGAATGTTCCTGATCTCTTGCTTGTGAAAAAACTTAGCTGTTTTTTTAGTAAAAATTTAAAAAACATACCGAGCATGTTGTGGTCCAGTTGACAATGTATCAAAACTCGAGCTGGCACATAACTGTGTATCCAAAATGGCACCGGATTCGAGGCCGACGGGTCGAGTCGCACATTCTCCTGAAATCAATCACTTAAGATTGTAAATTGATACCAGGCTTAATGGATTAAGTATTTTAGACGTTTGTGTTGTTCTGACTTTGATTTCGAGTAGTTTAAATAATGCCTTGAGGTGTCATATTTAAATTATTTCATATTATATTACACTAAGCAGCTGTTAATAATGGTAATGCCTTTAGACAAAGGTATGTGGGTTACGGTAAGTTTTAATGGATTTTAATAACTTTTAAAGATCTAGTACGTTTAAAAATTTTTATGAGATATTTTTTCATACTTTCATTTAAAGGTATTTTAAATGAAAAGAGGCTTTTCCACTTAATTACTTAATGGCTATATTAAATGTCACAATATTGCGCTTTTGCCACCTGCAGCTTCCTTATCTCCCATCAAGTCATTAATTCAGAATCGACCTCAAATTAAGTAGCCGGTTTTTGTTTGTTGCGCAATTACCTAATCTACTCACCTTGTTGGTGCCAATCGACCTCAGAATTGCCGATGTTAATCTGCTTAGCCTAACAAAGTGTTTTCTTTATAAAAATACAAAAAAATCTTTAAAAAAATGGCAAAAACTTTAATTACAAAAAAATAAGCAAAAATTTTTTCACAGAAAGAAAATTTTAGTTACTGCTCGACAATTTTTAATGCCATTGTTTACCTTTTCACACTTTCTCAACCCATTAAGCCTAGCCAAAGCCGCTGCGAACTCTTTGAGGTGTCCCGCTTTACACCCACTAATGAAACGAGTTAATTGGCTTTGGATTCGCTTTGCAACGGCATCTAATTGAGTTTCGCGCAAAAAGTGCCACTCCAACTTTTTGGGCCTATTAATTTTGTTTTGGTTCAACTTGTGAGGGTATTTTGAAAGCGGAAAGGCGGTAAAATGTCGTAGATGTCGGCATTTATAACGTGGTCAAAAAGTTAAAGATGTATTTTGAAATATACATTTTTCGCGTTGTTTTATTACGGGTTTTCAGAGTAAAATATATGTCATACCACTTAAATGAACTTTAAACAAAAAAATCTTTACCATGCCGCTTTTGTAACATAAACAAAAATACAAAAAAACCATAACATAAGAGCTCAAAGACAATAAGATACCACAACTCAAAGGTGTACCGAGAACCGGAACAAGTGTTCTTTATTGCGCCAATAAACATAAAACGGGTGCCATTGTGTTAAGTAGAATGATATGTTTATGGCACAGTGTAATATTTAGATTCTTTGAAGATAACCGGTATGAGTTTCCATTTAAAAAATTTTTAGCTTAAGGACATAACTCTAATAAGTCTAAGCCTACTGAGCCTAACTCTATTAGATGCCGACATAAAGAACCCGCCATACTTTGCTTGTACTTTACGTAAAAAATCTTCATTATGTCGGCACCTAATATTAAGCCTACTAAACTTAATTATTAACCTGCTACGCCTGATGCAAAGCTTATTACGATAAGCCTATTAACTTACATTTTTTAACTTCATTTAACAAAAAAACTAAACTAACTTATGTACCAAAAACCCTATTTCCAACCTCATATTCCCAAGGTGATCGTCATACCTTTAACGAAAAAAATTAAAAACTCATTTTTCACATTCAAATTTTATTTCGTCCATAAATAACAAAGTTCCGAAGATCAAAACCTTCGATTAAGTCGGGCGTTAATGGGCCCAGCGAAATCTTGATTAAACTGAAAACAGTGTTTGGCACCTCCGTTCAAGGTTACAACGCCTAATCGCCGAAAACAGCTGAGATCGGATTTTCTGAATCTCGAGATGCAAAACATTCGAAAACTTGCTTTAAAACAATTGAAACAGGAAGAATTAAAAATCTTTTAATTTAATTTTTCGGCTTGAAGCAAAGTTAAATTTTAAAAGTAGTCTACCTAAAATACCACTACAGTACGTACAAAAAAAGAAGACTGATAAAGCCATATCTTATTGTTATTCTAAAAATTGCACTGTATGAGCGCAATAGCGAGCATGGTTGCATCCCAGTACCCCCAGTAATTTTTTGAGTCGTTTTACATCGAGGCATATGTTACATAAAGCCATAAGTATTACATAAGAAAAATTACGCAACAAAGTTTTTCGCAATTTCTCTAAGGCTATCATACTAAATCACTTCATTAGGTAATACTGCAGCTTTATACACAAAATATTTTAACCCATAAAGTTATCATAAAATATACCAAACCCTGGCCTACAGAATAAGGTAGAACATAACCGTTGAAACAAATTTAAACTTACGATTAACAAATACAGCACCAACAACAATGATCTGAAGTACCAAGCTCTTTAAAACAAATTCTCTCATGATGTCAGATGTCGTAGCTTGAATTTTAGCGATAAAAACTACCACGTTATACAATGTACCATAGCTTATAAATTGATTTATTTTCTAAAAAGCAACTTTTAAAACTAATATCGATCAAAATTATATTAAAATTGTAAAAAACAACAAATCGCGGCAAAAAATATGGCACGGGCAAAAATATGGCAATATTCTAAAACACAACAAAACACAGATACTAATAATCTATATACGTAGTAAGTAAATAATATTAAACTATACAATAACTATGTGCAAATAAGTCATTTCAAAGCCATTCAAAATCCCACAAAACCTTCAGAAATGACAGTAAAATGTCAGTAAAAACGGGTTTGATCCCCCAAATATGACATTCGAAAACATTGCGCGGAACGGCGCCCAAATTATAATATTCGATGGGAGTGCCGAAAGAGCGATCGTAATCTCGGAAGAAACGAACACAACAGTTGTCTTTGATTCAGTCTCGAGGGAGTTATCGTAGTCGAGAATGCATTGGCATTAGAATTCAAAGTAGGTGGGGTTAAGGTGGTGTTAGATTGGAAAAAATGCGCGAGTCAACTTTCAAAGTATTAAAAACTAACAAATGTAGTCTAAATCTACTAAGCTTAAGTCTAGACTGATTCAGTCTATTTAGCCTAAGTTTACTAAGCCTAAACCAAGAGCCAAGCCTACTAAACGTTACTTCTAACTTTAAAGAAAACTTTAAACGCAAAAAAGCCATTAAAAATTTGAATAATCTAATATGTATGCAAATCCGTCTTTCGCAAACTTTTCCCTCCGACTCCTTAAACATTCAGCAACATACCATGACTCGCGCACTCGCGACTTATCATCGAGTTCCGCCCACTTTTGACTCGCATCTGGACCCAGAAAATCGAGATTAAAACGGGGATCAGCTTTTTCAAAAGTGCCGATTCAAATCACGCACTGCGTTTTTAAAGACATCTGCATATCTTGGAATACATAAACATGTAAGCAACAGTTCCCTTAGCTATGTTTAGAGTACAATAAAAAAGTAAGTCTATTAAATTAGCCTATGGTTAAGATCAAGCTTTACAATTACCAGCCCAAGCTTAAGAATATGCCTAAACCTAGCCATATCCTACTTTTTATTACAGTATCACCGAAGTTTCTTTAGAAGTCAAAAAATAAAAAAAAGTGTAAAACAAAAGCGTCGGTGACACACGTGCTATACATTTCAGCACATCAAAAACCCATTTTTCCGGCCTCCAAAACATATCCAATTCCCCAATATCACACGTCCCGAAGATAGCATCCTGTCAATCCCAATATCGCGTCCAGTAACTCACTTAAGACGGATTTCGGGTCTTTCCCTTGCGCTTGCAAAGTCATTACTAACTTCATAGCGCCACAAACTCATCATAAAAATTGTTGCGCTTATGGCCCAATGATTTTTCGAGTCGTGCGTGCCAAAAAAAGAAGGTCAACTCTGGATGCATTTAGATATAAACCAAAATTTGAAAAACTTTTTTTAAAATGCGAAATTTCAAAAGTTACTACTTCTTGATATAAAAAAATGCCTTACCGAGACGATGACATGCTTATTTACTGTAAAATTGTTTACGTGTACACATGTTATAGATGCGGATTACCCATTTTTTGGCATGGGAAAAGTGCGGCCCCAGTTCCCGGAACAAATTTTAATTATTTGCTCAAGGCGTTAATTATCTTTTTTATGCCAACATGTACTTAAAACAACCTAAGTATGAAACAGTGTGTAAAATATTAAAAGTTAAACTAATTAAGTAAAAAACAGTATATTAATAAGGTAACGTATTAAAAGCTAATTATTAGACAACCATTTTTTAACCCTAATTAATAACCCCAAAATACTGTGCTATTTCGAAGTTATCCTACACGAAGTCGTACGACCTTTGCAATACATATAACATATCTCAAAGTGTGCTTACTTTGACACATTCTTTGTTTTGAAGTACGCCTACAATGACATTATATACTATTTTACAACATAAAATTTGGTCCAAACCACGCCTTTTTCAAAGGTGTCCCAGGTGCTGTAATAAACATTTATTACATTGGATGTGTGAGATCTTGCTTTGGCATAACAATATTAATAAACTATACCTATAATTAAAGTAATAACTAGCCTACCATTTGTAAAATATTAACGTTGCTTTAAAATTTACGTACCCAATGTGTTTAACTTGACAGGTTAAAGCGACTAAACAAATTTTGGTGACAAATATAATTGAAAAAATGTATCGAAAAAGTTTTTAAGTTTATAAAAAGCTAAAGTTAACAAAGCAAAGCTTAAAAAAATGATTTTAATGAATTCTGTCACGATATGCGCGGAAATTGGTCTTCATGCCGGTTGCAGTAGATTTTAAGACCAAAGATTTAGCCAACGTTTATTTTCAGCTTCCTAAAAAGTTTGCAGTTTGATATTAACCTTATCTTTCAAATAGTCCTTTTTTCTTACTTTTTTAAAGGTGAATATGCACCCCCCCGTTGATTTTCGAAAAAACGAATTTTCCCTCTTCCCACTCTGCCCAAAATTGCCCTCCCAGCACCGCCAAACCCAGCTATCCTAAACTAAAAAAGTAAAGTTAGTCGATTTGTTGCAATCCCATTCCGTTCGACGACATGTAATTCGGCCGAACGGCCCGGGATTCTTAATTCAATCCTCGCAAAACACGAAATTAAACAAGGACGACAATACGGATGTCTGTCCAATTAATTCAGCGTATGAAATTGGAGCCGCGTTATTAATTGAGGAAGTGTGATGGGTAACATAGCAAAGTACCAGATTCAGCGAGAGATGAGGTTAGTAACGTGGATATGATTGATAACACAGTTGGACCGCACTTACGGCCTTGTATTTAAAACCAAAAAGTAAAAAACGTGTTTATATTACTATAGTTTTATGAATATAAAATACTCCTACAAGCCTAAATCGTAAAACGCCTAACCTTAAATTAAGCCTAGCAAATCGATATCTCCCGAATTTCATATGGCGTAGGCCTCATTATAAATATTCACCTACCTCACACCTAGATTGCGCAATTTTTATGGACTAAATGACCGATCATTAACCTTAAAATTGGACACCTGTTTAGGTGAAGCTGAAGTATATGTAATATAAAACTGGGAGAGTACCCCCCCCAGAAAAAAATTTTCGAAAAAAGTTGAACGCGCCCCCCCCTTTTGTAGATTTTTTCGACCGCCGCCCTAGACCAAAAGTCCTCGTTCGGTCCAGGTTACAGTAGTCAAATACCTTTACAATCCAACACAATTTTTATAAAAAAATATTACTCGTTCTGACGCTTTTCTTGACCATTACTATGAATAATCGACAAAGGCTTTATGAGTCAGTTTACAGTAGCCAAACTTTACCGCAAAAAGAACAATAATCTTCTAGTAGCCAAAATTCACTGTAACATTTATCTTTTAGCTTTATTATAGTTGTGAGTATTGAACAAAGAATTCAACTATAATAAAAACTCTAAAATTAAAATACCAGACAGACCAAAATGCTTTTTTCGACTAAAATTTAAATTAACGATTAGTCTAATCCATTTAACAATTTGCCGCAAAGATTCTAGAAAAATTGAAACAATGTCAAGAAAAACGAATACAAACGACTTTATATACAGTATAACTTTTTGATGCCGTCCTTTTGAAGGAAATCAATTAAGCTTAAGTCTAACAACTAACAACAAGCTTACGAAGCCTTAACCTATATCTAAACTTACTAAAATATTTAGTTCACCTTACAAATAAAAAACATATACTGCCGTACTAAATATTTTAGAACACTCACACAATCCCTTTTTCCACCCATGCCCTATATTTTTTCTCTAACTACCCTTGTTTTTGAGACTATTCTTGGCTTGCCACGACAAAAAAGTATTTATATTCGAATTGGATGAACGGGAATTGGCCCCAACGCTACTGTTTTTCGTCCCACAAAAGAAGTTCGGACTGTGAATCAAGACGAAAGACGAAGGGCGTGAAGGTCAAGTATTCATATTCATATTCGAACACAACTTGGGATGAAAAGATTTTGAGAAAATGGATGTTTGCCATTTTTTAAAGTTAAAATTTAATATAAAAACTGTTAAACTGTTAAACGTTCCCCTCAAACCAAAAAAAGTTATATTTATATAGTTTTTTCTCACCTAGCCTTCTTTCATTCCTCTTTTTATCCAAGCATCCTTTATGTCCATAAAGCCATGTTTTTAAGAATAAAACCCAAAAATCATAAGTAGTACTCAAAACTCGTAGTATAACAAGTAATAAAATGGCCCACATGTCTTGTTTCCCTTCATGACATGGGTTCATAAAAAGTCAAGGTGAAAACACCTGCACTTTTATAACCTTGACCATTTGGTTGGACATTGCCTCAGGCTTAACTCAACATTTTAAAAGCGTGTTTTACACTTTCAATTTTTTCTAAACAAAAAAGGCTTGACGTTTAATATTTTTTAAATATTTTTTTTTAAATTACAAAACTTTTCTAAACTCCCCCCCCTCTACCCCCCCCGCTCCCGACAGTGTACAATTAAAAAGTTGTCAAAGTTGAATTTGCCGAAATCAGAAAAACATCTGAAATGTCACACATCTGGGGCAATTCAGCCGCATCTGGACTGACGATATAGTGAAAAAAGTATCCGATCACTTTCCTACCGGCTCCACTCTCTCAGCGTTAATTAGAAGGCGGCTTCGGGACAAAAGAAGATCGACGGATTAGTTTTTCTCCGGATTACCTACATTTAATTGGACATGTTGGGTTTACAATAACAAAGAATTTCTTCTACTCTAACCTAACATATATTGCCCTACCTTACTGTTATTTCAAGAATTGCAATATATGTACAAAAAACGAGGTTGAGGTTACTACCTACCCTACTGAACCCTACACTATCCTATTCTACTTTATCATTTAAAAAGCAAAACGTTTATTTTACCCCACCCTTTTTCAATCCAAACCGGATAAACCCATGCCTCCTACTGTTTCTCAAAAAACAAGATGACACAATAGCCGAGAATATCGTAATTAGTATACGAACAATAACCACACTCTGCCATCGTATTGTCGGTGAAATAGAGCGCAAAAAAGAGAATATCGACGTATATAATTAGGGCACCAAAAGTAATAAATTACATAGTGTAATTAAAACTATAATTAAAAAGGAATTGAATGTTAAAGTTTTGCATATTCAAATTTTATTGTTTTTTGAAGCCTTCAAAAAATTATACAAAAAAATGCAATTTTTAACACAAAATGAAAAAATAAAACAAGAAAACTACTTGTTTCTTGTCTTCAAACTTCTCAATTTGACTTTTGCGACAGTAGTCAAATTAAGAGTCCTGCTTCACCTACCCTCTCCTTTCATTTTTTCAAAAAATATAATAACGTCTCTACCATCCCTTATTGAAAATTTACCCATGCCTAAATGACTCTTACCTATCCATAGAATGGCATTCCGCCTTTTGCAATTGCCTTTTCGATGGATATAATAGTTGGTTTTTTATATTTTCGTGCATAAATTTAGAAAGAGATCCCTTTCCGGCGTTATGTAAAGAAAACGACCGTTGTTCCGGTCGTTCTTTCACAAAAAAAATCCCGCCCGTGCGCAATGAGTAAAAAAGATTTTGAAAATTAATATCAAAAATTAATCAGTTGTATGTTTAAATTGTTGAAAAAGCTTTTTTTATATTATTATACGTTACTGTAATTAGAATTGATTTAATAAGCTTGAAGCTACGCGCTTACCTAAAATGTAATATAAAAAGCCTAATTAATACCTAAGCCTAAATTATTCTGTAATAAGCCCGAAATATGAACAAAGCCGAATCTCTGCTTCTAAGCATTAACTTAACTTAACTTCTAACTCTAAATACTACATATTAAGCCTAAACCAGTGAGTTAAGCAAACAAAATGTTTAGTTTTACAGAATACAACATTACCATGGTTTACCAAAAAAGTCATACCCTGATTAATCTCCCAGACCTTAACCAAACACGGTGCCCTATACAGTTCTCCTTCTCCTAACAACAGAGTAATCTGCATACTAAAAGGCCGTTTCAAAAAATGCGCGCGACCTTGTCTAACAACATTGTTAATCTCTTGGACAAACATATTTCTGCGGTTCTTCGAAGATTTTTACATTTTGACCGGGACACGCTGTGAAGTGAGCAAAAATTTACAGTTTTTAAAATATAATATCACCCGGCACTGACCATACCTACTACACCGTAACACATCATCTAAACATTCATCAGAGTGAAATATTTACCCTAAACTTTTGGCGCCCAATCGATCAAAAAAAGTGAGAAAGTTTAATTAACGAGCTAGTGGATATTATTCTAATGTAGGGGTACCTGTTCGCTCTTGCTTCTTTACGACTACGGATTTACGAAAAACATTAATCAGTCTTCTGCTTTACACCACAGGTGTCGTATTTCGCATTATAGCAAGATATAATACCACACGGTGTTGGTTTACTACAGCTTCGTTTAAGCAGGTATTAATTAACATAAAATAAAATTAATGGTATCCTAAGTTCAAGCCTAGAAAAGTGTAAGATTAAGCCTAAACTCATTCCAGCCAAAGTGGAAAGCTAGTTTAGGCCTAAAGCAAACCTATACTTGAACATAAGCTTAAGACTTTTTTAAAGTGAACATAAGCTTAAGACTTTTTTAAAGTCTGATTAATCCGAGATACTAACTTAAGCCTAACAATAAGACTAAAAAAGCTTAATACACCAGCTCTGTTTAAACCAGCTACATTACTCAAATTACAAATCTCTTCATATTAACTTTGTCGTTTTTATAATCTCTTTGCGCAACATTAACAATCACCATATGCTTGCTCATTTGCATAATTCGAACATACGACACAAAAAGCGACAAACTGCTCTCATAAAGCAGTCATAAATCTTATGAATTTACTGGGATTTGCATCGCTGTTACTAAAAAAACCGTTCCTTACAAAAATAAAAAAATACAAGAATATTACTACAGCCTAACATAAAAAATACTATTAAAGCATCCATTTAAAATTATCCCTCCAGCAATCACGAGCAAACGCTACAATCACATTGCTACAATTAAATTAAGCTTATCTTCTTAAGTATCGTAACTTCCAGTAAATTGAGCAAACGGAAGACAATATTAATTGTGCGGCTTCATGGATTAACTAAATCCTTTATTTCGGCATAGGAAACAAATTTCAGTTTAATGATGCAAATAATCCCGTTTCATGCTTATAAAAATGTTGCTTGCAACTCATTTAAATGTACTTTTAAAATGTTAAAATAAACTGTCACAAACTGACGGCATCGTGTAAAAAAAGTTTTTTTTTAATTTCACAAAAAAATTTTAAATAATAGTTTTAGTTTAGGCTAATACTTTTTTGTTTTCACTACTTCACTATATGAATATTGATCGTAATGCTTAATAACTAAATTTTTCAAATGATTGCGCTATTCTCTAGTTGCTATCAAAAGGTCAAGGATGTTTAAATCCTAAAAGAGGTTTCACTTGCAATGTTTTTTGTGGGTTATCAACACGTTTTAACGTTTTTTAGATATTAAACGGAATCTTTAAAAAAAATGTGATGCATCTTGTGCTGGAGAAGTTACAATGTATAATCAATTATTGTATTAATTGCAACGTTCTTTTAGTTTATTTTAATGTCCTGTTGACATCATGTTAAAACACATTCTTTTCCGGTAAACGCCTGAAGGCATCTTCACGGATAAATGTTAAATCGGAAGATGACACACGCGAATCACAAAAAAATCTCCCGCCATCAGCGCGGTCTCAAAAGTTCTTTTCATCGACTCTCGATGGAACCTACACGATGTTGGCAACAACTTTCGAACCGGCTGGCGGAAGAAGAGAAATTGCGGAAAAACGGCTCACGTCAACGCCGCCCACTTTTAATTTCAAAGATAACCTTGACGTAACGTCGCCGGGTTTCCAGGTCGTTTCATCAACGAACCTAACGTCCTGGCACCGGCTGTCCGATCCAATCGTGCGTCCATTTCGGAACGGAGACGAGAACGATGAGGCAGCGTCTTACAACGATGCGGCCTTTTGTCGTTTTACTGTTTATTGCTGTTTCGGCACGACCGTTCATTATCAACAACAAGGAGCTTCGAAATGATGGAGTTAAAGGTAAGGTTTAAATTTAAAATTGTTAAAGTTAATATAGTAGTTTCTTGTATTTGTATTTTTATTTAAAATATACAACACAAATTCATAATTTAAACAGTTGAAAATAACCAAGTTTTTTAGTATTCACAGTATCAAGTGAAATCAAAGGATACAACTGTCGTTGTGCGTGCAATTGTGCTGCTGAAGGCATAACATTATCAAAACCATTACCTCTACCTCCATCACCTTACCCTAACGCACCAAAACGTGAGTTTCGTTTTGAAATACAACAAGATCAAATAATTTAAAAAATGATTTAAAAAAAACGTAAAATTTTTTAAAAATTTAATTTCAAAGTACTTAATTTCTTTCAGAATTCCACATCCAAAAACATATCAAACAAAACGACTGTAACTGTCAATGCAGTTGTGCTCACACTGAGCTAACTGAACCATCAAAAACAATACATATTGGTCACGATGATCATGACGTTCATACAGAAGTAACCCAGAAGATCATTGAAGAACTGAAAACAACGCTGTCACTGCCAACAATAACTACTCCACTACCGCAAAGTAATTATACATTTTTGAAGAAGAATAGGTTTGGTAACAGTCATAGTACTGAAAGCAGTACGAGACGTCTTGGACAAGAGATTAATATTGAAACACCTTTGACTGTTGTCATCCCTGAAAGATTTACAAAACCTTCCAGAATATATGTTATTGGTAAAAATGATAGTACTACGCAAAATACAAGTCCTGTGTTACCTACAACCTCAGAGACAAGCACAGTACGTCAAGAGATTGTTGTACTAAAGACTACAGAAGCTTCAAAGCCAGTAGTATCAGATGCTGGTGAGAAAATGACAATGGTATTTGAAAAAGTTTCACAAAAACCAGTAGTTGATGATTCTGCATCAACCACATTGCCTTCAGTATCACAAAAAACATCCACATCGACTGCAAAAATTAGTGTTACAGAATCAGATGGAACTTCAAGAGCTTTAAATTCAGAAACCGCTTCCAAGACTTCTACAATCTCAAAGTCGACCACCCAAGCCTTCCTAGCTACAGAACCTACTACAATAAACACCGTTGACGGTCGGTCAACAGAGTCTACTACTACTACTAAAAACAACGTTGAGAGTTCGACAACAACTGAAACAAGTGTTGATGTTAAAAATGATGGTTTTACTACATCAAGTGCGCCAAAAACTAAATCTTCATGGACTATTTCAAGTTCTGTTGAACTGCCTATTGTAGAATCTACAACATCCACGGTGAGCTCAACGTCTTCTAAACCATTAGAAAACACAAGTACTCCGAAAAAAACCAAAACTTTAACAACGTTGTATACAGAAGCCACAACCACAGCAACAACGTCCACAGAATCAGAAACTTCAACCGAATCGTCAACAGAATCTATAACTTCAACAGAATCCGCATCTAATGAAGATGTCACTACCAAAGACTCAAACACGTCAGGCCTTGAAATTGTTTCAACTACTATAACAAGCAATGAAGACGGAATAGAAAGCTCAATTCTAACTCCAGAAGAACTAGAAAATGTCAAGAATATACCTTCTCAAGCTAATGAAGATGGCGATATTAACACGATACATGAAGAAACTACCGCAATATCGGCTTCTGAAGAAAGAAAAGACTTTTCTGTTCAATCTACAGAAAATTCAAGTACATCGTCATCTACCGAATCAGGTACATTATCATCTACCGAATCAAGTACATCATCTCCCACTGATTCAAACACTTTACCGTCTTCTGAAACGACGAAAACTCAAACAGATGTTAAAGATACAACTGAAAACAATATGAATAAATTAAAAAGAATCTTGGGAAAACTTCAAGACAAATTGGAAACAATGAAAAAAGCAAAAGAAGAAGAAGAGAATGAAAAAGACGACAAAACAACCGAAATTGAAGACAATGTTGACTCTGAACATACCACTAAATCAGTAGAAATCACGCCGCAAGAACAATACAAACAAAAGGTACGAGAATTAGTACGACGCTTAGAAGCTGAATTAGAAAGAATGAAAGCCAAGAAAGCTCAAGACGATAGAGATAATGCTTCTGAAGTTGCTCCTGAATCTGTACAACCTTTAACTACCGCAGCACAACCAGCAACTACAAACTCTTTAGTCAGTTTAAGTCCAGAAGAGACTCCTGTAAGTCAAAAAGAAGGTAATACTCTGAGTGAAACAGTAGAAGAATTAGTACCAACGACAACCCCAGAAGTTTTGACCAAAACAAAAAATACTACAAATGTACCAATTACAGAAGTTCCAAAGACAGCCTTAAGTACAAAAGATACTGAAAGCGTTAACCCCACAGGTACAGAAAAAGTGACAACATTAGAAACAGTTTTGTCATCTTCAAAAGGATCCGCTTTTAAGACGGAAACTGATTCATCAGCAGACGACCTTGCTTCAGAATCAGTAAAAGAAAATAACGATGTGACAACTTTGTCAACTTCATTAATAGATGATGCTACAGTAACTACAGAATCTTTAAAACAACTTAAAAATAGTCCACAGAACAGTACAGTACGCGACAGTGTTGTTACTGAAGCTACAACTCTTGCAACTACATTGGCAGCTAACTCGGATAGTGCTTTTTCAGAAGATACGACTACAGTAAAGCAAGAAACTACAGCACCACAGAAACAAGAAAGTACAGCCGTCATTAACCACGATACAACAGTAAAACAACATATTCCAACTATAGTCGGATCTACGCTGTCTACACTGCCTGACACATCAATTACTCTAATATCGTCAAGTACTCCGTTTTTAACGTCAGTCAAAGAAGAAAATACATTGACATCTACTGCTGAGTCCTCCACGTCTACTACTGTCTCTTTAACATCCACAACTGTAGCAGCAACATCTACTGCTCAATCTTCACCACCAACATCTATACAAAACGTATCAGAAACAGAAGTTGACGTTCTCAATACAACTGTTGCACATTCGAATTCTAAAAATGAAACTGCTATTGCTAACCCAATTACCCTGCCGAACAAATTAGCAAATAATATCCGCACTACAGAAACTACAGTGTCTCCAACAAAATCTGTTGTTTCTACTTCTATTACCCAACCTTCGAAGCCTACTACAGATGATCGTGCAAAGAATGCTACTTCTACAGAATCTTCGTCTAAACCTAAACTTTTGGAATCATCTACAACAGAACCATTAGGAACTACAGCTTCAATTGACCCAAAAGATATTCCAGAACGTGAAACAACAGAATCTACAATTGTTACATTATTAACAACGGCCCACCGCACCAAGCCTACAACAACATTTATTCCAGAAAAAGAAACGGCCGCTCCAACTAAACCAAAACCAACGTCTACTACTACAACAACTACTACTGTTTCGTACACTACCACAACAACTACGGAAGCACCAGTCACAAAAAACATTGGTTTTGACGAAATGGGACCAGCTTTTGTTGTAGTTGACGTTTCTAAAGAAGTCAGCGACAAAATAAGTAGTACCACGCAAATCATTGAAGCAACTTCACTGACCGCTACGTCTGAAGCTTCTTTACAAGACAGCAATGGTACTAAAAACGACCATACTACAGGGTCGTCTACGGTGAAAACTGCCGTGAATCCTAATGAAAAGCCTACACAATTTAAAACCGTAACTGAAGATTTGCCAATTTTAACAGCTTCTAAATCTGAAACCACAACAATAAGAGACAATGAAGATTCAAATGACTTTGTAAATTCAGAGTTACCTACTGAAGATTCAGTGTCTTCAACTAACATGCACTTAACTACAGAATCCTCTTTTATTTCTGAATCAACAGCACCGTTGTCTGCAAATTTAGAATCAACATCACCGTCTTCGAAAGATTTAGAATCAACAGCACCGTCGTCAGCTAATACAGAATCGTCAAAACCTAACAAAAACGATTTTGCATTTGCCATTGACAACACAAATCAAGCTGTTGACAAATCCGAAACATTGCCGCAGCCTCCACCCTTCTTCCCTGACGGCTTACCTGGCATTGCAAAGATTCCCAAGAACGCCGATGAAAACACTTTGATGGAACGCCACAAAGAAGCCAGACGATGGAGAGAGAAGCTTGAATTGGAAAAACTTCACGAAAACATCGAAGGCCAAGTCAAATTCCAAAACAAGGCCGAGCGCCGCAGACTGATTGAGAACAAACTGGATCAGTTGGCACGGCTTGAACGATACTATTATGAACGTTTAGAACAGTACAAACTAGCACAACGGGCTAGAGCTAATGCTGTAGAAGAAGCTCCAAGTAAGTTTGATTATCTAATCACAAGACACTTTAAATTTTGCTTAAGCTTATTTTGTTAAGCCCAAGTCGAACTGTAGATATCAGTACTAAACGTTTTTTCAGTCGCCAAACCAATTGTCACTATAACATCGCCCACAACTACCACAGAACTGCAAACAACTTTCAATCCCTCGTTACCAGCCCATTGTCGACCGGTCGTTAAGTTCATTTCCACCTTCAAAATTTCAGACCCACACGAATGGCTGAAAGAAAACTGCGTCTTTGTGAAGGAATACTTCCCCGGAGCATCGTGCTCGCAAATCGAAGATCTCCTGTCTGTATGCTTCATTGCTTAAACCGGTTTTATATATAACTCTGTACAAATACCTCAATTTTTAAATTGTATTCTGTTGGATATATGTATTGTTAAACAAATTATATAATTTAACATAATATTGTTTTGGACAACTTTCTTTTATTGATTTTTACTGTTTTTAAATATTTTAATAAAAAGTATTATTAAATTCGTAAACAAAATGTTGTACATGCATCAAACCAAGTTTATTTGTACTATTTTTAATCATCCCAATCATTAATGTTCTTCTGTTTGTATGTTACAGAAGCATCAAATGAGTCAACGAACAAATTGAAGTAACCCGAGCTAGGTATTTCAATCGGTCTTTGATATTTGTAATCTTTTTGGCCATTAAACACAGCTGTAATTTTGCTATTTTCAAACTTTAATTTAATTGATAATTTCTTGTTGGGCTTCAACAATGAAAGTGGAAATGACTCTGGGTCACTCCAGCCTTCTTCCAAAGCATAGTGTTTGCCAAATAATACCGTAGAATCGTTCAAATGGGTTCTCAGAGAATATTCAGCGTAATCTTCGTCATCAAGCAAAAAGATACTCAAGTCGTCTTCTTTTAAACTGACAGTAAAGTCAAGTTCTTGACCTGTAATATAGTACTAGTATAGATATTTTTAATAATTCCAGAAGATGTGTGTTAAAACGAAAATACAATAAGATGCACAACTTTCTATACCCTTACCGTTTCCAAACCGAATTTTCTTGTAGATTGGAAGTCGATTGGACTCATCAACTTTTAAGTGAGGATTTGTGAGGTCACCTGTCAAAGTATAATTTTTAGCTCCACCAATAAACGAAGTCTCTACTTCACCAACCAATTTTCCGTTAACGATTACACGTATCAAGTTGTAATTGGCCAGTTCAATCCTTCCATTAAATGTTTCTCTTGGCTTCGGAGGATTACTGACAGTTATTGTATCTGTAAATTGTTTAATAATATTTAAAACATTTCTAAAGTTATATAAATTGTAAAAAATCGGCCCTAAACAATTTAAAAAAGTTATTGCTTATAGTTTTGAAAAATACCTTTGTCGGTTTTGATGGTTATATTGTTTTTGTGATTATCCATCTCCAACGAAAATTCGGTTCTTCCTGATTCCAAATTGCTAAGTACTACTTTGGCCGAAGAAGTTGAAGGTTTATCCAGCGTACCTCCAAACACGATCACATCGCCTCTAGAAAGACCTTGGAATCTGATTCTTCTTGCCTGACTGTACTCAGAATTAATGTGAATATCATTGGAAAGAGAAGCTTTGTTGCCGCCTTTTGAGCCTTTATAAGTAGTAGTAGAAACTTTCGGAGCAGCGTTAGTAACCACAAATAATAAAGCTAGCAGAGCCAGTACTAAAAACTTTTTGAACATGTCTAATGCGGGCCGATGTTACAGATGGCTGGCAGTTAAAACACTCCAAACACCAGATAATCTGTATTGTAAATCGAAACATTGACAATTCTCCGCTACTTTTATAGAAACTCTTATCAAGCACAATGCAGAGTTATGTATATTTTTTTGAATTTTTTTTCAGAGAAAACTTTTCAACCCGGAAAAGATTAAATTTTAACAAACACTTTTCTATTCAGGATGTAGTTGAAATAATCGTGCAAAAAATACTTTTAATGAATTTATCGACCGCACCTACATTTCCAAGCACTTGCTGAAAAAGTATTAAGTTCGCTTCACTTTATCGCAACTTCGATTGGCTACATATTGTTACTGATAAGAATACTGTGGCTCACAAGTATTCATCCCCTTTCCCTGAAACGCCTTTTGTAGTTTATTTTTATACTTTTGAAGCGAAGTTAAATTTAAAATGTTATTTTGTTCACCTTTCCCGCGTTATTTGCTCTTACCTTATTTGGTGTGGCATTTTGTTTCAACAAATAATAAATAAATAAATTTTTCAGAAATGGAACGTCGAAAGCAAGGTATCTTGAATGAATCACATCGAACTAAGCATTGGGATCTTATATCAGTCTTTCTGGAAAGTTTTGGCCAAATTTTGTGTTTTTCAAAGGTGTCGCGCGACGCAAGTGGTCAAAAATTGTCGGAACCACTGATACGATTGACCAGCAGTGTGCAGATCCTGAGAAAGAGGCCGAGATTTTTCTTTTTTTGTCTGGCCACTCAGTTGGCTCGCTCTCGAGTAAGTTCTGGGATCTTCTTGAGCTGATCGAGAAAGTTTTTCTGCGTTTTCTTGTTGTTCTGGCCAGTTTTCGTATTTTTTTAGCTTTGCGTCCATAGGGTTATTATAATTTAATGTTTTTAAAAATACAAAGTAATATTATTTTAGCTATGCCGGAGATTAGGTCAGCCGAGCAGCTGAAAGAACAAGGTAACAAGAACTTTCAACGTGCTGAATATCAAGATGCTATTGATGCTTACACAGAAGCGATTCAATTACAACCTGAAAAAGAGCTCAAGATTGTGTTGTATCGTAATCGAGCTATGGTTAGACTAAAGATTGAAGATTTTGAAGGAGCTGAAAGCGATTGTGACAAAGGTAACGTTAATTTTGTAGTTTTTATGTTTTTAGTGTTGGAATTGGATGGAGCTGACAGTAAAGCATTGTATAGAAGAGCCTTGGCAAGAGAACAATTGGAAAAAGTTGGCCAAGCTTTCAAAGATGCTAAAGAAGCGGCACGGCTTCAGCCTGGTGACAAGTAATTTTTTCTGTGATTTTCTATCTAGTGGCATGAAAGGAATGAATCATGAGGATAATTTATATAAAAAATAATGCTGCTTTTTTACAACTTAATATGTGTTATGATAAAATTTTAGAAAAATTAAGGAATTATGTGAACATCTAGTCAAGTTGAACACAGAAAAAATGAAGTTGGCCAATTCAACAGAGAACCGTGTAAAAGAGATGTTGAAGATGAGTTTTAATGAGAAGGATGACGAACAAAAAAAGAAAGCCATGAACAACTTACTCGTTTTGGCTAGAGAATCTGAAGATGGAGCTAGAAAAGTATGGCAAGCTGGAATGATTGTAAACGAATTGCTGAATGTTGTTAAAGACAAGGACAATTGGTCGGAAGAGTTGGCTACAAATGCTTTGCATATTTTGGATGAGCTGATCAAGAAAAGGGAAAGGGTAAGGATTTTTGTTGTATTTTGGTAAAAATAGAGACATGAAGTTTGGTATTAACTTTAGCTTTACATCAAATCATTAAATTTTGTTGTGTTTTAGGCAATGAAACTAATCGAACTAGTTCCCATCCCTGTCTTGACAAGGATTGGCGCCCTTCGTCCTTCTAAAGAATTTGTCGATGCAGCTCAAATTGTAATCGAAAGACTCTTCAGTGCTTTGGCTGCCATGGACCGGTCGAAGAGCATAAAGCCAGATCCGGAAGTGGCAGAACAGAACAAACTACACATAATCAAATTGATTTTAGAGTTGGAGGAAATTATGACTGATCCTCAATATTCGGCACCAGTACGAGAAATGTGTATTGATTTGTTTTTGAAAAATCTGATGCACATGGATGGTGGATTGCCTCGAGGCTGGTCTTGGAGATTCGTCGAAGATCGAGGACTTTTGAAACTATTGCACGTCGCTTCGCAAATCCCGGAACAATGCGAATATCCTGTTAGTGCTGAAACGAGGCAGCACGTTGCTCTTTGCTTGGCCAGGTTGTATGATGATATGGTTTTCGACACCAAGCGGGCAATTTACAGCGAAAAGGTTGACATGTTCTTTAAGTAAGTTAATATTTATTTATAATACTTTTATATTTTACAAATAATATACCTTTTAATATTTTCAGTGCTTTAATGGCCAAAATTAGTGACGAAGCTACACAAATCAAGATGTGTGCTTTCTTAATTACCATGCTACAGGTATGTTTTACTAGAGGATATTTTTTATTGCTTTTTAGGGTGCTGTTGATCTCGGAATGAAATTGGTTACAAACGATGCCATAACAGCTTTAATGTTACAGATGGCTGGCAGTTCTAACAATTTACATCAGGTAAAAATGTCTTTAATAGTTGTTAAGTTAAATTTTAGAAAACAGATTAAATAAAAAATTTCAGAAAAAATGAAGCTTTGATAAAAATTCAAAAAAAATTGAAGGTCAGACGTCAAATTGAAATAATTTTTTAATATTACAGTACATCGCCGTAGAACTTATTGTACAAACCGTATCGAAACATGAACGTGCTATGGCTGTGGTGACAAACGGAATCCCAGTACTTCGCAAGCTGTTTAACTCGGATGACCACAATGTCAAAGTCAGAGCGTTGGTGGTAAGTCTCCTTTATTGTAATATGAAAACTTTTCTGGAGTAAAATTGTACTAATGGATTCATATATAATATATAACCATTTAGGGTTTGTGTAAGTGTGCATCAGCTGGAGGCGATGATTACAGTAAGCAAACTATGGAAGAAGGTACTACAATAACTTTGGCCAAGACCTGCAAAGAGTTCTTGTTAGACACAGAAAAGTACTCTGTAGATGTCAGAAGATTTGCTTGCGAAGCCTTGTCGTACCTTACACTCGACGCAGATGTCAAAGAACTCATTGTTACGGATGAAACTCTCATCAAAGCATTAGTATCATTGGGAAAAGTCGCCGGTGCTCTTTGTGTATTCACTTTGGCCAACATCTACGTCAACCTCACCAACTCGTACGAAAAACCCAAGGTGGAGGAAGAATTGGTCAAACTGGCCCAGTTTGCCAAACACCACGTCCCAGAAACACATCCTTTGGATACAGATGAGTATGTAGACAAACGTGTCAAAGCTCTAGTCAAAGGTGGCGCCGTTACTGCGTGTGTAGCTATATCAAAAACTGAAAGCAAAAAGGCCTTGGAATTGTTAGCACGGTGTATGCTGGCCTTTTGTACGGATCAAGAACTGTGTGGTCAGATTGTCAGCGAAGGAGGAGCGAAATTACTTTTAACGTTATACAAAGAAGCCGATGGGGATGGAAAAGTCAAAGCAGCTCACGCATTAGCAAAACTTGGGGTAGCTTCCGATCCCAACATAACTTTTGCCGGCCAACGTATGTATGAAGTTGTGAAACCGATGGCTGAGTTGCTACATCCTGAAGTTGAAGGTCTAGCCAACTACGATGCTCTGCTAACCTTGACCAACCTTGCCAGCGTCAGTGATTCCGTTCGGAAACGAATTATGAAGGAGAAAGCAATCCCGAAAATTGAAGAATTCTGGTTCATGACTGATCATGAACATCTTAGGGCGGCCGCAGCTGAACTATTGTTGAACATGTTGTTTTTGGAAGAGTTTTATGAATATTCTATTGAAGTAGGTTTTTTTTAAATTTTCAAGCAACATTTTCAGAGCTTTGTTGTTGTGAAATAATCACAATTTTTCAGGGATCAAACGAAAGAATCAAACTATGGGCGTTGTACTGTGACGAAGGTGAAGACCGGCTTCAACTAGCTTCGTCAGCTGGCTTCGCCATGTTGTCTCAAGACGAAAGAGCTGCAAAAAAGTTCCTTGAAGAAATCAAATCTTGGCCGGAACTTTTTGTAGAAATTGCCCAGAATGAGCATCCAGAAGTCCAACGGAGGTCAATCATGGCCATTGCTAATATAGTGGAACATTCGGAGTCACTTGCAGCTCAAGTCATGGCGGTAGGTGAAAAGAAAACCCGTTGTTTAGGGAAGTGAAAGGATAAATGATGGTTTTATGCTAACTTGTTACATCAAAAGAAGAATAATTCTTTTCAGACTGAAGTGTTCAAGATTCTAGTTGCTGTTTGTAAGGTAAAAACGACCGGAACTGAACGTGAAGGCGCTGTTAAAGAAGCACAGCGTGCGTTAGACGCGGCCGAACGCTTTGGAATTATAAAACCAACCGACAGGGAAATATTCGAGAAGAAAAGTCAACTTTCAACCGTGCCTGAAGTGTAATGCACGTTTCGAAGTACTTATTATATACCTTAACACAGCTCGTCGAAAACTTACGTGCCTTATTTCGTTTTATAGAAATAAATTTTAAAAATTTAACTTTACGTAAAAAAGTTGTTTTGAATTGTAGCAAATATATTCTAGCTAAATTCACCTCAAACATGATTTACTTCTGTTTCTTTAAATTTTACAAAATTTTCGTTCTATTTATTATATTTACGCAGCCTGTAAGTATTTGGGCGCAGCTGTTTCTGTTCCACTCTTTGACAACGTAAGTCCCGCCACGAAAACAAATCGTTTGTACCGTATTATATCAGAAAAAGAAAAATATATTTCCTTGAATTTCTTTTTTTACCATCGAATTTTAAGTATTTTTGTGCACATTTTACGTTAATTGGGGGATAAACGCTTATAGAATTAACAAATTAAGATTTAAAATGTTAGTATACACTTTTTGGTCTTTAATTCAAGTTTTTGAAACAGTTTTTTTGCGTTTTTAGAGTTTAGAGGATGTTCGGCTACTTCTTAAGGTTTTATGTCGTTATTGGTTGATGGAAATCTCTTATGGAAAGAGGAAATGGAAATATTGTAAAGCTTTTTGTTATTTGTTTTAAAGTTTAGGGTTTTTAAAGAAAACGGGCACAAAATGGTGGTTGAGATAGGTGGTAAATATGGTTTTATTGTTATATTAAAATTACGTGATTGTTTTGTTCACGCTACTTTTAATTGTTTTAACTTTTCTGATGTATAAGGCGATTGTTTTTTTAATGTTTCGCGCTTATTTTAAATATTTTTACAAGTATCGTTATCTTATTTCAGGATTATGTCTTCACCAGCCGTTGAGGGCATCTCCCGCGGAGATAAAAAGGGTTTCCAAGTTACCAAGGCCCCAAAGAAGGTCAAGGCTAACCGTCATCGTGGAGCTTTGTCCAAGAAAGCCAAGATCACTCGTGAAGTTGTTCGTGACATCACTGGCTTTGCTCCCTATGAACGTCGTGCTATGGAATTGTTGAGGATCAGCAGAGATAAGAAGGCGTTGAAGTTCTTGAAGAAGCGTATCGGCCAACACCAGCGTGCTAAGAAGAAGCGCGATGAGATGCAACAGGTTATCACCAACCAAAGGAAACAACACAAATAAGCTGTTTATTCCGCCTTCTTCTCCGTTGAGTTTTTTTGTTGTTTTTTGTCAAATAAATCATTATTGTATGATTGGTTGACGTACTCTTTTAAATTTAGGTATGCTACTTCAATGCTTGATTGATAACAAAAATAGTTTTTATTTTGGTGATGATAAGTTTCAATATAGTTTGAAGCCTAGTTTGTCTTTGAAAACCGGGTATAGAGAAGTAAATGTTAGTTCAAAATTACTTCCCGGTTTCCTACGCATCTATTACATTCGTTGCTGTTTGCTTTACGTGTTCGACTTTATATAGAAGCTACATCGCGCGGTCACAGCGCGCAAAGTATGCTTCATATTGGTCTCTCATTCATCGTGGACCACAGATTCGGATGATGGTTGTACTTTTGGTTTCTGAATGAAAGTCAGTCAATTATTAGGAACTCTAGTCATGGTAATGGTGTATTCTCATATTTGTGAGTTAAGGATTTCTATTTTGGAATTATAATAGCAGGTACCATTTAATAATTATGATCGATTTTTAACAGTTAGATAGGTTTACTTTGTTGCTCTTAAAAGCTTTTTGTAGTTTCTTTTCAAAACAAAAAGTTTAGATGGATCAAAGACGACGCATCCTCCATGTTGCAGAGATACTTTGAGCCAGGTAACATGTCAGCGGTTACAACGGGTAAATGGTACCACTTTTGGACATAGATGTAACTCTGACGTTGAGTTTAGGTAAAAATTATAATAAAATTTAAATTGACTTTAATTTTTTATTAAAATTGTGCTTTTTGCTTCAGATTTCAGTAACGTTATATTGTTTTGATGAATTGAAATAATAACTGGTAATTACTGTAGGTTAATCCAGTGCTGTGCGACGTGTAATCGTTTCAAGGGTGCTGTAGACTATGATAGGATAGCCGAGACTTTGGTTCAAAGCCAGTGTTTTGATAGATATGGTGATGTATTCTGTAAAAGATACGTCAACGCTACAGATGTGTGGGAACTAAAACAACGACCATGTGATGGTAACAATCCATACATAGCATTTCGGTCATGTCGTAAAAGTTGCGGATTTTGCGACTTTTCTCAAGTAAAATATACACTTCACAATGCGTTGGAAGCTTGTAGAATGGTAGATCATCTACACGATAATTAGGATTACAAGCTCAGATCCTATTGTAATTACTGATAACATACATTTATTACAGTATTATTATGGATAATTTTTCCGAATCATGAGAAGTTTGTTAACGGATAGAACAAAAAAATTTCTAATTTGTTTTTTAATAATAATATTAACGTTGTTAAAAATTGTTTTGGCACTTTTATATACATATAAATAATTGTTTTAAATTGGGTTAATATGATAATTATAAAATAATAATTGGGTAGAGTCAAAATATTCAGTGAAAAAAAATTACATTTGAACTTTTAAACTGTCAGGTTGTCAAATTCTAGTCGTACTCGTTGATTACTTTCGTACAAAATATTTTTAAAAGATCGTATTTTGATGATGGTGCTTATGAATGTCACTGTAGAGAATAGTGTTCCCATAACTGCTGTTTGGAAGCTGATTGGCAGATGACATCCCTAGAATTTTTTTCATTTTACAGAACAGTACATCAATTATTAAAAATAAAATTAAACTTACTATAACGTTATTGTAACAAGATGCTGGAGCTCTCAGTGGCGGATAAGTATTCTGGTGTTTATACCAGTCAGTTTCCCTCCAATCTTTATAGCCGTAAACACCGCAACATTCGTTCTGAAAATGTGAAATATGACAGTTTAACCAAAGCACCAGTCTGGTCTGCTATAATAAAAACTATTTGGCCACAAAAAAAAGTAATATAAATTACACTTATATGTAGCCTGTCCCAAGCTTCTGTGACTTTATTATACCAAGGTGACCCGTAGCCTAACTTTACAATTTCCAATAGCGAATGAGGATCATTGTTCATTTTATATACAAAAAATACCATAACAGTGGAAGATGTTAAGTTGATTACCGCTGAACATATTAGTAAAGGTCCTAACTGAAAATTTTAACTTGTAAATTTTAAATGTAAATTTTGTGATTTTTAAGAAAACTTTTACTAAACCTCAAAAACCTTACGTAGAATGTTACAGTATCTCTAGACTGTGAATCTTTTTTCAAAAATAAAGTGATTGCTCCACCCACAAGCACTTCAACCACAATTATTAGGCAAAATATCGATATTAGGAAGTCTTCGTACGTGGCGAAAAATATGTCCCACAACCCAATTAGTGTCACTGACGTAGTTAGCGCGCATACAAATGGATGAAACTGTAAAAAATTAAAATTCAAAATTTTTTGTTACAAAAAATAATAATAACTTTCTTTAAGAAACAAAAAATAGCATAAATCTAAGTTGAAGAGCAAAAAGATTACTTTTTTACTGTTAAAATTTAACAAAATTATATTAACATACGAGTACGTATTTATCCAGTTGCCAGGTCATTGCTGCGTCAAATTTTAAAGTGTGGCCAAATCAGCCCACCTTCAACTTCCCTTTCGAGAGGCGCGACCTGAGGTCGAGTTCATTCCAAAGTTTTTATTTGTTTTGTAAGATCTGCGGTCATTCTGTACCATCCCTTCGCCCTTTTTGTATCTGCAACAACTTTGTTTACGCAGCGTTTTTTGGAAAGATTTCCGCCATCTGGCATGTCTTTCATAATCTGACAACATACGTTGCAATTTGGAAAAAACATGTATTAAAATATACTAAAATTTTTAAAAAAATAAAGTGTAAAAAGTATGGCATAGGCCATTATTCTTTAGTTTTTTAAAACTATTGTATTATTTTCATGTGAGTTTGGTTGGCAGTAAGGGGAGGTGTAGCCTTAATAAGTATCTTAAAAAACTGGCAATCTTTTGGTATAGTTAAAATTTCCTCACTTTCAAACTTTCCCGGTAGCAAACATTTTTCTTGAGCTTATAAAAAATGTCGTAAAACTCCCGCAATGTGCTTTCGGGATTTGGATTACAATTAATTTGAATATAAAAACGCCCTTTAAAGATTTTTACTATTTTGGACTTGGAAAGTACTTCTAAGGTTGAATAGAGTGTTACGAAGAAGAAATCCCCAAAATATCTACAGTAACACACACAGTTTACGTTTATAAAAAAGTTGAAAGCTAACAATAATAAACAATGTAAACTTATAAGACCGAAAAGTTCAAATTTATTTATTTTTTAAAATGAAAAGTTTTTACAATTATTTTTGACATAACCAAACTAACTTTTGGCTATTGTGTTGTTTTTGTTTTAATTTTGAAGCAACAAGTCCACTTGTCTTTTGGCTTTCCTTTCTAAAATAAGGTAGTAGAGTATCGGAACAAGCTCCGCCTTCTTTTTTGTGGCATTCCAGTTTAAAAAACGGAAAATGCCATTGTAACTGACCTCTAGACATGTCTAAAGGTTTTTGTACTAAATAAATTGGTACTATCTCTAAAGAGCACAGTAGATCACTGTGTTTACTGTATCAAAAGGTAAGATTGGTAAACTGTACTTTATGTTTATTTGACATGGCAATTACAAATTGATTCTTTTTCTACGACAAACTGAAACTTTCTCCTAACTTTTTTTTTAACTGACTTTTACCATGGCGAGTGCGTTGATTAACTCAACAAGAAACATGAATACGGTAATCATGTGGCCAAATCCGGAGCGAAAAATGTCCGAAAGTGCACGTCGGCCATCGATGATATACGAAATCAGCGACAAAGTCCGCAACTTTAGTCGCAGTGTTAGGACAGCGGCCAAAGATGAAGTTACGTACGAAGCTGTTCGATTTGCACATACCACGACTGCTCACGGAATTCCTATGGTAACTTACTAATTAAATAACCGTATTTTTACATGATTACATACAATAGATCATTTTGTGAATTTAGATATTTTAAGGTTTTTTCATATTTACAATGGGACATTTTTGTGAATTTAGGCACTTAACGCAAACGCTTGGTACGGCAAGGTGTTATGGATGTGTTTATCACTGTTTTCGACGGGTTTGTTTCTATATCAATGTTTGTTGGTATTCGAAAAGTATCAACGAAATGACAAAATAGTCAGTGTCAAGGTAAGTTTTTTTGTAAAAACGATATTGTATTTTGTATTCGTCACAAAACAAAAATTATCTTACGCTATAGTATGTTTCAATTTTCAAAAAACCTTTGGTACGCACACAAAGAATTGTTGCTTAAAATTTAAAAAACAAGCCGTTTTTAACAACATGACACTGATGTCGACTTTATGAATTTCCAAATACCTGTACTTTCATGCATTCACGATGCATTTCTGATTTATTACTTTCAGTTGGAATTCGGTTCGGCCAATTTTCCGGCCGTTACAATTTGCAATTTAAATCCATTTAAAAAGCATAGTGCCATAAAAGTTAAACAAGTTGCCGATACCGTAAGTTTATAATATGAGTCTAAGGTTTTGGATAGTTTTATACTATACCTACAAAAAAATCATAGTAAAAAAATCAAAGTAAAATTTTTTATTTTTAGATGGTTAAAACTGAAAATTTTTATAAATATTTTTTTTTATTTCCATTTTTAAGCTTGAAGCCTTTCATCAAGCTGTAACCTTCAGCAAAGGTGCCATATATCATAGAACAACCGACGTGAGGTCGAGAAGACATCTAAATCCAGGTAAATTTAACAAATACAATTACCGGAACGAGAACATAAAAAAACAATAATTTAAAAAATACCTTCAAATAAAAAAACTGGTAAAAAAATTCAGGAGGTGTAAGAAATGTGCAAGTAGAACCAGTAATGTCGGATTGCAAATGTAAACGACGATTCCGCAACTCCGACGACATTGACTGTGTACAAACTAATACCGTTCCAAAAAATAATGCTACAATGTGTATATGTAACTACGACCGACATGATGACACGGCTTTTCCTTGTACTCCTGCCAAGTAAGTTAATATAGTTCACAAGTAGCCCTAAACCAAAAAAAAATTTTTTTTTTATTCCTTTATTCTGCCGCGGCATTGCTTAGAAGAAAAAAATATTGTAATTTTAGACTTTGGGTGTCAGCCATGTGTCCAGACTGCAACGACATTGGTTTCTGTAACCTTCCGGACACCAGCGGTGAATCCGAATACCCGTGTATGTGTCTTAAGGCTCCAAACAATCAAACACGACGGCCGTTCAAACACTGTCTTCTAATGCCGAAACGAATCAACCGAATGTGGGAGACGCGTGGCGAAGAGGTGCCGGACGAAGATTCGCCCTTCTACAATGATTACATGAATCGGTTGAAGACGTTGGGATACGAAAACATGACCGATGAAGTCGCCATTACCACAAAGACCAAAGAAAAGTGAGTTAATCATGTTTGATTGACAAATATAATACGCTTCAGTGGGACAGCGGTTTTTTGAAAATGTAAAAGGACATGTATTAATATCAGATGTTTGTAAATTCAAATTCGGTTTTTAAAAATAGTACAGCCTTATAAAAAAGGTATTATTTTATTATTTTTTAAAGTGAAATTGTAGGTTAGTCTTGATAATGGCGGGGATGCCCTTAGAAGACCGAGTAGCATTGTCCTACGGCCGCACCGAGCTCATCAAGATGTGCTCTTTCGACAGTAAACAATGCGACATTGAAAAGGAGTTTAAATTGCATTTGGACCCGACTTTTGGCAACTGTTTCATCTTCAACGGTGACCCAAAAAAGAACCAAACTTCGAGCCGGGCCGGGCCTTCTTATGGTTAGTTTAACAAATAAAAAAACTCAAAAAGTAAAATTTTTTCTAGGGTTTATGTATATTATACATAAGTATAATTTTTCTTTTTAACTTGCAAATACATTTTTCTAAAAATTTCATTTATCCATGGGTTTACTCTTCCAGTTTTTACGTATCTGACATATTATTCAAACGCACCTAATCCTATTAGCCGGCCCCAAGTTTATTGACAAAAAAAAGCAAAAAAATTAAACAAAAGGCAATAAGTTGAGTATGTCACTTTCAACTGACAAGGAAATTGCAGGAAAACAAAAATGTTCACCAAAAGTTACACATAAAAACCTTTATATTTAACAACTTGAAACGAGAATTAAAAATACACTTTTAAAAAGCATGTATAATACTTATTATATAAAAGTTTTAGGAGTACAGTGCCTTTAGAAACCTGCAGATCACATACAATAACATAAAATTAATGATGCTTTACTTTAATAATTTAGGACTTCGACTCTTGGTATCGGTAGATGCGGCCGATTACTTACCTACGACTGAAGCCAAAGGTGTTCGTATTACCATACATGACTCAAATGAATGGCCGTTTCCTGAAACGTTTGGTTACAGTGCTCCAACTGGAGCTGTTTCTTCATTCGGCTTATCAACAGTAAGATTAGGTTTTAAAAATTGATTGTTAATAAAGAGTAAAATAATCAAAAGTTGCTTTTTATTACTATTTAAAAGTTTTGTTAGATTTCTGTACTTATAATTGCATTTGCAGCGACAAGTACATCGCTTAGCCGTGGGAGGAGATGATTGTGTACATGAAGGTGAACATACTCGTGGGTACATCTACTCTAACCACAAATATGAACCTGAAGTATGTGTGTTATGCATACTTTTAATCATAATTTTGTAACTTTTTATTAAAAATAACCATTTCGTAAAACCAATCCTTAGTATTTTACACTATATGACTTAGTAACCTATTTCCATCAGGGCTGTTACAAAAGCTGTTACCAAAACAAAATGATACACGAAGTACATTGTGCTGATCCACGATATCCAACACCGCACAATGGTACACGATACTGTAACACCTTGGACCATTATGAACGTATGTTTATTTTTACGTTACGCAACATCATTTTGAATTTATAAAAATGCAAAATATCTATTATTAAACTAAGATTCTTTCAAAAAAGAATTTAGGCGATTCTTTGGTTAAAGCGTCGCTAGAATTCACTAGAAGCAAGTACCTAATGGCACGATGCGGATGTAAACATCCATGTGAACACAACGTATATACTACAACGTACTCTTCTGCACGCTTAATGCCAGCCGCATTCAGTACAAATCATTGCAAACAAAAAGGAACCAAAAAAGAGGGCGATTGTATTGAAAGTTTTGATCCGTAAGTCTTTTTACTATCGTATTGTCCTATTCTTATCTACTCGACCAATAACTATCGGATATACCGTAAAGATTTAATTGAACTAAATTCAGAAGCCAAACAGTAATGTTGGAAATCTACTATGAACAAATGAGCTACGAAATATTGACAGAACGAGAGGCTTACTCGGTATGATTTAACTCCATGCTTTTAAGTTTTTTTTTAATTTTAAAAAACTTGCAAAAAAATATTATGTTTCAGTTTGTCAACTTCTTATCAGACGTTGGTGGCCAAGCCGGTTTGTGGCTGGGCGCTTCCGTAATCACCGTCTTCGAAATCGGCTACTTTGCCTTCAGAGTCCTTACTGTAGCATGTCGTAGAAAATTCCGCGACCGTGTGGATTCAATCGCCAAATTTTCGACTACTGACACCCTGGATGAACGATTCGATACACGGCGTAAACAGAGCACAGATGCAAAACTGACAATCTCATCACTGGACAATCTAAAGCATACCGACGACGATGATACTACTTTACATCAGGGATGGGAATCTGAAACCACTAGTGTCAAAGACAGACCCTTTATGGTATAATCGCTTTTAATAAACTTTTTTGATTTTTTGATTTTACTACTTTAGAATAAGTATTAATTCTTTTTTAACGAATACAAAAAGTTAAAATCAAATGACAAGTTAATTATTAAGAACTCAAAATGTGACCACGTTGTCGAAGCCATTCCCGCACATGATGCAGGAGGGGAGATACCGAATGGTAATTAATCTCGCTTCCCATCATAGCTGAACCAACTTTTTGATGCAGCGAATAAATCAGGAAAGCGCCCCTGACGGGATACGAACCCACGAGCTTTGGTACGAAAAGAAAACGCGTTAAACATAAAACTACACGGCGCTTTCTCTTCTTTTGCTGGCTTTCACATAACTTTGAATGAAACTTTTCAACAGAATTCAAAAATATTACTTTGATGACATCTGTCCCGACAGAGTAACTTCTTTTTAAATAAATGTAATATCTAACCTTCCATATAATCAATCCTTTCCATTTTAGTATCAAAATACAACTTTAGAAAAAAAGGCTTTAAAAAATACGTAACTCTACACTAATCAATCTAAAAATGGATTTACAAAGTAACACTTATTTTTAAACAGCTAGAAATAAACGAAACCAGCTACGTGATAGTAACTGCATTACGTGAACTTTGATAGAAGTTTTCTTGAAATAACAAATCAACTACAAACAAGGGGTCCCTTCCAAATTGGTTTTAAAGCTATTTGCTTTGCTACTATAAATAACCGCGCACAAGTATGAGTTGTTTCAAAACCGTTTTTCTGTTGTTTTAGTTTTTTTGCCACCAAAATTATAATTTACCATGCTTTCGAAACCATTTGCACTTAAAAATATGAATTTCAGAAAGCATGTGTAACATGTAATCTCTTATTGCTATGTAAGTATCTTTTTGATGGATAAACCATAAATTTGCATTAATAGTTTCGCCCATTTCCATGTAGGTACATGCATGCAAAACAGGTTCATTTTGTTACTTTGGCCCCGCTCTCGAAGTTTTTTATTGCGTGTTTACTTGTTATACGAAAGGTTGGGCGCGAGTGGCGCGTAGAATAAATATTTTGTTTTTTGACAAAAAACAGTTTCGATCGTGCGAATTGGTTTTCTCATCATAAACAATTTTTGTTATAGAAGATGGCTGACAGAAACTCGATTGGTGAGGATGCCTCAAGTTTGATTGGCAACACTCCAATGATTTATTTGAGGAGAGTAGTTGATGCGGATTGTACAGCTAAAGTTGGTAAGTAACTTTTCTTTGTAATAAATTTTTTATTTGTATATTTCTTTAGGGCATAAGTTAGTAAAGGAGAGAATTTTTCTGTCTTAAACTTGAAGGCAGATTTATAAGGTGAAAAAATTGGCTTTTAGGGAGTTTTGTTTTAGGTGATAAGACAATTTTTTAATATAAATTTCAGCTGTAAAACTCGAGTACCTAAACCCGGCATGTTCGGTGAAGGACCGCATTGGCTACTCGATGATCAGAGCCGCAGAAGAAGCTGGAAAGATTCGACCCGGCGTGACAACTTTGATTGAGCCTACAAGTGGTAACACTGGTATTGCACTGGCATTTATTGCTGCTGTTAAAGGATACAAGTTGATTATTACTATTCCTTCATCTATGAGTTTGGAAAGAGTAAGTATTCCTTTATTTTTTTTATTTTAGGTAATCACTATTAGCTTGTATTTATTCAAAAAATGTACAATTATGTACGCTCACTTTGCAGAGAACACTGCTACGCGCCTATGGTGCCGAGTTGGTATTAACCGACCCTTCAAAAGGTATCAGCGGATCGATTGAACGAGCTCAAGAACTTGCTCAAAACATTCCTGATGCTTATGTTCTCCAACAGGTATCATTTTTTACTGTTTTTTTATAACTTATTTATTCTCTCGTATTCGCTCAGTTGGTATATTTTAACATTTTATCTAAAGGAGTCATTTTAGTTTGAGAATCCAGCAAATCCTCAGATTCATTACGAAACAACAGGACCAGAAATCTGGAAACAAACCGATCATAAAGTAAATGTATGCGCATTTGGTGTGGGAACCGGAGGTACAGTCACTGGAGCTGGGACGTTCTTAAAGGAACAAGATCCAAGTATTAAGGTAATTTGTGTTATTACAATTTATTATCAACTTTAAATAAGTAAGAAACTAGTTTTTGTTAATTTATATCGCTCTTTAGATATATGCAGTAGAGCCGGAGGAATCTGCAGTTTTGAGTGGATTTGCACCTGGACCTCACAAAATTCAGGGTATGTTTGTCATAACTTTTGGTTTTTTGCTAAATTTTGTCTAGTAGTTCTTAAATAGTGGTCTGTTTTTAAATATCAAAATTTTACTTTTTTACTTTTGGTACTGTGGTTTTTTATCACAGATAATTTTGTTTAAAGTGGTGGTAACATGTTTTTTATTCGTTTAGGAATTGGAACTGGTTTCATTCCGACGGTATTTGACAAAAATATTTGCGATGGAGTGATTCGGGTACATTCTGATGAAGCCATCATAATGGCAAGAAGACTGGCGCTGGAAGAAGGACTCCTGTGCGGAATTTCCAGTGGTGCTAACGTTTGTGCAGCTGTCCGACTTGCTAAGCAGCCAGAAAATGCAGGAAAATTGATTGTTACAGTACTACCCAGTTTCGGCGAACGTTACTTGTATGTTTTTTTTTCTTGTTTTTTATTATTTATGTAGCTACAAATGTAGATACCTTTTATCCGAAAATAATATAATTTAAAATACGATATAATTCAGGTCTTCTGCCCTGTACGCCAGCATTCGGGATGAAGCCATGGGAATGCCTGTTGAATCATTGGAAGAGAATCTAAACAGAATTAAACTTCATGAATTTCCCGAGGTAGCTTTGGACAGTTAATTCGTGCAAACTCTTGTCACAATGTAAATACCATCGTTTTCATCTTATTATTTTAACAATTATGTATGCCTTAATATATTATAGTACTATAAGGAGTGTAACTTGAATTGCGTAGTTTTTTGATATTCTTTATTTAAGCTTGACTTCAAAATTTACTGAAAAATCAGCCACTTTTTTTATTTTAAAAGTATTAAAAACACATTTAATAAAAAATGAGGGATAAGCCTACAATAATTGATATTGGTACAGTATACCCGTGTTTTGAATTCAGTCTTTGCGCATGCCATTCAGCATACTCGGCAGGGTGTTTCCATTGCTGGCACGCCCATGGTATTACGTTGGCCCCTGCGTTCTGAGACAATAACTGAACCAAAACCCTGCAATGTGTAGTTATATTATGATAGTTTGTTACTGCGAAGTATTGAAATTATGAATTATAATTAAATTACAATGTAGAAATCATTCAAAATGACGTTACTTACATTGAGTTACGTGTGTTTAATTGTAACAGAAACTTCCAACCCTTTTGTCCGCAAAGCACATCGCTTTGTCCGATGTAGCACTTGTCGTACAACGTAACACTACGACACAGATCGTCTAACGTCGAGGTTGGGTCGGACCATCCGTTTTGGATAACATCCATTACACTGCTGTGCACCATAACAGCATGTATATGGCATTTGGTGGAAATGAGCTCGCCGTGAGCTTGCCAACACGGTAAAACTTCGTCCTGGAAGTCTGCAAGAAATATCAAATTTGAATTTGGAAGACTTTACAGTTGTTTACATAAAAATATAAAAGGTTTACAATGATATCAAAATAAAAACTGCAATACCTGTACTATCTTCGAACGAGTTACAAATAAAAGACCATGAACTTTGACCTGCTTCCAATACTTGGCGTGACTTAGATTCAGGACACTTATTTAAGCAAAAAACAAACTGTTTATGAGCGCTAAATTATAAATAACGTTTAAAAATTTTATAATTAATTCACCATATTAAATTTTAAAATTAGGTTAATAGATTTTCCCGTTAACCTCATGTTTTATTATACTTTATTAACATGTTTTATAATAAACATAGTTAAATAGTTATCATAAGCCACTTACTCACAAGCAATACTCAACCGGTCGTAGACATTTAAATGGGAATGTTTTGTGAATAAGCCTTGAAGCGGTGTGGAAAGGCTTAAGGAAAACATTTGCGACTTCTCTGGTGCCCATGTTTGCATGTGTTGTAACTAAAATAAGGAAACTAGAATAAAATTGTATATTTGTAATTTGGTATAAAATAAATTCCACTAAATAATACAATAAAGAAACTTAAAGTGTCACCCAATCTTACATAGTTATCTTTACATCGCAATAAACATGCATCCGGCACGTTTCCAAATGTTATAGCAACCCCATACACCATCCATACTATACAGCCGTTCATTAACATGGAAAGCATTGTCATGTATCATCAATAACATCACATTGCCTGATGTTTAATTATGGGGTTGGAATCTCAAAAAAAACAAAAAATTTAAAGCTATAACTTAAGAGAAGGAAGAAGGGCCGCGCAAATGAACCGAAAGATTTAGGTTTAGAGTTTTCTGGCTAAACTGACGCCTTCAGGCGTTTATTTATTTAAATATAAGGCTTGAAAAACTCCTTCATCCATGATTAATTATAAGTGTTATTAATTGCAGGGTCTTGAGATATTAATGTAAAAATGTGATCTTAAGGTAATATTCGTAAAATTAGGGGTTGTTTAAATTTAAATAGCATAAAAAGTTAAATTCAAAGGAATAATACTGTAGTTTAGAAGTCAAAATTCGTTTTAATTGACTAACTTTCATGTTAGCTGGCAATAACAATTTTTTGCAATCTATGAACGTAACCAAGAAGAACGTAAAGTAACTATAAAGCGGTTTTTGGATTTAAACGTGGGAATTTACACCTGCATCAATAGTTTATAACATTATTGCTAAACCATATAATATCATATTACGTGCTCTTATATACTTTTTACGCCACTAAAATGCCCTGAAAATTGCAGATTAATTTGCGTTTTAGCCGCTCAGGCTTGCCCGATTAGACTCAGTCCGCTTAGCCTTAGTTGCTTAGGTTTGGTCGCTTATGCTTAACCGCTTAGTCTGTCAAATTTGCATTCACGAATTGTCGCAGTTCCGGAATTGTCACCCTTAAATCATCGTTGCCCCTCCAAAATCTGATTCCCTCAAAAATATTATTGGTTAATTATTTGAAATTTTTATTATCAGGGCCAATAAAACACGAAATAAATTCTTTGTCATAATCACTTTATTCAAAACTAAACAATGCCATACTTTTTTCTTGGTAATATTATTACTTCGAAAAGCAACTAACTTGAATTACTTTACCTTCAAAAGAAGATTAAGGTTTTTCGTAAAATACTTTCTACTATATATATTATATAAAGTCAATTGTTCTTCTCGAAAAATATTTACCTAAAATTAGAATTTTTTTGTCTAAAAAAAGCATGACAATTATTTTCGATTTTGCAAGTTCACAACTAACCGTAAACGGACGAGTAAAAAATTACCCACCCGGCGCTAATTTGTGCTTATAATACTTGTGAATACAAGCATATATCCTATAGTAAAAACAAATAACTTAAAGCAAGATCAATTTAATCCAGATTAACCTCGAAAATGAGCATCTCCATTTTGAGTCTGGTTTATGGCTTTGGAATAACCCCGCGAACGACTTGAATGGCTTCAGTTTTGTTTCAATTCCGTATCCTTTCCGAATTAAAAAAACTGGATTAAAAGTTTTTTTAAGGATAAAAAAAATCTTTAAAAATGAAAACACTAACAATGTGCAATTAAATCTAGTACCCGCCTGATTTTAAAGTTATGTGTCCACCTTCTACAATTTTTCTGTAAAAATAAGAGAACACTAAAAGAATTTACATTAAAATCCACATTATGTGGGCAAAAGTTGAAGCAGAAATGAGAACAGGAAGCATGTAATCTGTAGCACAACCTTATTCTTATATATATGTGTAATAGCCGGCATGTGGAATCAAATCCAAACAGGTGAGAGAGCCTTCAGAGACAAAACAAAAAAGGAAATGGATTTCCAGGACCATAAAATTTTAGGGATTAAACCCGACTTGAAAATAGCTTGAAAATGTACACAAAGTGGGTGTATGACTACATACAAAGTTATGTACATTTACTTGCAAACGAAAATACAGTTTTTTTGCAAAAGATAAAAAAAAGCTCTAATTTTAAAAAATTTTGATTCATTTCAACAACTTGTTACCGGCGAGGACGGTTAAGAATCCGGCGAAAATGTTAGACAAATCCAACAGTCCACGGGCACGCGACGATGACAGAAGCCAGAAAAACGAATCAATTCAAGGATCGTCGTCGCAAGGATCTAGCTCCGAGTCGAAAAAACAAGAAGATTCACAAAGAGCCAAAACCACCCTGTCAATATGTCAAGAACCAACTATACCAGTTGATCTGGAGGAACTAAAGCGGATACAGGTAAATATATTACTTTTGTCGTACCTATTAGATAAACAGTTTTTTGTGAATTTTTTTTTTCATAGGTAATTAATTACTGTAAAGTGCTTTTGTTGCTTCCATAGAAGGTTGCATGAATACCAATTTTAAGATTTCGCGTTAATTTAAAAGATTTCACAAAGTTTTAAACCTGACGGAAACTTGAATTTTTATTACATTTTACGATTCCAGTTTATTTTTATTAAAAAACTATTTTTTAGCTTTAATTTTAAAACTTTCAAAGCAAATTTAACGTCTCAAATAAGTTTCAGATTGGAGATAGGCTAATTGATGTCGATGGAACTCCAATAAATAACAGAGAAACAGCCAAAAAACTCATGCTGAAAAGCTTGGCGTCCACAAGAAAAGTGAGCTTCATTATTGAAAGACCACAATCATCGGAAGCCAAACTGTATGTAAAGACGGCTTTGTTATCAGCTTCCACCAGAACTTCATCGACGGCACCACGCGAGAAGGCTAAATGGGCCGCTAGAGCTGCACAACAACGTAAAAACGCCGCTAATCACAAAAGCGGATAAGATACTGGACAATTAATTTTCTTATATAAAAAGTTGTGAAAACTGCTAGAAATGGATATTTGAAAATTTTTTTATTTAAAATGCTCGGGATTTTATTTTTCATAGACATGAGAAACGGACCGGGCCTGAATGTTAGGCCCGGCCCGATCGTAATTTTGCTCAAGGCCGGCCCGGCCCATTTCTCATGTCTGTTTCTTCACAAACCTAACAGAAAAAATATTGCTCGAAAAAATAACAACATTTTTAATTTTCCTTTTAAAACAGAACGCCAACATCAGGCTACCGTACTTCCCGTCAAGACCCAACTTTCTCTTCAGAGAATTTAGGAAACTCTTCGTCTTTTTTATTGTTTTGCGAAAATAATTTTCAATTTTTAAATATTTTATGGGATTCGTGTGTCGTTTTTCAAGTTTTAACTTTATAAAATTAAATATTGGTATTTTAGGAAATGGGTTTAGTCAAGGTTGTCAAAAATCGCGCTTACTTCAAGCGCTACCAGACCAAGTTGAGACGCCGACGTGAGGGAAAGACCGACTACTATGCCCGCAAACGTCTTACTGTTCAGGAAAAGAACAAGTATAACACTCCAAAGTACCGTCTGATTGTCCGTTTCACCAACAAGGACATCATCGCTCAGGTAAGAGAAGTTAAATATCGTTTTTTGAAGTTTAGATGGCTGTCCTCAGATTTTGTTAATTTTCTATGCTTGCGGTACGTATTGTCTTATTAAACCTACCAGATCAACGGACGATGATCTGGAAATTAAACCTATAGTTTAAGGGACAAATCATACTTCATTTTTACATCTTTTTACTCTTAGAATGTTCTTTTAACTATTTTATTGTAGAAGTAATTTTTTAGGTAGCTTACTCGAAGATTGGAGGAGACGTTGTTGTCACTTCTGCTTATGCTCATGAACTTCCACGTTACGGAGTTAAACTGGGTCTTACCAATTATGCCGCCGCTTATGCTACTGGACTTCTGTTGGCTCGTCGTCACTTGAAATCGGTTAAGCTTGATGGTTTGTACAAGGGAACCGAAGAAGTCAACGGTGAAGACTACAATGTCGAACAAGAAGGTGATAACCCAAATCCCTTCCAAGCCGTTCTTGATGTTGGTCTTGCTCGTACCACTACTGGAGCTAAGGTCTTCGCCGTCATGAAGGGTGTTGCTGACGGAGGCATCAATGTTCCACACAGGTAAGGTTTTTTTAAATTTCCTGAATAAGTGTAGCTTTATGTTTGTCTTTATTTTTTTTAAACTACTTTTTATTGGTTTTGTTTTTAGCGAGTCTCGTTTCTTCGGATACGATCCGGAATCCAAAGAATACAATGCTGAAGCTCATCGTGACAGAATTTTCGGCAAGCACGTCGCTGACTACATGAAGCACTTGAAGGATGAAGATGAGGAGGCTTACAACCGTCAGTTCTCCAAATTCGTGAAGTTGGGCATCACTGGTGACTCGCTGGAGGGTGTGTACAAGAAGGCTCACGACGCCATCCGTGCCAATCCTGACCCAGAACCAAAGAAGGAGAAGAAGGTTGAAAAGAAGAGATGGACTGCTAAGAAGCTCACACACGAGCAAAGAAAGGCACGTGTGTCTACAAAGAAGGCTTATTTGTTGCACTTGAAAAACCTTCAAGAACAACAGTAAATGTTGTTGAACTTTTTTGTTTATTCAAATAAATGTTTTGTTGTTTTTGATAAACGATACATTATAAACTGTTTATTTTGAATTATATTATATTAAAACGCTATAATTTCAAATAAAAACGCCGTTTTAAATCTCGGTCATAACATGAGAATTTTGTATTATATTATCTGGATAGGTATTAGGTTTAAACATAATCATCTTGGTTAAGGTAATGTGTGTGACCGTTACAACGTAAATTCCGCAGTAATTTTTACCTAATCTGAACATGACCGTCTCAATTTTTTATAATTTGAAGTATTATATGCATTGTGAGGTTACGCATTTTGATAGTTTGTAGGTCCTGCAACGAAAACTAACGAAGCCAAAGTTACGGTACTTGAAAAGAAAGAGGGTTTTCTTTGCTGTTCTGTTATATTTTTCGTTTTTTGGGGATTTCGTTTAGCGTGTTTTACTATTTGTGGTTATTTGATCTTATATTTGAGTATCTTACAGGGTTCAACATGTCTCATCGTAAGTTCTCGGCACCTCGCCACGGTTCTATGGGTTTTACACCCAAAAAACGTTCAAGCCGTTTCCGTGGTAAGGTAAAGGCTTTCCCAAAGGATGACCCTTCCAAACCAATTCACCTTACCGCTTTCTTGGGCTACAAGGCCGGTATGACCCACATCGTTCGTGATGTTGACAAGCCAGGATCTAAGGTTCACAAGAAGGAAGTTGTCGAGGCTGTTACTGTCATTGAAACCCCACCTCTTGTTATTGTCGGAGTGGTTGGATATATCGAAACCCCTCGTGGCATGAGAGCTCTGAAGACTGTCTTTGCCGAACATCTCAGCGAAGATTGCAAACGTCGTTTCTACAAGAATTGGTATGTGCTGTCTTTTTTTTTTGCTTTTAGAGGGAACTGCTTACATTCGAAATTTATTAAATTCAGTAAAAGCTACACGAGGGTGTTTTGTATCAAATTTCATTTGTAGTTTCTTTTGGGATAGGGTTGATTAACGTTTAGATATAATATGATCTCTGAAGGGCTATCAATAACTCCGCTAAGTGTTACGCTTATGAGTGTTGTCGCACCAGCAAAGATGGCCCTCCGCTGTCATTAATGACATGAGGGTTTTAAATTAAACATCTTTGCAGGTACAAGTCCAAGAAACGCGCTTTTGCGAAATTCGCCAAGAAATGGCAAGACCCAGAAGGCCAGAAGAGCATCGAAGCCGATCTCGCTAAGATCAAGAAGTACTGTTCGGTCGTTCGTGTCATCGCGCACACTCAGGTATGTTGATTTAGTAATATTATTTTTTATATTTAGATTTATCTTACTTATAGTTTAACGTATTTTTCGTGTTACAGGTCAAAATTTTGAAACACCGCAACAAGAAAGCCCAAATTATGGAAATTCAAATCAATGGTGGATCTATCCCCGAAAAGGTCGACTGGGCCCGCGAGCATTTTGAAAAGCAAATTCCAGTTGAACAAGTCTTCAACCCAGATGAGATGATTGACTGCATTGGTGTCACTAAGGGTCACGGTTACAAGGGAGTTACCAGCAGATGGCACACCAAGAAGTTGCCCCGTAAGACTCACAAGGGTCTGCGCAAGGTTGCTTGTATCGGAGCTTGGCATCCTTCTCGTGTTCAGTACACAGTTGCCCGTGCTGGTCAAAAAGGTTTCCACCATCGTACGGAACTCAACAAGAAGATCTACAGAATTGGAAAGTCTTCTCTTACTGCCGAAGGAAAGAAGAACGGTTCTACTGAATTTGATATCACCGCTAAGGATATTAACCCTATGGTAAGAAATTTACTTTTTTATGTTAGTTTTTCGTAAATATTGCCAAAAACTATTATCTTGTGGACTTTTATTCATTGAGTTTGTTTTTAGGGTGGTTTCCCTCACTACGGTATGGTCAAACAGGACTTCTTGATGATCCGTGGTTGCTGTATTGGATCCAAGAAACGTCCGATCACTTTGAGAAAGAGTTTGTATGTGTCTAAGAAGAGAACCGCTACTGAAAAGATTTCACTCAAATGGATCGATACCAGTTCCAAATACGGACATGGTCGCTTCCAGACTAGTGCGGAAAAGAAGGCTTTCATGGGAAAACTTAAGAAAGATTTTATTGCTGAAGCCTAAATATTTTTTGCTCTTGGATTGTTTTGTTATGTTGTTATCAGTAAACGTGTTAATTCAAATCGGACTTTAATATTTGTGTGGTTGTGTAATTCCTTTCTTGTCGTATGTTTTTTATTTAAAGCGTCTTTGAATTATCAACCTTAGGTCTGTTTTATGGGTGATCTGGCATTAATTGATATCTTGGCCAAAGTACTTGGAAGAAGATTGGTAATAGAACTCTCAAACGATACTACAGTGGACGGAATCTTGTTGTCGACTTTGCCTAACTGTTTTCGACTTGGGAATAGCAAGGTCTACACTCAATCAGACAGGTCTCCGGTTTGTTGTGTGAATTGTTTTGTGGAAAAAAAGCGGGTTCGATTTATTCACTTCCCGCAAGATATTCACTTGTACAATATTCAGAAGAAATTAATGGAATGTCCTGGTATGTATTGTTTGTTTGTTCAATTACTAATACTATTTTTTAGTCTGAAAACACACAATGTTGGTCAGGCTATGTATAATATTTTTTTTGCTTTCTTACGTTGGCAAATGCGGTAAGTTTGGAGAGACTTTTATTAGAGAAAAAAATTTAACTTTAAATTATTATGTTAATCACATGCTTTTAGTTGACTTTCTTAAGCGGTTTGACCTTGTAACCACCAATATACATACGAATAATAATGGGAAAGATATATTGACGTTCAATGCGTTTTCCAAACATTTTCATGTAGATTTACAATATGGGTTAGCTCCACTGTTTCGCGATTTTACGCTAAAGGACGGCTCGGACAAAGATATTAGTCGTGATCTCATCAGAAATACAAGGTTTTACTCTGCTCGTGTCCAAGGCGTCATGCATTCGTCTGGTTTTATTACTGTCGGAAAACAAACCCACGAATTAATTGGACGGCTTGATCTTTTTAACGATACTTTGTATTTGGAGCCAACCGAGGACGGTACAAAATCTTTGGTTTATTTTGTAAGTTTTACTTTCTTGATTTTAATGTACAGTGTAAATCGAGTACGTCTAAAATCACTGGCTTTATCTAGAGGTATTTAATCTGTTAGACACGAAATAAATATTGTTCTAATAGATATTACAAAATTATTACAATTTAAAGTTTTGCAGAAGTCGGATCTTGATCTGGACGGTCTTCACAACTTTTCATCAAAAGCTTTCCATCGCCCTCATTTCCAATTCAGTTATCGGCCAGCTTCATTCTTCGAGCAGTACCGTGGGAAACGTAACAATGAGGAAAAGATTGTAAAGAATAATCGATGTGAAATCAAACTGGTTGCTGATTATGCGTTTTACCGTCTCATTGGAAACGGTAATTATGCCAACGCTGCACGGTATCTGGTACGTTCTTTTAAATTTATATTTTAGAATAGTATTACAAAGGAATTTAATTGTTGTCTATTATCCTTTGTAAAATTACTTATTTTTTGGTTAGAGTAGGGGGTTGGTGATTGTAGAGTTTATTTTTTAATTAAATTTGGCCATTTTAGATAAACTTGATTGAACGTATCAACGTGATATTTCGCGATGTCGACTGGGGACTGTCAGCAAGAGGAGAACGCTTAAAAAACCTAGGATTTACTATCAAAGAAATGAAGATACATGAACGTAAGAACAACTTGTCAAGCCATTTCAACTATATCTCACCTAATCGTTATGCTAACGCCGATCAGGTTCTTCAATCTTTTTCACGAACAGAAGGAGCCAACACTTGTATTACGTTCTTGATCTCGGGAAAAGTTTTTGATATGGGTATATTGGGCTTGGCAAACATTGGAAATGTTGGTGAGAAACGAGGAGTTTGTGGCGAATCAAACACGAACACTGGTGTCGTATCAGTACAACGAAAGTCCGGTTTGATCATTACAAGTGTGGTAGATTTGGTTGTGGCTCATGGTACATTTTGATTAAGTTCTTGCATATTTAAAGACGATTTAATAACTTAATACTAATTTAGGCAGTGTAGTTGTTATAGCTTTTTAAAGTAACTATTTACTACGTTTTTACAGAGATTGGTCATCTATGGGGGAGCAATCACGACGCAATAGACGATCCCCGCTGTGTACCCACAGATTCTCCCGAAGGTCGGTACATAATGCACGAGAGTTCGAACAGCGGTTACGACCGTAACAACTACCGTTTTAGTCCGTGCTCAAAAATGGCCATTCATCGGGTTTTGTACACTGCAGTGGATCAATGTTTTGTCGACGAACAGAAATCTTTGTGTGGAAATAATATTGTGGAAGCTGGGGAGGAGTGTGATCCAGGAGGTCAATTGTTGACTGGAACAGCTGTCCACAATGATACATGTTGCACGTCACAATGTAAACTAAAAATCAACGCAAAATGTTCTCCAAAACATTCTGAGTGCTGCACAAAAGACTGTTCTTATTTACCGGCTACACATCTTTGTCAGCCTAGCAATAAGAATAATTGCAGTCAACCAGCGTTTTGCACGTAAGTTATGCCATGTGTTAAATTATAAACTATAAAAATTACATGTTAGAGTACTAAGATCTAGTTTTAATTTTTTTTACGAAAATGAATTTTACATACATACTATGTTTGATGACTTAATTTTCAGAGGATACAGTGCAAAATGTCCAGAACCAAAACCTGTCCCCGATGGTACAGACTGCTTTGATGAAGGAAAGTGTCTCAGCGGTAAATGCATTGATTTTTGCCACCAAATATCTTCCAGTTCGTCACCGTGTAATTGCGAAAAACGTAAGTAAAAAAGATTTTATAGAAATTAATTTTGAAAATTCTCTTTAGCGAAAGAAATGTGTATGCGATGTTGTCGTTCACCTGCGGGACATTGCGAACCAGTTAAACCAGTACGGTACCTTGTTAATGGCTCCATTTGCATCCACGGACGTTGTAACAATGTAATTTGACAAAGCTTTAGTGAATTTATATAAAAGTTACTTATATCTGTTTACTGTTGTTTTTAAATTACTTCATTTTCCGGAAAAATAACTATTTATAATACTTTTAGAAATTATGCGTCAAGGAGGTGACAGACGCTGCAACGCATTTTTGGAGGATCATTAAAGATATTCGAGACAATCCATCATCAGAACATCTTGCACATTACATAGTTTTCATAACAATTTGTGCCACACTGTTGGTATGGGGTCCGTGTGTTGCATGTGTCATGTATAACGTAAGTCGGTTTAAAATGACGATAATGCCAAGATTTAGGATCGTCGTAAAAGAAGACATCGAGTCAGAATGGCCCAACCTGATGATAATTTTGCAAAAAGCGGAATGAGCAGATCAGTCAGCAATCCACAAAATTCAAAACTGTTATAACATTTTTCATATTATGATACTTCTATACATATCCCAACAAAATTAATACTGCCATTTGCAAACATTGTTAAACATTGCGGGTTAAAAAAAAGCGAATAAACTTGTATAAATTTTAATAACAGAAGGTAACAAGTTATATGAAAACAAAAACAACTTTTTACTTGGCTTTCTTGGCCCTGATCTTACGAAGGTAGAATTCGAGTTCCTTGCCTTCCAAGATGTATCCGTCGGCGTGTCCTGCTTGTCCAGGTCGGGATGAAATCACGGCCAGCAGACGACCAGTCTGGAATTGTTCCAAAAGATGGGGTTCCACAGCCGAGGTCTTCTGCCGTTCGGTGTATTTCTTCTGGGTTTTGGCCGACTTTTCCTTGAGGGTGTTAAATTTTTCTTCTTCTTCTGGAGCCAACTTTTGTCCCTTCTTCCTGGCCAAAGGCTGGGCATAGTGGGATTCATACCATGAACGGAATGGAACGGCATCAACTAAGACAACCATGGACTTGACCAAAGTCTTGGTTCTCACCAATTCGTTACCAGAGGGAGAGTAGACGGTGTCAATGATACGGGTCTTTCTGGTAGTTCCTACAAAAATGACTTGCGTGTTTTAAATTCTTTAACACAGAAATACACAGTATAACGACGAAGAATAAAGCTCAAAAAATATTGCCGTACTCCATTCAGAATTAACTGCATAAGAAATCCTAAATTTTAAACAAAAAGTTTAGAATTACCTTCAGAAGCCCAAGCGAAGTTTCCAGTATCGAGACGGAGAGCACGGTACTTAAGGTTTCCTCCGCGACATCTTACCAAATGAACACGGTGTTGGCCAATCTAAAACATATCTTTGTAAAATTAAACTTTTCAATTAATCTTCGACCAAAAATCAAAAATTTTGTAAATATCCTACAAATACATACCTTAGTGTTAGCAGCAGGACGACCCAACTCGAACTTTCTCTTCTTGCGGAATTGAGCACGCTTTCCACCGGTCGCACGGCGCTTGTGCATAGAATCACGAGAAATACCCATTTTTAGATTTGGAGTATTTCAAACCCTAAAATAAAATCAAGTTAAATAAATTTAAGATGTTTTAAAATGTAAAACACGCCAACATAACCACGAAAAATCTTTTAAAAACGTTAAAAAGTTATAACAAAATAAAAGATTTTCTTTTTTCAGATAGGAAATTTTCTCGCAATAGAAGAGTCTTCACTACCGTAATCAAGTCTTTTCGTGTCGGGACGTAGTGACCGTGGAGATGTTCGAATTGGCGGCAAATTGTAGCGCTAAAAACACATTTAAAAATCTTTGTTAGCAAAATTTTGGCGCAAAATGATTCTTCATAGGTTCTTTTCTCCAACAAAACAGATTAGTATATACATATTCGTTTGTTTCAGAAATGACGGATCACAACTTAGGCTTAACTGATATTAACGATGAATTGAAAAAGAAGGATGTATATCAGGAGTATGTGGATTATATCGATGACAAGGTTTGCTTTTCCTTGTTTCAATTAAATGTTGTGCGAATTTTACTTTAAAGAAATCTTGTGATGGGTTCATAAAATTTTTGAAAGCTAAAATTTAAGCTAATTTATGAAATTTAGGATGATGTCAATTTTTACGGAGCGAAAATTGAAGAAATGATTCGAGCGCAAGGAAAAAGACTGATTATCAATCTAAACGACTTGAGGGAACGGCTATCACATCGTTTGCAGGAGTAGGTTTTGTTTTCTTATTTTTGAAAAGTTTAGGTGATTTTGTTAGTTTGACGTTTGATTTAGTCGTTTAACTATATCAAAGCATTCCGTTATTTGAATTATATCTTTATAGATTGGTTGTAAACTTCGCTTTTGAAATTCAGTGTTTGGAAGAGGCTGTTCGCACAGTTGTTAACAGAACGGATGCTGAATTTGCATCAGCTAATGAAGTTCATGTTGGTTTTGAAGGTAGCTTTGGTGATAGGCACGTAAACCCAAGGTCTTTGAAGTCGGACTTTTTAGGAAATTTGGTATGCTGCGAAGGAATTGTGACTAGGTGTAGGTATTTTTGAATTATTGTTTTGTTATTTTATATTTATTTGATATTTGTGTTTTAGGTTCTTCTGTGAAACCAAAAATTGTAAAGTCTGTTCATTACTGTCCTGCCACTAACAAATCTTTAACGAAAACTTATACTGATCTTACTAATTACAACAGTTTTCCATCAAGTAATGTTTATCCAAAGGAGGATGAAAACAAGAATCCGCTTGAAACAGAATTTGGATTGTCTATGTTTAAGGATCATCAAATTTTTGCTATTCAGGTAAGACTGAAATTGGATTTATGGTTGGAGCTGGGAAACCTCTATTTCCCTCCCCCCCCCAATAAAAAAATCTGTAGCAACATCTATGGTTGGAGCGCTTTTTCTCTTTTTTTCTTATTTTTGACTTTTAGGAATTACCAGAGACCGCACCACCTGGACAATTGCCGCGTTCAGTAGATGTGATTGCTGATGGAGACTTGGCTGATTCATGCAAACCCGGAGACCGTATTCGTGTAGTTGGCCTTTTCCGTGTGCTTCCGAATAAACAACAAGGAGCTTCTAGTGGAAACTTTAGAACAATTCTGATTGCCAATAATGTTATATTGCTGAGCAAAGAATCATCTCCGAAGTTCGATCAACAAGACGTCAAAAACATCTCTAGGTTATCTAAACGCAAGGATATTGTCGATTTATTGGCTAGATCTTTGGCTCCTTCAATTTATGGACACGAGGAAGTTAAAAAGGCGGTTTTGTGCTTGTTATTGGGTGGATGTGAAAAGATTCTTGAAAACGGTTCAAGGTTGAGGGGTGATGTTAACGTTCTTTTGATTGGAGATCCGTCAGTGGCAAAGTCTCAAATTCTCAGATATGTTTTACACACTGCACCCAGAGCTATTGCTACAACTGGAAGGGGAAGTTCGGGTGTTGGATTGACTGCGGCGGTCACAACTGATTCTGATACTGGAGATAGACGACTGGAAGCTGGTGCTATGGTTTTAGCTGATCGTGGTGTCGTCTGTATCGATGAATTTGATAAGGCAAGTTTATTTTTTAAGGTGAACAGATGTAATATTGTTATAAATGGGTGTTTGTTTTCTTATTCATTTTGTTGTTTTTTTATAAATAACTGCAGAAAAATTAAGATTTTTAAATGACAATATTTATATTTTTAGATGACAGACATTGACAGGACAGCTATTCATGAAGTGATGGAACAGGGACGTGTTTCAATATCTAAAGCTGGCATTCACGCTAAGCTAAACGCGCGTTGCTCGGTATTAGCTGCCGCTAATCCTGTATACGGACGTTACGACTTATTCAAGTCACCGATGGCAAATATTGGCATGCAAGACTCTCTGTTGTCTCGTTTTGATCTTATCTTTGTTATGTTGGACGAGCACGATATTGATAGAGACACTCGGGTAGCTTCAAATGTGCTAAAGTTGCACAGATACAGATCTCCTGGAGAACCAGATGGAGCAGTTTTATCCATTCAAGCTGCTGTCGAATCATTGACCACATTTGAAGCGGAAGTTGAGGAAAGCACAGTGGATATTTATGAAAAGAATAGAGGATGGACTGCTGTTAATGATATGTACGTTTGGATGCTTATAAAAGTATTACTTATTAATAATTAATTTTAAGACTTAATATTCTTATATTTTAATATTGTTAATCATGTTCGTATATTATCTTTCAGAGATAAGATTTTAACTACTGGATTTTTGCGTAAGTATGTTCACATGGCGAAGAGTATCAAACCACAATTGACGGAGCAAGCCTCAGCTTATATTACTGAATGCTACACCGAGCTAAGGTCGTACGAAAATGATGGCGAAGACCGCACAATGCCGGTTACAGCACGACAATTGGAAACTTTAATTCGTCTGTCAATTGCTATGACTAAAGCCAGGTTGGGTACTAAAGTTGAGAAGTCTGACGCTGAAAAAGCTTTTAATTTGTTGCACTTTGCTATGTTTAAAAAGAAGCCGAAGGAGAGAACTGACAAGAAGAAAAGGGAAGCCGATCAATCTGATGGTGAGGAAATGGAAGTTGTTCAGGAACAGCGTTCTACAAGACGGAGACGAGCTGCCGAAGACGCGGGTGATCGACAAGATGAGGAAGAACAAAACCAAGAAGCACCTGCTTCAAAAAGAGCAAGAAATGATGATGGGGTTGGTGTGGATCGGTAAGACTTTATTTATCTTACTTTGGGCAAATAAAAGATTAAAAACTTTTTGAAGTAACGTAGTGATTATCATAAGATTTTTTGAATTTCGTTTTAGGTTTGTTCGCTTCAAACAATGTCTTCGCGTCGCTTTTGACGAAACCGAGAACCCTGAAGGCATGCACCCAATGACTACTATTGTTGAGCTAATTCAGAAGCAAATGGGTCAATTCCCCTTTACTGAATCCGAACTCAAGGCTTCGTTTGAACTTTTGGAAGCTGAAAACGTTTGTATGATCTCAGACGATCAAGTTGTGCTTGTATAACTACACTTTTACACATTTTGTATCGTTTTTATGAAAATATTATAAATGAAATAAAAATTTTTTTAAAGTTAAATATAGTCATGAGATGCTGTTCATGGGCAAAGTAGAGAATTGGGTTCGAACAATTTTGTTTGTTTAGCATAGATAATCGTCCAAGTCGACATTTCTGAAATTTAAGTAATTATATTAAAAATTAAAAAAAGAAAATTTATATTGTTATTTAAATTTTTCTGCGTAACAATAAAACATACGTATGGGTTGTAAGGACAAAGATTTCGTCTTTTTTGAGGTTGTTCAAATTTTCGTCAACAATTTTTTTTCAAAATTTCTGTTAGTTTTGCGTATATTTTTTGGTTTGGTAACCTAAAATTATTATTTGTAGTGGAATGTGGTTAATAGATTTTACAAAATTACAGAAAAAAAATAAAAATTATATCTAACAATGAACCATTTAAACTTACAATGAATTGTAACTACTTATTGCTTCGAAAGCTTCTGCAATACCATTAATATTGTAACTGACGTTTGATCTTGACGGAAACCATGAGGGATTTGATTGAAATGCGGATTTTTTATTCCAAATGCCCTGAAAAAATTTATAATAGACTTTGTCCGCTAAATAAAATGTTTTTGGGAAATCTGATAGTAATTAAATGGACTAAAACTAACGTTTGTTGTTTTTGGTTTCATCCATGGCAAATATCCAAAACATAGACATAAGAAAATGTACATAGCTGAAATCATATCATCGTTCGGAAGTTGTTCTATGCCAGACATAGCTTCTAGGGAGCTGAAACTATTATTGTATTATTTTACTGTTTATCAAAAACTATTTCATAATAAATATGTTATACTTACCTGAAGAGATATGACCCAATAAACGGACCCCTTCGTCGTACTTTGTTGTTACGATACTTTCGAGCATACCACAAACTATGACACTGAACCGCATCGCTCAAAATTTTCCCGTTAAAATCTTTTTTCAAACCAAACGTAGTTGTGTCCACACAGCGATGCACGTATCCAAAGTGATGTAAAACGCGTACAGTATGTAGTATTCCTACGGTGATGTGACGAGCCGTGTTAATGTCAACCGAGTTCGTTTTGCTCAGAGTTAGAAGTTCTTGTAAAGTCAAGCCTCGAGGTTCGTAGATGAAAAAAGGGCGGGGATTGGGACTAAAAAAATTTTTGCGGCCATGAAAAAAAAACTTAAAAATATAATGTAGACTTACCGAGGCTGTAACGACAAAATAATAGTACCTTCTGGATCCATAGCTGACTTCTTTGTCAAATACAGCAGACGTTTGAAGGCGCCAACGTGCTGAACTTTCAAAAAATGTCCTTTTAGTTTATTACTCTGTAGCTCACTCCAAACCATTCTTCCTAAGTTGACTTCGCGTTGCATTTGCATGTGGTCTTTTACATTGTCTGTAATGCACAGTCGCATCATATGTTGACTTTCGGTCTTGGGCAGCACCGAACTTGTGAATTGATTGTTTGTTTTTTCAAACCGAAGTTGTCTCATTAACTGCGCTTTCTTGTCCGGAGGCAGGTTTGACTTTTTCGTGCTGTCGGCTTCTTTGTATATGACATAGTCGACGTACGATGCTGTAGGCGCCTGCATTATCATATGGTTGATGTTGAAGAAGCCGGAAAGAGCGTCGATTCGAAATCTGCCATACAAATTTGAGCTTTTTATTCGATTCTATAAAAGTAGTTTTTATTTTGAAATTGCAAAATATAACTATAGTTAAAAGACTTTTAATAATAAAATCTAAGAAAAATTTTTGGTATTGTTGAAGTTTGACACTTACTTGCGGCTGATAGTAAGCTTTGACAAAATTTGATCGTTTTGGCGCAACAAACGGTCGTTCAAGCCGTGTGATGATGAATCTCTCGAGCGTTTTGTACTTTCTGTTTGTCACAGCTTCAATTTTTGGTTTTAGCAAATCATTAGTTGTATCGTTCGTAGTTGCTTGAACGGTAGTATTGGCTGCGAACGTATTTGCTCTATTATCGACCATACTGAATAAATTGAAAAGTCATAATGAAAAGTTGTAAATTTTGGATTTTTTTTTATTTTAAGAATTAGTTAAAATACCTTTTATGAACAAAACGCTTTGAAATAGAAATTCTAGTACGTTTTGATTTTTCCTGGTTTTAATAAATAACTAATTGAGGGGGAGGGGGTCCATATTTTTCCACATTCCATAAGGTTCTACCCCCCCCCCAATAGACATTAAACATTTTATTATTATAATTTATCTAGGGGATCTTAAATGATTTTAAAAGTTAGATGTTTATTTAATAATTAAAATAGTACAAGCATTGCAGTTCAAACAAAAAGAATAACTATAAAATGAGATCATTGACATTTTTAGAGTACCAGGGTTACATCAAAATTTAAAGTTTAGAAAGAATTATATTGTTCTTAAACATTAGCAAGATTTTCATTATTATTTTATGATAATTGGCGTAGTTTGACCATAAAAACATTAAAGTTGGTTGTTAATTTACATTATTATCTTTTAAACTAAGCATCTAACAAAAATATATTTTACAACACTGTTTTTGATAACTTAACTATGTACATGTATCAAAAAAGACCGAGGTTAAGCGAACGCGAAATAGTGATGTTGCATTTCGTACAATTTGCTGATAGGTGATGATGAGTATTGTTTGTTAGTGTAATTGGATTGAACCGTTTGCATAGTGCTTGGCGTATCAGACGAATCGTAGTGTGTAATTGATCTGATACTGAGCTGGTCTGAGAACGTTTCGGAATCCGAATCTAAAGTGTATGAAGAAACAATAACATTCTATGAGTTTAAAGTAAATTATTTAACAAAAAACGGTAAATACATAGCTAAAAGGCCTACCGTAGTCTTCCTCCGACTTGATAGATCCCATGCTCTTCAACTCCTCTTCACCCGCTATACTTTTTGCTTCTGAATCGGTTGACGTGACAGCACTTCCCACAGAATTGGCACCTTTCTGACCATCTTTCTTGCGCTGGTCCTTTTTCATCTTGGCTCGTTGATTTTGAAACCATACTTGGACAACACGTACGCTTAGGCCTGTTTCTTTTGCTAACTGTTCGCGAACCTAAAAGAAAAATGAAAAAATATAGTTTTATCCACGACTAATAAAATTTTAGTCAGTACTTATACAGAGTACAGAAATCAAACCTTTAAAAGTTTTTTGATAGTTTAAAATTACCTTTCTCGTAGGCTTCGGCCCTTTTTCAAATGCGTACTTAAACGCTTTCCTTTGAACCGCATTCAGAATAGTCCTAGGTCGTTTTGGTTGTTTTTTGTCGCGACTTGATCCTGTACATATAAACCCAGGTTCCATTGATATTGAAGGCATAAAAGATGAACCTAAATGGAACAAAACATTAAGCAAAAGAACCACAAATTATTGGTAATTGCACTTTTAAAATAAGAAAAATTTCGTTAAAGAATAAAAATTATAATAACTAGTAAAAAAAACCTTGTAAACTAAGAAAACGTTTTAAATTATATAATACAAAAGAACTGCTACGTTTTTAATGTAATATTGTAGTGATGTTAACATTTTTACTTTTATCAAGACTCACCACAAAGAGTAGTAGGTCGAATAATAGTATTGTAATCACCAGAACATATTATTTGGCCATCTACATAATGATATTGATCACCTTTCTTTAGTAACTGCCCGCAGCAATAACACTGAAAGCAATTCATGTGGAATGCCAGGTTAAGAGTCCTATATACCATATCATCCGACTTTAACTCTGTTTGACATCGGGCGCATTTTGGTGCAAACAGCCTGAAATATGTTTTAAAAACATATAATCAATTATATTCTTATATTACTATTTATACCTTAAAATTTAAAATTTTTCAATTGTCAATTTTTGTTGTGGGCATATACGGTATGTCCTAAGGGCAGATTGTGCAAACAATTCAAATTCTCATAAAGACCGAGTTTATGGCCGGCACATGGCTGCAATGTCAACACAGCTACGGTGCCTACCATAAACATGTTTGATAAACAAAGAAGCCTTATATCCACCATATTAGTATGTGTAATATTTTCACCTATAATTACTCTATGTAATACAAAGTGTTCTTTATGTAAATGTCTGTATTTTTAATAATGATTGCTGCGCCATGAACTTTTAGCAAAAACACTGAATTCTCATAATGAGTTATTACAATAAAAGTAATAATACAATAATTTCTTGTAATGATTTTTTCTGACAGTAATGTAATAACTTTTACAGTACTGTCAAATTACAAAATTAATTAAAAATAAGAAAAAGTAATGTTTAAAAAAATCTGATATTACAGGGTCAACAGACGCCACCACAAATACAACCAGTCAAATTAATATTGTAAAATTTTGATTCCGTGCTTTGCTTATTCTATGAACATCCTATATGTTGGGTATACCCTCATTTTATTTAGGAAGCAAGCATTTCGCGCTCTTGAAATGTGTCATCCGCAAATTTCACTCAAGACATCCGGTCTTGATTGATCCTGTCGAGACCTCAATATTACCCCACTTGACAATTAAAAAAGGATAATATTGAACAATGATGCTTTATTGCACATTTTGCTTAAGTATACATGTTTTTTAATCCAAAAGTTCCTAACAATTTCTTATAATGTTTTAACTTTAAAACAATGATATTTTTAATGGTTACTACAACTAAGCAACAAAAAAACTAATCAAATTAAACACGTTTTATTAGGTCGCTAACTTAAAGACATATAATGGCCTACTGCTTTCGTTTTATCTTTTGTGATCTTAATCTTAAAAGACAATTAATTAAAGTGTTCTGGATGAACGCACGCAATGTTCGCGCATTATTTTTCAGATTATGAATAGCCATTGACCTTGAACATGGCTAGTGCTAGTTGTTCCTTTTATTAACACGTTATCAAAATGTTCAGAGAATGAAGAATTTGCATATCATTCATATTTTTTATGTTAAAAATTTAACTTACATGTTGTAGTCGTCTTTGCAGTACATTTTATCACCTTTAAAATAACATGAGTTTGCGTCCGTCATCTGCTGGCCGCACGCACAGCAACGCAAACAAAATTCGTGGTAATAGTGATCTACCACAGAAAGCAAGTACCTAAAAACTTCAATGTTAGTACCTCCATATAATAAATTATAGTGCAAAATAAAATTAAAAATGCGTACCATTAAAACATTCTTTATTTCCGGAAAAAGTTTTACGGTAATTGGCTAAACGAAAACAGTGTGAATGTTTAAGCGGCTTACCACTCACGTAAATAATTATGTACTGTAGCAAGTCTTATCAATAAACATATAGACATTTAGTTAGTAAAACTGCGTCAAACCAGTATAGTAAAATATTGCAAACGTATTTTGTAGACATTTTCGAAAATTCATTACAGGACTTTGTTTTGACTTTCCTTAATCAAATATAAATATCATAAATTTGAAACAGTAAGACATAAAATTGAATAACAGTTATTCTCTCAAAATTCGCTTAGCCCTTGCTTACCGGTCGTTGATTTCAAATCCGCATCCACTGCAATTCCTGAATGGCATTCGTTCTGCAAGAAAAACGTGTTAAGGCCAAAAAAGAGGCAAAAAAGGTTCACTTGGCTTATCACCATGCTCATTATCTATCTTATTTTCCTTCTGTTTCGGTCCCGTCTACAGCGGCCAAACCCCTTTTTCCGCCAAAATTTTATCACTGCAAGAAACATTCAAAAATACAAAAAACTTTTGGTAAATTACAAAATAGGTATTTGTACGTGAAACCAAAATTAAAAAATATAGTATAGCATTTGGAATTTCATGAACTGAACCAAAAAATTTGAAGAAAAGTCTAAAGATATGATTTTAGTGTGGTGGATAGAATATTAAAAAAAAATTGAAGACAAAACTATATACTATTTTGAAATCTACAACCCAAACCAAGCTCACAACTTTCGTAAACTATTTAGTAAATTTCTTTAAAATTAACTACTACTCATTACTGAAAAATTGAAGAAATTAAAAAGCGATGAACTAAGAACAAAGGCCGCATTAAACGCTTTACTATGCCTAAACATAATATAAAATAAAAATTTTAAAAAAATTAAATAAATTACTTTACGTCGCCTACGCAATCTAGCACGACTACTAGGTTCACAAATAAAAAAATTTAATACAAATTGTTTTCCACAGGGTTACACTGAACTCGGCCAAATGCCAAGTACCTACTCACGCAACATTATTCAACGTAATTTAACAAATTTTAGACGATATTAAGATGTTATTATTAAGATAGGTTTCTTAACAAAAAAAATCAGGTTAGCAACAACCTGAAAGTATAAAACAATTTTATTTATGCATACAAAATGCTCCAAATTTAAAGCTTAAAAAATTTAAATTCATTAGTGATAGAGGCAATTGTAATGCAAAATAAACTAAAAGAGCTTTAATGAGCTTATACGTATATAAAACACGTTTCAGTTTTCGCAAAAGTGTTACCGTATAATAAATTTTTTGTACTATTATTCAAAAGTAGTTTACCTTTTTTTTATTGTAAAAAACATAAAAATAATTTTTTTAAACTATTGGTTTCATATTGTGATCTTCTAAACTTTTTAAACATAATAATGTAAAATTAGCATTAAAAAGTTGTAATTGCTTCATCAAAACGCAAAAACATAAGCAGATGAGTTTGGGAATGTGATTTTATAATTGAATTTTTCGCAATTTGAACTTGTAAAAAACAAAAAAATTTTGAGTTTCATTTAGTACGTACAAAAGCAGTATTAAATTCTGCTCTAAAATAGTGAATTTTGTGCTGTAATTTTTTATTGAATTAAAAAAAAGAAGAATAAAAAGTTTATAATTTTAAGTTTTAGATAAACATTGGCTGATATTGTAATCATCAATGAAGTATTACTCAATGTAAAACTTACCTGTACAATCCATGTTGACACTGCTAAACTCAACTTTGTGTTGAAAATCAAAATTGAATTCCTGACCCAAACCAAACAAGTCTTGCCGTTCCATTTTTTAAACTGCATCATCTTCAAACTGCCTTATCCGTTTCCTACTGTAAAGAAGGCGGAGACTGCCGCAAGACAGAACCGAGGCCAATTGTCACCGCCTCAAGTGCGCAGATGCATCGAATGCAATGAGAGGTACGTAAAATGCAATAATACCGATGAAAGATTACCGTAGATTATCGACCAGTTCGCGCGGATTATACGCGCGTCTTCAAAGGCAACGTAATTACAGGTACAACGCGTACTATACGGATAAAGTAACATTTGTTTATGGAGATTACAAGGTCAAAATTAAAGCTACGCAAAAAACAAAATCAAAGTTAAATGTTGAAAAATGTAAAAAAGACCTTTACATGAAAAAAAAATTTAAGTATTTACATTTATTTGTAAACAAAGTTTTTAAAAATATTGAAAGATACTTTTTAATTGATTTTTTATTAAAACCAAGTAAATTAAAAACTTCAAAAATAAAAAAATACAAAAAACACAAAATGTTTATTCCGACTTGTTTTTGTCTTCTTTGATGGACTCAATGTGCTTGATAGTATCGTCGTCATGTCGAATTTTGATGGTCTTCGATGCCTGAGTTTTTTCAGAATTTGGCCCGTCGGGCTCGGGCTCCTTGTCATTTTCAGATTTATCATCTTTATCCGACGATTTCTTCGTCTTCTTAGACTTCTTGGACTTTTTCATACTTTTGTTCGACTTGGCCTTCTTAGAATTCTTCTCGCTCTTCTTTGCGTCCGATTCAGGTGGTTGCGTTTTTTCAACTTTTTTCTCTGTTCCACCTATAAAATTTTAAGCATAATAATTAAGTAAAATATCTTAAAGTTTGGTAATGTTTTTAAGACTTAAGTTCTTAATTTTTAAAAAATATATGTGACCTAGCACAAGAAATACAACCTTTAATAATTGCTATTTTAAATTAATAAATTTACGTACCAGCATTTTCTTCCACCTTTTCTTTTTCCTCTTCTTTCTTTGACTTTTGAACTTCTTCGGCTTTCTTTTCTTCTGACTAAATTTTTTTCAATGTGAACATAATAATTGAAACCTTATGTATTTAAAAATAACTGTACTTTAATATTTAAACCAACAAAACTTTCATATTTAAAAAAAAAACATAATCAAATAATCATGAACATATATAACAAAATGAATAGAAAAAACGAAAAAAGCAAAATTAATTCTTACAGGCTCTGGCTTATCATTTTGCTTAGCTTCAGCGGGTGCTGGAGCTGCGTTCGCAGCGACTGACTGTTTATTGTTTGCACCAACCGGTTTCTTGACACTTTTCGGTGGCGGTGGCTTCTTCTTGGCACATACTAGTAGCATTGCAAACAACGATGCTGTCGCTAGGCCGATAAATAGCTCCAAAGCCATTTTCTCGACAAATCGAGCCGACCGACTACTATATAGACCACTAGAATAAATGAAATTTTACATTTGTCTTGGTTATCTCAAAGTTCATAATCCATTTGAAATAGTTTTGTTGTCACTGCTTTTAAATATACCCCAATTTTTCAATATTTTGATAAAATAATTGCCGTTGTTCATAAAAACTTTTTAAGCAAAGTTATAACGATACACCTGTTTTTATTGTAAATTTATTATATGATCAGGTATGTTGTATCTAGCACTTGAAACGATAATATAACATTCATGACAAAAGCGTTGTCAAGGCAGCCAAAACTAATTCTTCGAACCATATCTTAAGAAAATGCTACACAGTTCCTAATAATACATACGTTCACATAAGGAATGAAAATTAGTAGCTAGTTTTCGCATTTTAGTGTAAGTTACTATAATATTGTCATTAAACTTAATTTATTTAATTCTTTATTTTAATTTTTAGGTTTTTATTATAAAGACATTTAAAAACTAATACTGGTAATAAAAACCTTTGAATCTCCGTATTTCCAGATTTTTACATTTAAAAATACAAAGTGCAATATGGATCGACTCAAGTTTCCTACGGATGAAAAAGTACTCGAAACCATACTGATCAGTTCTCATAGTATTTTTGGACTCATATCCGTTGCTGTAAATGCATATGCGTTGTATAAAGCCTTGTTAGCTTCAATTCACATCCTTGGTGCATACAAGTTGATACTGATCAATCAAGCAATCGTCAACCTTGTGTTAGCAGCGTGTGTATTGTTTTTGCAACTTCGGTAAGGTTCTTCATGTAAACCAATATTAGAAGCTTTAATTCAGTCACATTACGCTTTGAGGTATCTTCCTTCACAGAGGAAAAGTAAAACTTTTTGTTATGCATGGCATTGTAAATCTTGGTTGTAAAACTTCTTTCAGGATATTCATCACGCCTTTTGGAAGTGTGTACGCTGTGCTTGGCCTAGCTAGTTTTACTAACCACTTAATTGCATTTCTAGCCTATTTAATGTTTTCGTCGTTGTTTTTGGACTACTATTTTTTGCTTGTAATTGCCATGTTCTACAACTGTCACTGGATTCACAAAGGTCGCTATACTACCAAGCATATAGTGTCTTTCTTGTTGTTGGCTGGTATCTTAAGTTCTGTTGATTTTGTAAGTTGAAAGTGGAATAGATGTATTATTATTTATTATTGTATTAGCGGTTTACAGATGCATTAAGCCTGGAAAAAATAAGTTTTTAAAAAACCTAAAAAAGAAAAATTTCTATTCTAAAATTTTAATTGTTTTTTCAGATTTTGTCAGCATTTTTATTCTATGAAAACGAATCGGAGTCTCGAGAGTTGTTTTGGGAGAAAAGCCATGAAACCGTTCTCAATCGGCATATGGTATTCGCTGTACGAGTACATGAAGACATATTTGATATTGTTGTAAATTATACAGATGCTGTTGCTATGGTCGTATGCATTGCTTTCCTGATTTTCCTACGTTATCGTATACGGGTTTACGTTAGGAGAACAGACCAACGATTAACTTATATTCAGAAGCACCTGGTAAACGTAAGTTTGTATGACAGTATAAAATACACTTTTTTGAAACATACTATCATAGTCATGTTATAACTTAAGATATTTATTTTCTAGTAAAAAATCAAATAAATAATTTAAAAGTTAAAAAATATCGTTTTTAGCTAATTGTCATCCAAGCAGTAATCATAATTGTGTTTATTTTATTGCCAAGTGTTTTTTACTTTTTATTCTACGAACAACTCCGTAAAGCCAGTTGTGATTGCCTTATGTCCATTACTACGGCCATATCTCTGTTCATCCTCCCGTTGTTTACAATACTTATGTTGAAGACTGTGCGACATGTCCAAAGACTTCATGATGAAGACAGCAACAGTGTGAGTGTTGTTCCATCAACAAATGAACCAGAAAGGCCTTCCACATCTGCTTGAGATTATTCCAAATTAATTGAAACTTTTATGTAGATTAGTTCAGTTGTCATTTACTGCCTAATTAAAAGACTTAATAAATCAATAAACGATAACTGCACAGAAAATTTTTAACCTGTTTTGTAAGAAAATTACATTATATAGTTTATTTTTTCGTAAAGGTAAAAACAAAAGCATTTGCCAAACTAACTAACTCAACGAAGAAACACATTGCCAAGTTGTTCGAATTATCATCGCAAAACAAAGGTTTAAAAACCTTTTTTGGTGTCTCTTATCAATTTTATCAATAAAAAGTTCGCAAATTCATTAGAAAAACATAATTTTTCATTTTCCGTAACAATCTAATTATTTTGCGAATTAACTAAAGTCTTGATCAATTTGTTTGATTCATTAATATTGTTTGCAGCATTAAAAAGGTAGCATATTTATTTAAAACCTTTAAATGTCAACTTTGCTTCAGTTCCTCAAAGGATCCACAAAAAATATTTAAAAGTAAGACTGTGCAATGGAATCTGATGAATACACACCTTTGTTGTATACCTTGTGAGTATTTTTTTATTTTTAAACTTTTATTGTAATTTGATGTGTTTATAACTTGAAAACTAGCTCAATATATAATTAATTTTAATTAAAAAACTTAAATATGTATTATCGTAAGGTTTAAAAAAACTTTGACTTTAAAAAATAAATAAGTTGGTTTTTATATTAATAGGCAATTTTCTATCTTGATGGTTAGAATAGCTCGGTTACTATGCCAACCTTAATAAAGCGGCTTTTACTATCATTCAATCTCTAAACATGACTTTTTAAATATAAAACTAAAATTCCCACCAAATCCATTTGTAAATACTATCCATCATCAGCAATATGTCAAATAAGTATTATTTATTTGTAGTCTAGTTGTAAATCCTATTCAATATTTTTAACTTCGATTTTTTTATTCGTATACATCCATTTCGAAAGTCAAGTATAATCCAAATAAACTAAAACACAATTTCTAAAGTTTTTTTTATCTATGTCAACTTATAGGTAGGCAAAATATAAATTTATACTAATACTTAACAATTAAAAACTATGAGTATTACTTATTTTTGAGTTTTTAGTTCCCTCCCAACTCTAACTGACATCGCTCAAAACCCGGAGGCACTGTCAACAGATCGGGAACCAAAAACCGTCCGCGACAATGACCTGCCGTGTACATCACGCTCAGTGCATGGTGCTGTCGCTGGTGGCGATCGAACGAAACGTCGTGGAGCATCAAAAAGAAGGTCTCGAGCACGACGAGTGGGCAGCGATAATGATGTCAGAAGATTAAGGTAAGAACTTAAGTTAGTTTTATATACTTAGAAAAGTATAGTACGTATCAAAACATACGTTGACAAAACCTAATCAAATAGAAAGGCGAATCTATTATATAATATATAAATATACCACTTAACCCTAATGCTGTTTTTACCCATTGGACTAGTTCAAAGAGTTCTTTAAACTTAATGACGGACTTTTTGTGCATCAATGTTTTGCCACAGAAATCTTGGCGCGGGTTCCTTTAGCGTGACCTTTCCGTGCCAATACGTTCCGGCTGATACAAAAATTTCGTAAATACATAGGAATTCCGGTCGTTAAATTTAGCCTATAATTCATGCAAATACATGCATTACGTTCTCTACATTAACATATAATTTTAGTTGTCGTATCCCGACCTTAAATAAAGCTCGTGGTTATCTGAAATCTTTTATTATAAAGCTCTATCAACAAACACATATTTAGTTTTTAAAACACAAAGACACACTCACATTCTTCTCCTCTGCTGCAATTATTTAGACATTTTACAGTAGCACTGTTTCCTGGCAATGAAAAGTTGTCAACACAAGATTTACACATTATTGGCCTAAAAAACCTATGGTCATTTCCGGCCCAAATTTGTTCAAGCGCAAAAAGAACGTCCGAATAGCCGAGTTGGCCTGAACGAAAAGCTTTTCTCCAGCTTTTCTCTTATGCCTCGTTATGAGGACAAACGCCGCTGGCTTTTATTCCTCGTATTCTCCTTCTTTTCCAAGTGCAGCTTCTTTAATCATTAATTTATATATTTTTGATCGATTTATTGAAAATTTTATTTAAAAAAATTTAGATGTTTAAAAAATTCTTTATTTAAACAAAAAAATTCTTCAACCTTACGAGAGTTACTATTAGAAGATTTACAAGAAAAACAAAAAATTAGATTTTTTTAATTTTTGGTTTGTCGAAAAAATAAATCAAGATGACGAAATTTGTATACAGTCGTCGATTTTTAAAAAAGTCTTCCGAAATTTTGGGTTTTTTCGAAGTCTGGAAGTTTCATAATTATCTTTTTTTAATTTTATCTAGAATATTTAATGTATTATTTATGTGTTCAATATGTTTATACTATTTTTTACTGTTTTATCCTCCATAGAATAATTTTTTTTTACTTTTGCTCTGGGAGAATAATATTATTATAGAAACCTAAAACCGCCCCAAATCAGATATAATGTTGTAATTGTACTTACGGAAGTTAGGGAACATATGGGTATATTTTAGGTAAATATATATATTTTTTACGGATTTTAGGTAACAATTTTTTGTGATGTTTATTTTGAATTTTTTGAAAGTTTTAGTTTACATTGCCCTTTTTTACATTAAAAAATTTTGAGTTATATTTCAAACAACAGTTTTATTAGATTTTGTTGGCTCTTCACCCTCGTAGCAACCGTTAAACTAAAGAGTTAAAAAAGCTTGTAAACAAAGTCTGACCAGGTGTTTTGAAGAGATTAAAATGATCCTGAGCTAGTTCTTGAATGAGTTTTTTTTGATTATCAGGTTTTGTTTGTCGTATTATCATTTTTAATAGCGTTATTTTGTGTTATACCACTAGTACTTTTTTTTTACTTTTATTTATTCGTTTTTGCATTCTATTAAATTTTTTTTGCTATATTGAGTATAATTTTGTTCATGTACACAAGCTTCTTTTTTTATTTTTCTACCGACTATAACTTTTTCACTTACAGTCGACAGACATTAATACGTCCCCAGGCATTAATGACAAAAATATGTCTCAACCGACGACTCCGCACGTCGCTGCATCAGATTTCGACGGAAATGCGGAGTCGGCAGAAAAACCGCAAACCAGTAGCACAAACAATAACAGAGTAAAACCAGCCGAACATCGGTACTGTGTTTAAATTATTGTAGAAAATTAGTAGAATTGATTACGTAATGGTTAATATTAGTCATTTAATGGAAGTTAAACTTAAAAAAATCTTGATTTTAAAAATTCGCTATTTTATTATTTGATTATACTTTTAGGCCTTTCATTGCCTCACCATTCATGCCGATCACCACAAAACCGAAAAACGAGCCCTCAGATTTTTTAAAACGTCAAAAAGAGCCTCGAAGCCGTTCGCCTACAAAATATGGGACATTATTGCCTAAAGAAGAAAAGCGAAAGGAATTACAAACAAAACAAGAGTCTGAAAACCTGGTAAAAACAGAACCTTTAGACGAGGCCGTTGCTCCACTTACCGGTCGGAAAAGAGCCGATTCCGAATCATCAGATTCCTCGGAATCCGAAACCTCGGAATCAACGGATTCTTCCGAGTCTTACACCAAGTTTTCGGATTTAACAAGGAAGCAATGGGCTACAATGGGCATGTTAGCGGTAGCTAATTTATGCTCAACTGTAGCATTTAGTTGCATCGCTCCGTTTTATCCAACAGAAGCTAAACAAAAGGGAATGAGCAGCACTAAAATTGGGATAATATTTGGTGTATTTGAGTTGGTGATGTTTGTTACAGCTCCACTTTTGGGGAAATATGTAAGTTTTTACGTTTGTTTTTATTATTTAGGGTTTTAATGGTAAATCATAGTTATGTTTAAATTTTTTTTGTATGTTATGTTTAACTTTATGCTTTACTAAGCTAGTAAAGTTTTTTCAAATATTTAAATATATTGCTTTTTTTAATACAACAGGTTTATATTATAAAATATGGTGGAACTCCTGTGTAAAGAATCGCGCAAGGATTTTAATTTTGTTTGTTATAAAGGAGATTCTATTTATATATAGGTTTTATTCATTGTATAAATTAAGTTTAGATGACAGCTATTGGATCGAAGCGTATGTTTACGGCCGGACTGTTTTTAACTGGCGTTACGGCAATATTGTTTGGATTTCTGAACTTTTTACCGAGCGGTGGCTTATTCTTCTGGACTTCTTTAGTAATACGATGTCTGGAGGCATTGGGAGATGCATGTTTTGTGACGTCATCGTTTGCAATCAGTGCAAAGTGTTTTCCTGGACGGATTGCCACGGTTGTTGTAAGATTTTTTAAATATGATTTTTAAACAAATTTTTATATTTTTAGTTATGTGTTTTTATATGTAGCTTTTATATTTGATGTATTACTAGTTTATATTTCAGGGTTTAATAGAAACATTTGCCGGACTTGGCTACACCGCTGGACCAGTGATTGGCGCAGTTTTATATCAATATGGCGGCTTCCAAATGCCGTTTCTTGTGCTGGGTTCATTGTTAATATTAGCGACAGTCGTGTCTATCTTTTTGGTGGAAGATGTTGAAGACGAAGAAGCCGAGGACACAAAAGGAATGTTGGGCATGTTAAGAATGCCTGTAATTTGGTTAATGGTCTTTGCTGTTGTCATCTGTGCTATATCACTCAGTTTCTTTGATCCAACCCTATCGAATCATTTGGAATCGGTAAAAGCGTTTTTATTTTAGAAGGCTATCAAGTTTTGTGACCATTTTTTATGACTAGAAATAATGGTAGTGTTAATCTTTGACATTTCAGTTTAAATTGAGCACGACTATGGTAGGTCTGATGTTTTTGTTATGCGGAGGGATATACACGTTAACTGCACCATTATGGGGACTTATAATCGATCAATGGAATTGCTGTTATTTGCTGATGTTTTTTGGCTCGTGCGCTACTGTTATTTCGATGTTGTTCGTGGGACCGTCGCCAATTTTTGGCATGGAAAAGAATCTGGTAGTGATTGGGCTGAGTTTGTCGTTATTTGGCGTTGCTGCTGGAGCTTTGTACATACCGACCTTTCAGAATTGTCTTAATGCTGTCAAGTAGGTTAATATATTTTTTATTTACGCTACTTTTTTTGTCAATTGCTTGTTAAAATTCAAACTTTTAATATTTCTTCATTATTATAAAATTGTTTTAAAAATTCAGGAAGCATGGATACGAGGATAATTTTCAAACATACGGATGTGTTTCAGGAGTATTTCAAGCAGCGTTTGCTTTTGGGTAAGTTTTTATTAATATAAAAGAAAGGGAGCGACTTTTTGAAATACGGGAACGATAAATAAGGAAACGACATAAGGGGAAATTCAATAAAAAGTAAAAAAAATATTTTTTATTTTATCAGAAGCCCAGCTCATTTAAGCCCTACGCAAGCCTACCCCTGTCCTTTTTAGCTCCGCCCAAGCTTACGCCAGCCTATTTATGCTCTACCCCAGCGTATTTCAGCCCGTTTAGGCCTTACTCATGCCTACACAAGCAGGCTTTGCCCATTTAGGTTATACCCAAGCATACTGTTTTTTACCCTATATAACCATACCCTATCCTACTATACTATATCCTATTATACTATACTATATCCATATTAGACTACATTATACCATTTACCTTGCCTTACTTACCTAGGGTAAGTTAGGCTTAAATGGGCTAGAGTAAGCTTGGGCGGGGCTAAAAGGGGTAGGAGTAGGCTTTGGTAGTGTAAAAACTATTTTTTTAAACTTTTTTTAAATTTTTCTTTAGGCTGTCAGTTTTTTTAAATGTCGCGCTACCACTTTTTTGTATCAAATTTTTTAAGTATATTGATAATAAAAAGTTGAACTACATGTTTTTAGCGCATTCCTAGGCCCTACGCTCGGCGGATTTGGAGTGGAACAGATTGGTTTTGAATGGACGACAACAATTATTGCGGTAATTAATGTGGTCTTTATAATATTCATGTGTCAATTCTTTGCGATTCGCAAGTTGACGGGTAATGACGACGACGATGAAAATAGCACTGATGCTGATAGCGAAACCAGCAAGATGAAGGCATAATAGTGTAAATTTTCAAGACTTGTTGTTTTATCGAAGTATTTGATATGTAATCACTTAATTAATGTAATATTCAATGTCTTATTATTTAGGTTGATTCTCACCTTCCTATGTTGTTTAATAACAAGTCTTATTCTCTTAATGGCAATATGTGATTTATAAGCTAATATGTGTATGATTTCAAAGATACATGTATATTAATATTTTGTAACGTCTTTCTCTTTTATGACATTTATCTTACAAGCTACAGGTACTGGAATTTGACTTTTTGCACAAAATAGTAATAAATTTGTTAATTTCATAGTATAGTATTTGCTTCAACTTGTTTCAGGTTAAATTGAAAGCTTTGTTTTTAAAAATGGTTTTTAAAATTTTGAAAACTGTCATATTACACATAAAAGTTAATCTGTAGTAATCGTAGACGTTTTCAATATAGAAAAAATAAGGCTTGTGATGCATTTGTTGATAAGATAAAAGAAGTTTAGGTTTTAAAAATTATTTTAGTAAAATAAAATATGTTATAAAATAACATTATCATAATAGCTAGGATTAAGTATGGCCTACATGAATATTATTGTTGTGATCTTCTTTTCAATCAGTGTTGTTAGCACCCAAAATAAATTAAAGATACCAATTCAGCGGTTAGATTCACTTAAGCAAAATGAATTAAAGAAAGGTGGGTGAGCTTTAATTTTTTTATTTTGTCTTATTATTTGATTTCATTTTTACTGTTACTAATATATTTTGTTCTGCAGTCATTGCAGTTAAAATTAATAAAAGAATCAAGTGTAATAAGGTTTTAGGAAATTTTGAAAAAATTTCAAGATTTCACGAAAAAAATGAAGCCTTTGCTAAAGCCAGGTCCATCAAAAGAATCCGGCAGTTCCTTGATCAAACAGACGAGAATATACAATATTTGAAAGACTATACAGACACAGAATATGTTGGTATGTTTTTGCGAAATTTTATTCTTTCTTTAGATGTTGTAACAAAGTTTGATCAAAAAATTAACGCAATTTTAACAAAATGCGCTACGGTATATGGTATTTATACAAAAATTTTTGTTTATGTCCTGTCTACAAAGTGTTATAATTAAATACTTTCATATTTTCTATATGGCACCTAACGAGGAAAGTACCCAACCTGTTCCACTCACTATCAGCTCAAAGTAGTCTTTATATAAATCTTTTAATTACTAATAGTACACATAAAAAATATTAGCTTGCGATTTGGGTTTTAAAATTTAATTCGAGTTTTTTCCGCTAATTTGGCAAACTTGGCATTGTGTTTTAAGGAATTTCGTGAACTTTCCAAATAAACTACGCTTAAAAATTTAAGTCCATTTAAAACAGGGTCCGCGAGAGAATCAAACATGTGCGGACCATGAAAAAAAAATATTTTTTTAAAAATCTTATTTTGCGACCACAGGTAGCTCTAAGAACTACTAATTCAAAAATGCAAAAAAAAATTTTGTTTTTGGGTTACTGTAGGTGTACTGTAGTTTTTAAAAATTTTATGCAACTTTTTAACTAATTGACAGAATCTCACCGGACTTTTTTTAAATGATAGAACACGTCAAACTATGTAATATGGCTGTCGACAAGTTTTTCCGTTTATGCCCGGAAGGCATCGAAAAATTTAAATATTTGCAAAATTTTGATAAAAATTTTAAAAAATCGAACTTTTTTCAAAAAAAAGTCGTTGTGTGACCGACTTCTGGCACTAGAGGTTCTTGCGCTTCAAATGGTTTTACTCTCTAAGTGTAACAATGGGGCCAAAGTATTGTAACAAGCTTCCAAATACGACAAACTGTAGTCACTAAAAAATTTATGTTTTTATAACTTTACAGAACACCTCAGAATATGGCTGAAGTTTATTAAAATTACTTTTTGTTATCAATAAAAACAGTACAAAGGCCATTTTAGCCTACTTTGTAAATTTTTTTATCGTATTGTACAGTGGGTGGGCCACGACAATTATAACTTTCTTGAAACTAAACCAGTAAAGCTTAAATTTCTTGTGATTTTACAATATTCTTTTTGACAACAAATTTGCGAAAAAAAATTTTTTTTTCTTGGTTTAAAAAAGTTACAGTAAATCTACAGTACCCTGTATTTCCGAAATATGTACATAATTTTTTTAAAAAATCGAAGATTTACGTTTTATAGAGCATAAAAAGTTGTACAACTTTTGAAAGTTTTAATATTGTATCTCCTATGGTAAAAGAGTTACCGATTTTTAAATATTTTTAAGCAGAATCGATCCTTTTTGGTTTTTGAACATTTTTAAATGCCCATAACTCATGAACAAAATACAATTGAAAGATGAAACTTTCAGAAGTCGTACAACATTTTATGCTCTATAAAACGAACGTCTTTGATTTTTTAGAAAACGTACATACTTCGGAAATCGGGTACTGTAGGATTACTGTAACTTTTTTAAATCAAAAAGGAAATAATTTTTTTGCAAATTTGTTGTCAAAAAGAATATTGTAAAATTACAAAAAATTTGAGCCTTACTGGTTTAGTTTCAAGAAAGTTATACTCATAATTGTCGTGGCCCACCCACTGTACAGTATGATAAAAAACTTCACAAAGTAGGCTAAAATGGCCTTTGTACTGTTTTTGTTGATAACAAAAAGTAATTTTAATAAACTTTAGCCATATTCTGAGGTGTTCTGTAAAGTTATAAAAACATAAATTTTTTAGTGACTACAGTTTGTCGTATTTGGAAGCTTGTTACAGTACTTTGGCCCCATTGTTACACTTAGAGAGTAAAACCATTTGAAGCGCAAGAACCTCTAGTTTCATTATCTAGTGCCAGAAGTCGGTCACACAACGACTTTTTTTTGAAAAAAATTCGATTTTTTAAAATTTTTATCAAAATTTTGCAAATATTTAAATTTTTCGATGCCTTCCGGCATAAACGGAAAAACTTGTCGACAGCCATATTACATAGTTTGACGTGTTCTATCATTTAAAAAAAGTCCGGTGAGATTCTGTCAATTAGTTAAAAAGTTGCAAAAAATATTTAAAAACTACAGTACACCTACAGTAACCCAAAATTAAAAAATTTTTTTGCATTTTTGAATTACTAGTCCTTAGGACTACCTGTGGTGGCAAAATAAGATTTTTAAAAAATTAATTTTTTTTCATGGTCCGCCCCTGTTTGACCCATGTTCGATTCTATCGCGGACCTTGTTTTACAAGGAAAGTGTCAAAAGGTGTACCTAACGCCCAGACATGTGATATAGCTCAAAAAAATTCTGTGGTCGTCCTGATTGAGGATCCGTTTTCAAAAGTTGCTAAATTTTTGTCTGAGTTATGGTCGTTTAAAGTTTGCACTGATTCCCTATTAAATTCCCAAAAAGGCCATGAAGAGAAACGAACGGAAAAGTGAGCGTGACCAAGTAGCCGAATGGATAAAGCGTTATCCTTCGGAAATGCCGCTTCAGGTTCGAACCTGAGTGCGTGCAAACACTTTTGCAATTTTATTTTGCATTTGAAAACTGTACCAAGTGTATCATTAACAAAATAAAATTGTAATTTTTTATGTAAAAATGTATTTTATTGAATTTTTTTGTTATTATATGGTTGATTAGTTGTTGTTTAAAAAATTTGAACTCATTTACCAGTTCAATAAAAATTAGACAAAAAAGGGAAGGTTCACATTATGACCATAATATTAACAACTTATTGTGGCAAAGTACACACGATGGGTCTACTACCTTTCGAAAATATACCTCGTGAGGTAAGTCGAAGTACGACATATTGACTGCGTTTAAGTATTTTTTAAGCGTATTATCTAGGTTTTGTTATACGTTTTATTAGTTATTAAAAAACAAAAAAACCCTTGTAGCTTCCTTGAAGGGTACTAGATGGGCTTAAGTTTTTAAAAAAATTGGTCTGCTATATAATAACAAAAAATACATTTTACATAAAAAATTACAATTTTATTTTGTTAATGATACACTTGGTACAGTTTTCAAATGCAAAATAAAATTGCAAAAGTGTTTGCACGCACTCAGGTTCCAACCTGAAGCGTCATTTCCGAAGGATAACGCTTTATCCATTCGGCTACTTAATCACGCTCACTTTTCCGTTCGTTTCTCTTCATGGCCTTTTTGGGAATTTAATAGGGAATCAGTGCAAACTTTAAACGACCATAACTCGGTCGAGACAAAAATTTAGCAACTTTTGAAAACGGATCCTCAATCAGGACGACCACAGAATTTTTTTGAGCTATATCACATGTCTGGGCGTTAGGTACACCTTTTGACACTTTCCTTGTTAAAACACATTTTTCGTAAGACTCACTGAAACCCATTGAGACCTCGCGCGATTACTGTAATTTTGCACAAAAAACTAAATTTTAAAAATACTTACAGACGATTTCGAAACTAGGTGTAAATAGCAATTATTCATTATTTGATATGACAAACATTTTAGTGAAGACCCCATGTCTCTAGCTCATCTGGTTCCCAAGATAGCAAATTCGAGTAAAACTACAGTATACCCGTATACTGTAATTTTGGCAAAAAATATTGTTGCCACGTTAATCAGCGACCTTTAATTACCCGATAGTGAAAGTTGCAAAAAAAAAAAATTTTGTTGTCGACAGGGTAGTTTGACCCTTACAGAAAATGTGTTTTAAAGGTTTTCTACTAGTATACCAGAGAAAAATGATTAAAACTCAAAAAATGACCAAGTTATAACATTGAAACACAATGCCAATTTGGCGGAAAGTTCAAAACATAATTTTTGATCTCGATTTTCTGGAGATTGACTGGAAATCGCAATTTAGTACTTTGCTGCATATCTTATAGTTACATGAGCTTTCTATATAATAAGTTTGAAGTCAATAAGATCGGATCAGGTCGGACACTTTTCTTGTAAGTTAAAAATTTTTTTGTAGGTCTAGTGTCAATTGGTACACCGCCACAAGTATTCAGTATGATTATGGACACTGGTTCCGCAAACTTGTGGGTTTTAGATTCTGGCTGTGAAACTGTTAACAAAATTCTAAGATGCCCACGATATTGTCAAAATGGTGGGTTTTTAGTAATATTAAGGTTAAAAAATCCTTATTTTTAAGTATTATAGAATAATACGACAAGCAAAATTTATTTGTTAGGGAAATCTAAAAAGAAAAGTTTTTGAATATTTTTATATCCACTATAAGTTAAAATTTTTTTAGATATTTTCTGTCTTTCTTTCTGTCAACCTGTATGTTGCAACGCTGTAACCATTGATGACTACTGTTACGGGCGACCACGTTTTTGCAGCAATCAAAGTACGACGTACAAAACGACAAGTCGAACATTTCAAATTGTTTATGGCACAGGTAGTGCTGCAGGGATAGTTGGGAAAGAACTAGTTCAAGTTGGCTCATTGACAATTGAGAACGCAGATCTGGGACAAGCTAGCCAAATCGACGAGTTTTTCGCCAGCGGCATTGTTGATGGAATCTTCGGTATGGGACAAATTGGTCTTGCAAAAAGTGGAACAATACCTCCACTGTATTCAGCAGTGTCCCAGGGCCTAATGTTACCGTATTTTACTTTTTGGCTTGATAGTAATGGCTTACATTCTAATTTTGGCAAAGGTGGTGAAATTACATATGGAGATGTTGACATAGATCATTGTGGACCGGTTTATTGGATACCATTAAGTTCGAATACTTACTGGCAGTTTCGAGTGGAACACTTAAAAATTGGAAATCAGTATGTGGGATTCGGAGAAGTAAGGGTTTCCAAATTTATTTTTAAACTAATAAAAGTTAAACTTCAATCAATTCTTATAAAAGTACAAATAAAAATGTTTCTTTAGGGTATCTCTGACACGGGGACGTCGTTTCTAGGCTTACCTCCATTAGCAATTAATGTAATAAAAACGCTGACCAACTTCCGTCAATCTCAGGTGTATGGTTACATTGTTGACTGTAATACAACTATTTCTTTAGTATTCTCTATTAACGGAAAGCAGTTTACGGTTGCTCAAGAACAACTAGTACTAGAAGCCTATCATTATGGAGGCCAAAAATTGTGCGTTTTGGCAATATTCTCTACAGAAGACGCGCCTATGATGCCTAAATACTTGCTTGGGGATCCGTTTATACGGAGTTATTGTCAAGTTTACGATATGGAAAACCGTAGGATAGGCTTTGCAAAGTCGTTGTAATTATTATAAATAAAAATTGACAGGTAGTTCAATTTCTTTAATATATTTTTTAAATATTAAAGATCGTCATTTAATTGTTTTGTTATAAAATGTTATTAAGTTTAAATTTTTAATTAAAAATCTTATTTTATTGAATTTTACAAAACAGAATCGTTATTCAAAACGTTATTCAAATGCATTTTGTGTCTTTTCGAAACATTTGAGAGTGAGTAAGCTTTGTTGTTTACTTCATTTTTCGCTGACCAAAGATCGTAGTGAAGGCTCTTTACCCACAATCTCTCGTCACCACGCTCTTGGCTCCATATCGCCTCCCTCCCTCATCTATTCCGTCTCATTTAGCTAGCGAGCGCGGGACAATCATGTGACCATTCAAATATTTTTAAAGGAACACAACGGTTTGAACATTCTGGAGCTTAAGGAGCCGTTTATTTGGTTTATGTTTCCAGTATTGGCGTTTTCTGTCTATTATGATTCTTTGAGTATTATTATGTTGAGTTGACTGTGATGTATTTACAGGGTATACAGATAACAGCAGAAAGAAGGCATAATTATTAATAATTCCGTTATAATCTTTCAGACGAATAATTCTTTCTTCGTAAATTCTAGTTATAATCTGCAGAAAATGCAACGTAGCTTTAGTGTCCATATAGGCTGTATGGGCTGCTAAATTTTTTCATAAGTTTTTAGCTTGTTAAAAAATAATGTTATGGCTACATAATATTTATTTTTTGTAATTTTTTGGCGTTATATTTTATAATAAAATTCTCCGTCAGTTCGGATTCTGCTGCCAATATTTTTTTCCATTTGCACGGAATTTGTAAATAGGTAAAGGCAGTATTGTTAATACATAATAATATGTTATGTGTTTTAGACAATTTTCTTGCAATATCAATTCTTTGTGTAGTAAAGTTTGTGCTGCTGCTTCGGCTTTTGTGTTTATTTTCAAAGTGTTTTTCTCTCTTTTCGTAAACAAGTTTCGAAATAATCAAAGAACAAAAATATGCGATGAACATTGGTTCCTTGTGTGTCATGTCGGAATATAAAAGACCAATTCGACTTCCTTTACTCATTAATTTAGTTATTTTTCATTTTTGTGATGATCTGTTCGTTTTAAATTTATCGAATATTGCGATTATTCATTGTTTTATGGTATTTGAATATTTATTAGGTTACTGTCGAAAAGTTGAAATATATGTTTTCTGCGTAATTTAACATTTACCTTACTCTGTACGTAATTTTATACTGTTATTTAACGTGTGTTGCAAATGATTACATACTTTTTGCCTCCATTATTTATGTTAGCTCAGTTTTTTATCTTTTATGTTATACAGGAATATTTCAGACTTTACATTAAATTTTTCAAAAAGAATTCAAAATGGTCGATAGTCACTCAATTGTCGAATTCATTCTTATTATTCTCCTTCCAGTAAGTTTTTGTGTTATTTTTGTGATTTAGGTAACTAAAAAATCTTTTCACTGAAATCTTGGCAAAAGTAGTCAATGTGTTTATTCTGATGAATTTTTAATTAGAATAAATTATTAACAGAAGGATTTAAATTGTTTTGAAAAATGTTATTAATATCGTTTTAGCCAGTTGCCGTTTACCTGCACGCACATGACTGCAATGCTCACGTTTTGTTGAACATCATCTTGTTATTGCTGTTTTGGTAAGTTAGATTTGTAAATATTTGATAAGAAGTGTTTTAAAGTGTAAACGAGTGGATGAGGGATAAACGCTATGCTGGTTAGGTTTGAACTACAGATTTTTTAAGGAGAACGGAGGGGGGGGATACTGAAGGGCATAAAAAGTATTTAATTCCGCAACTTTGTTATTTTATCTTTTATTAATTTCAGGTTCCCAGCGGCGATTCACGCCGCGTGGTACTGTTTCTGCCGTGGTTAGGTCGCACCACTCGAATTTGTATTTGTCGAGACTTTTCCACATTGCACACGTTGTATGTATTATTATTCTGCCGTTAATATTGTAAATTTATATCATTCTCTGATGGATCTTTAATAAATTTTTGTCGGTTTCATGATATGTTTGCCACGCATTGTATATGTTTGCTGTGAAGATTATGTTATTGGACGTTAGGAATCGTTTTTCGTGAGAACTTTCCTCTTAATTTTTTTAAAATTTGAAGTTTTTAGTACAACGGGTTTTGCAAAATATTGAAAAATATATAAACTATAAAAAATATAATCGAGATTATAAATAGGTTGTTTGTTTTTTATTAAACTAGTTTTTATTTTTCTTTCGCTCATTAGCATAATATTAATATATTGTCAATAGTATGTTAGTACAGGAACAACTTATTGATACTTTCATTATGCAAATCTGTATCTGTAATACTTTTGATGTTTATTTTTCCTTTATTAAGGACGTTTACCATTCAAATGTTATGTTGTTTAACAGTGCTCGTGATAAAGGCCCAATTTAACAAAAACCAGCTTCAGGCAGGGTTGGAAACAGGGTATTTTCGCTTATTTACAGTGCACTGTGTCATAAAGGTTTTTTAGTTTAAATTACAATAATTATTTTATAATGAGTTATTTTTATTCTACGGTCGCGACAAAATTCTACTATGTTAAATATACACATGTAACTACTATTTAATCTTTTACTACAGAATTAAAAAAAAATGGGAAGCCAAGACATTGTGGAAATAATACTCATTATTTTCTTGCCTGTAAGTTATATGTAACGTATAAGTTTATCGATAAACTACACAAAAAATTTATTTACTTAAAATTATACAAATAATTATGTAACCTAAACAATCTTTTAAACAGCTTTTTTCAGCCGCTGGCTGTGTACTTACACGCTAAGGACTGCAATGCGCAAGTTCTCATTAACATCATACTTCTTTTCTTTTTGTGGTACGTTTATTTTAAACTTATGTTAAATGGTATGGTTTATGTGTAATTTATAAATAATTAGAAAAATGATATAAACAATGCTACAAGTTAAAAATCAATGAATTTTGAAAAGATTTTTAATAAAATTAAAAAATTTTAGGATTCCGGCTGCGATTCATGCTGCATGGTACTGTTTCTGCCGTGAATCGACTGTATAATTAATCAATTAAACTTTTTTATAAAAGTTGAAACACAACAATCTAGCACTATGACAAATCTTAGCCTTACATATAACATTATTTTACGTTAATTGCTGTACATTATATACAATCTAATTCCAGTCTTTATTATCCAATTATAAAGCTTTAGAAAATAAATATCAATATGCATTGAAACCGGTTGTAAGGTTGTGTTTTAAAATATAATTTTTTAAATTCAGGCAGGTGTTCTAAAGTAAAAACTACAGATATATTTTCCGACTATACAAACTGTTACTAAACAAAGCAAATTTGTGAAAAACTTCCTTCTTTTATTTTTACACTTGATGTTTGTCCAAAAGCTTAACTGTCTTGTTTCGACCACTGAACTGGTCACTTTTGCGGGTGGGTAGCGCACTATATTTTTTAAGACTATGGCATAGCAGAATAGCTGTGAAAATTGTTGGAATGTCTTCCACATCTTCTGAACTTAACTACATCGCTAAATTGGACGAGCAATATCGATGTTGTTGCGGAAAGTTGCACATAACTGTACGTGTGCTTTGCTACAACTTGTTTTCTGTAAATTCTTCAGAAAAAATTTTCATTACTTTTATCTGAAATTTCCTAAAAAAACACTTTAAAAGTAATATAAGCTTTGTGTAACGCCAAATAAAATATTATGTTTTAGACGGTAACCTATATTATAACCTTCGTGTCGACATTTTTTATTGTTTCGAATTTCATGATGAAGTTGTCCGGCTACTCGGAAACCGCTTGGGATTGGGAGTTGTTGTTCTTAGTGGTAGATTCGATTGCTTCCGTATCATTGTTTTATGGCGTATTTGTACAAAAACCAGCGTTTATTCAACCATTTGTTGTACTGAGTGTAAGTTAGCTCTTTGCGTTTTACTTTTTAATAGTTTTGTTTAATGGCAGATAAAATATATTTAATATCTTTCGGATGTAAGCGAGAAGAAGAATATATAAAAATAAAATATTTTTTGGTGACTTTAGGAGTTTTAAATTATTTACTTTTAGTCTTTAAGTTACTTGAAGAAAAGGAGGGGTAAAGTTTTTCTTACTTTTTTAATACTGCAAATCTTCAAGATTGTTACCACGTCATTTCTAATATTGTTGGCGACGTCCATGGCCTCGGCAGCTTTAGATCCGAACTCATACTCGGGTCAAGATTTAGAACTGGAAATGCATAAACGTCTATCCGACGCTGCACATCAACTTTCACTGCAGTTCAAAAGTGGTAAGGACTTATAATATTGTTTTGGTTTTTAACAACGTAATATTTTTTAATTTAACTTATTTTTAGTCGTATCTTTGGTAGCATCTGTTTGTTTTGTGTTTGTTTTACTATCAGCTATGGCTCATTGTTGGTATGTTTACGTGGCTGTGAAGTGCGCCCAGTATTTTCGTCAACTTAAAAAGTTGGACGACGTTGTTTCGCCTGATTCAGTTTTGGCTAAATCTACATAACAATTTTACTTTTTTAAATAAATTAAATATGATTTTATTGATAAATCAAGTAATTTGAAATTGAATAAGTTGCAATCTAAAACAACAAAATAATAATAAACAAGTACACAACGTGAGTAAATGGTACTTGTATAATAAAGGGACATATTTTTTGCTGAAAATAATTAGATAAAATATTTTGGATAAAAAATTATGTAAATAATGCGGAAATGTTTTGCGGATATTCAAAAAGAGCGTAAAAAGGTCACGCTTCAATTATTCGGCTTGAATCAAGTATTTACTATGGTTTCAAAGGTCGAACGTAAAAAAGATAAATATGTATATGAATTTTATATTGTGATGAAGTTAAAACTTACGTAACTATATTTTTAGACCTATTTTCATTCAATTTACATATAAATTTGTATTGTAAATTAAATTTTGTTATTATAATTACAAAATCAAGCTTTAACTCATGTTTGTCTTCCTATAATCTGATCAAAAAACTTTTTCAATCGTAAATATTTTTTTGAAACATGAGTCATATAATATTTGTGTGACGTCAATTGTGTCATTGTTATAGATCGCATTGTTAATCGGGCTCGGTAAATCGTGATACCATTGTGGGTTCGAAGTTTTGAACGGAGAACGATTATTTAGGTGTTGTACAAGGTAGAAATACGCATTTACAAAGGTATATATAGTACGAATAAATGTTATCAAATACTCGTAAACTCATCTTGTAAAAATTGGTTGCTTATAAATTGTCAGTGTTTGTTCATTTTATTGCATCCAAAACTGTTTTAAATTATTGGCTTAACCTCTTTAACTTAAAGATTCCGACAGTCAGGAATACCACTTCTACTCTAATATATTTTGTTTATTTTTCGTACAAAAAAGTAAATCGGAAATCGAAAAGGCGAACATTCCGCGGTAGTCTTACGAATATCTCACCTATATATTTTTTATACGTTTTTTAAAAACTTTGTTATTTAATTTTTAAAAATGAACAACAAACTGAAAATTAATTGTGCTTAAAACAAAAAAAATTATAGTTTTAAAGTTTTTACGTCAATCGCTACAGGTGCTCGTTTTTTTACCGCCCAACAATTTCTCATCAATATTTAATGTTTAACTATCGATCATTTGCATATTTATATCTGTATTACATTTTATTGATCGCGATTTTAAAGTTGATCAAAGGTTTGATTTTAATCTTTAAAGCACTGCACGTTTTTTATTTTTATGTTAGACAGATTTCAAAATTTCAGAATCTATAAAAACGTGATAGATTTACACACGACTATATAAATGCACGTTTAAATAAAGTTTATAAAAGCAATGCCGAAAGTACGTCCAATCAGTCAAGATGACAAGTCCAAAAGTGTAAAATGGAAAGTTTCCAACAATGATGCGTTAACTGAAGAAAACGATTTGCTTTGGCATGGTAAGTTATCATAGTTTGACTTTATATTATTTCAAAACATTCTAAATTAGTATTTTTATTATTAAAATTAAGATTTTTTAGATTTACCAACGGCCGAAAAAGCGTATCGTGTAGCCCTAACGACGTTAAAAGTAGCAGCGTTCTTGCTGATTATATTTAGCATAATATGTACTTTTGCATTATTAGCTGACGCTTTTCAATTAATTGGAGGCACTGGAATGGGTAAGATAATATTTATATATGTTTTTATGGGTTTTTAAAACAAAATATATTAGACATAGTATACATTTTTAGGACAAAAACTTAAAAACAGTCCATTTTTAAGTAATCAAATCTCATCGGCTATATTTGGAATGGTGATAACTTTGGTTTTACAAAGCGGATCAACCCTTATAAGTGTACTGGTGGGAATGGTGGCTGGAGATTGTAAGTTCAACAGTTTTATCACTCCATTAATATTAGGATTATGTTAAAAAAATGTTGGAATTTACATTTAAAAACCAAACTATCTTATAGAAATTAATCGACGTACTGTTTTTAGTGCTCACCGTGCATCAAGCTATACCGATAATGATAGGTGCTGAAATGGGCGCATCGTTAATCAATGCGTTAGTCTCCCTAGGCCAATCAGGAGATAGAAACCAGTTTCGCAGAGCATTTGCTGCTGCTACGATGAATGATGTTTTTAATTTGATGAACTTTGTTACGGTACTTCCATTGGAAATGACTACAGGTTTTATGGAATGGCTCAGCGGTATTTTAGTTCAACCACTGAGTAAATTCAAAGGCGGGGAGGTTAAGACATTACAGTATCTGACAGATCCTATCTTAAATTTAATTGTACAGGTTAGTGACAAATATAATCTATTCTTGCAGAATAATACTTAATTTTGTTTTTTACTTTAGAAAACTTGTAAAAAATGATAATATTTACATTTTAGATTGATGAAGATGCATTGACGCGAGTTACAGCGTTAAGCCGAAGCAACAAAAACGTAACATACGATAGGGATACATTTATATTTCGATGCGTCGACCTACAAACGAAAGAGGAATTAGTGTTTTGTAAGTCGTTTTATGGACAGTATGTACAGCCGTTGACAAAAGACAGGCAACTTTTTTATTTTGAATATAACTTTTTTATTAGTTATTCAATTGTTATGAAACAAAGTTTATTATGATTGTTTTGATACCTAAAATTATACAAAAATGACAAATTACATAAAATATGTCAGCGTGACATGTTATATAGAATCAAAAAATAAAAGGTGGACAAAAAGCAGGCAACTTTTTTAAATCTTTTGTCAAACTTCATTATAAAGGTAAGATTTAAGTTTTTGTTGTTATTACATATTGTTTTAGTTACGAATAAATAAAAAACGGCAAGGATCGTTGAGTTTAGAAGTCAAGAAGATGATCTTTCAATGCATCCAACAAGGCGACCTCATGTGTAACATCGCAGAAGATTTTTCAATATATAAGGCTATCGTTTCGTCTTAAATGCTTCTAAATGTGCTCATTCTGTTTAAAATATAAAGTTTGTGAATGCCAGGGCAAAACACAATTTTTTTGCCTATTGAAGATGGAATCTACATGTATTGATATATGCCTTGGGTCATTACCTTGTTGAAAAAATTCACATCATTGAAATTTTTATGTTGTCAAACAGGAGTAAAAGCTTCTCAGTACTGTCAGTGTAATTTCCACTATCCATCCAACCAGCAATAAAGACTAACGGACCGATTTGAGACTAGGTAAAGCACCCCCATACCATGATACTGCTCCCTTGATGTTTCATGCTTGGTGCCTGGTGCTTTGGGGCAAATCCTGTCCCTTTTTTTCGTCTTACATACACTTTACCTTGATATCCAAATAAACCAAACCTGCTTTTGTCGGTCCATGAGCCTTTATCCCACTTCTTTATAGACCACTTCTTATGTTCACCTACCTATTTCAATCGGATCGTCCGGTTCTTCTTCCTGGTCAACGGTTGTTTTGCCGGACCACGTCCATTGAGCTTGCCTTCGATTAGTCTTCTTGCTACAGTTCGATCAGGTACTTTACAGTTGTGAAACTACACTATTTTAGCGTTTATTCTGGGTGCAGCCTTTATCGGGTCTTTCCGAGACAACATTGCAATCAACTTATCCTGAAATTTGGTCGATTTTCTTGTTCATCCATTTCTTAAAAAGTTTTATGGATGCCATTCTTCTTATACCGCGTCCAAATTAAAGAAATTTTAGTTCTGTTTATCGAAAAATCTTCTGCGATGTTACACATGAGGTCGCCTTGTTGGATGCATTGAAAGATCATCTTCTTGACTTCTAAACTCAACGATCCTTGCCGTTTTTTATTTATTCGTAACTAAAACAATATGTAATAACAACAAAAACTTAAATCTTACCTTTATAATGAAGTTTGACAAAAGATTTAAAAAAGTTGCCTGTTTTTTGTCCACCTTTTATTTTTTGATTCTATATAACATGTCACGCTGACATATTTTATGTAATTTGTCATTTTTGTATAATTTTAGGTATCAAAGCAATCATAATAAACTTTGTTTCATAACAATTGAATAACTAATAAAAAAGTTATACTCAAAATAAAAAAGTTGCCTGTTTTTTGTCAACGGCTGTATATGAAATGAGCCGAGCTTGAGCAAACTAGAAAACGAGCAGTGCCTAAATTTTTTTTAAAAGTACATTATTTTAAAAATTAAAAAAAAATTTAACTTTTGTAAATATGTTTGTGTTTTCTGGGTTTCACAGCTAATAAATGGTCTAACAAGGAAAGTGCCCAACCTGCAACTCTCAAAATTAGTTCAAAATTTTAATACGGATTCTTTGTTGTACCAGTAGCACATATAAAAAAAATATTAGTTTGGAGTTTTAAGTTATAGAAATTTAATTTAAAATACATTTAAATTTTCCGCAAATTTGGCAAGTTTGGCATTGTGTTGCAAGCACTTTTTTTGATGTTCCAGATAATATAGGCTTACAAATTTAAAATTGCAGGTTCATTTGAAACTTCTCTATCATTATATTAAATAAAAATAGTTAAAAGCGAAAAAATAAGAAAATTAAAAGCTTGAAACACTATGCCAATTTGGCGGGAAATGAATTTTGCATATGATCTTACATTTACATGATCTTTCAATAAAAAAGTTTAACGAATATTGCAGATCGGGTATCTTCCTTGTAAATATACAATACCGCAGACCACATGTTTAATAAATTATTGAACTTTTTTATCTTTTACTTTGAGAAACTTTTTTATCTCTTTTTAAGGTCCATACAATCACATATTTACATATTCAACGTGGTCTGATTCGACGGTTGGGATTGTGCTTTTAGTGGCTGCAATTATTATACTAGGCCTTTGTTTGACAGCGTTAGTTCAAATAATTCAGTCATTATTAGCTGGAAAAGCGGCAATTTGGGTCCGAAAGTTATTAGAAAAAAAAATTCCGCCTCCGTTTCGATGGCTCACTGGTTACTTTGTTATGGTTGTAGCAGCTTTTGTAGTAGTTATTGTGCAATCAAGTAGTGTGTTTCGGTCGGCTTTAACACCACTGGTAGGTGTTGGAGTCATACCATTGAAGCGACTATATCCATTGTTATTGGGCGCTAATGTTGGTACGACTTCTACCGGTGTGCTGGCTGCTCTGTCGGCAGATCCCTCTCAGTTGCAAGAGTAAGTTTCCTATATGTGAATGCATGACTTTTACTTTTTTATTATAAAACGAGTATTTGGGTTTATCAAATATATGTTGCAGGACACTTCAAATTGCTTTGTGTCAAACGTTGTACAACTTGCTCGGTGTGTTATTCTTTTATCCCATACCTTTCTTAAAAAAAATCCCATTAACTCTTTGTATGAAGCTTGGCGATATTACTGCTCGAGTAAGTTTGTTTAAAGTATATAACTTGCTTTGTGTAAAGCATTTTAAAATTCAAATAAATTATTTTAAAATTTTTAGTACCGTTGGTTTGCATTGGGTTACATACTTAACGTGTTCTTTTTATTTCCACTATTTCTATTGGGTTTATCTTTCCTACCATCAGCGGTGATGTTCTCTGTCGTTGGAGTAATTATTACTATGATTGTGTTTATTGCTACAATTAATTATTTACAAGAACATCGTGCTGCGCTCCTCCCATGTTTTTTGTATGATTGGAGTTGGCTACCACGATTTTTGTGGGATTTGGAATATTACGATAAAATTTTTCGCAGCTGGTCTGAACATTGTTTATGCTGTCCGAGTCGGTTCTTCAACGCGAGTATGGAGGACCAAGAAGGGAGTATAAGGACAAATAGCACAAATAGTGATAACAGAAGGAATAGTTCCGAAATTGGGGTAAGGGCTGGTATTGGAGCAATATGGCCATTTGTTGACAGTACGCTAAAACCTCCAGTACAAAATGAAAGTTTGGATCAAGTGCCACAACGTTTTCGGCAAACTATTGTATAGATTAAGCGCAACGGTCTCTGATTACGTTATTGTTTGTTTCTTACTTTATTTAGTTAGTGCTTTTTACTTTTCAATTATATTTCTTTCGGTACAACAACATTCGTATGTAATTCATATAACACATCTTTACTATGTACAGAACCTAACTCTAAACTTAAAACATCATTTTATTACGGTCTCTCCAATTAGTATATAATTTATATAATTTCTACCAATGTTTACCTAATAATAAATATCAAATTATACGTTTGTCGTGCACAATAAAGAATGGTCCAAAATCAAAGGACTAAACATGATTAAACTGTTTTCTGAATTTTCAGCTTAATAAATCGTCGTAAAAGTGGTTTGCACAAACACCACAGATTAATATACTAAAAAAATTTTTAAAAATAACGCTATCGTGGTGGGGCATCCAAAGGGTACCATCGTGCCTGAGACTTCTCTTCCCGAATTATTGCACGCCACAAGTCTTTACATTGATGTAAAGGTAGTTCCATCCGTCCTAAAATTTTACTACCCATTCCGAATGTACCATACTCGTGAATTGCCTAAAATATTTATTTTTTTTGCAGAATACGGTGGATAAGCTTGTACATTTTAGGTACAATTTAAATAAGATACTTTTTTAAAGGAAACTTGTTATTTTTTTTTGTTTTTGGGAACTTAAAAAAACTTACCTCAATTTCCAGTATCGTATCACATAACGAACTTTTCGTTATTCCAAAAGTTAGCGATTCATTATACTGTGGGTTCCTGGTGTTCTTTTTAGATGACGTTTTCTTTCGCTTCAACCGTTTTTCACTGTTATTCATTATCGATACGCGGATCGCGTTAGATGAAAATGTGTCCATGTTTTCGGTGTTTAGGTTTCTTGCTTTAAACACGTTTACCGTCAGCCGTTGCGCTTTACTCAGGTAGGTCAGCGAAAATAAAACTTCACCAAAACCTGACTGAAATTAATGAAAGGTGAATAAAAACGCTAAAAATTAAAGAATACCATAATTTTTGCTTTTTATTTTTCCATAACTTCTCTAATTTTGCTTATATAATACTAACTCACTCCTGAATCATCATCAAAAGGAAGTACTTCGGCCCAAAATATGGTCGGTTGTTCTTTTACTGTTGATATAGCAACTCGCCCTAGAGTAAGCCAACAATATCCAATACACTCATCTACGGAAAACTGATCATAGTCATATACCATGATCTCAAGCCGACACTGTCCCACTTTTTCCAAGGAAACTTGGAAAAAGAAGTCCTCTTCGATAGCAGGCGATGCCGTATTCTTCGCGACTTTTGTTTGTTGTTCCGATTTAGGACGGGTTTGGTCTGGCACGTCCAAGGAAACTTTAAAATAAGGATTTGGATATCCGTCTTGACGTTTGGCAACCAAGTCTGTAGCTTGTTTCAGGCGAACAGTTAGTAAATTTAAATTTGTGTCCATATAAAGAGCCAATTTAAGAGATCCACAAAAACCCGAATCTTCGTCATACGACGATTCGGCAACCTGAAGTTTTTTAAAAATTTCATTAAAGCAAATCAAGCCAACTGAAAACAGTTTTAAATAAATTGTCCGTCATGAAATATGTAAAAACGCAGAAAATTATGACAAAAATTAACGTAAATGTTAATATTTAAATCCAGAAAAAGCTCACGTTAGTAGTGTACAACCCACGGTCAATGTCGCTTTGGCTTAGTTTGGCAAACATGCTGGTATGTTGTGTTATTTTAGGAACATGAAACATGTTGCTCACATCTCCAACTAGCTCTTTTTTTACTTTTCGTATTCTGGACTGTTTTCGGGCAATGTCGGAACTACTGCTAAATTTGTTATTTTTTCTTTCAAAAAAATTAAAATGTTTTTTTAAAAATTTTTTAAATTAATATTGAAAGAAGTATTAACATATGTAGATGTTGTTAATTTCAATAAACTCAAACAATTTTTAAAAAATTTACGTACTGCGGAAAATCCATTCGTTCATCGTCTTCAGTATCTAATCTAGGCATTGCTTTGCACCGCATGTAATGTGGCGGTGAATGAGCCATTTCTAATAGGTTTTGATCATACCTACAATTAAAAACATACATATACAGTAAGTATAAAAATTTTGTAATTGTGTAACTTATAATTAGTATTTGTCGAAATAGTAATAAATAAAAGTCATCCAAAATTTTATAAAATAAAGTACGAATGACCAAATAACGCACCAATTCAGTCTATTTCGTTTTGAATGAACCAAAAATACAATTGCTACTAGTAACAACATTACCACAGTTCCACTTATGGCATATACCAATATTAAAGGTTTCGTTTCCTCTGCTATGTACGTGTCTAACGCCAACATTTTCCTATAAAAAAATTTTACGTTAAAATCAAATCATAGGTTAACAAAAAAATTCAGACCTCAACCAAAGGATACATACACGAGTTAATTAACTTTTTCCTTAAACATAATGAATATGATGCATAATACACAGTGTCTAGCATATGACCTGTTGTTTTGACCAACCGAATACTGCTTAACAGCTGAAAAACATGTAATTTGCGGTCAGTTCTAATGAAAGTACAATGTAAGAGAACTGGCAAAAGCTTCATTACACTCTGGAAAAGCATGTATACTACGACTTGTTAATAAGTACGCACTTAAACAGCTAAAAAAGAATTAACTAAAAAGCTTTATATTAATTAAAACCCTAAAAACTCATAAAAATTTTTTGATAAATTTTGCCCTAGCGTTTTTGCAATCATATACAATGGTTTTAACCCCCCCCCCTTAAGCAAAACATCACTTTTTTGTATTATGTATAATACTTACTACCAGGGCCGGGCGGGGACTTTTCGTCTGGGGGCGCGGGTCCAAAAAATCGGCACAGGTAGCTACCTACCTGTGTCGATTTTTTGCGAAATTTTTTTTTCCGAAAATCCACAGGGAGGACCACGTTCAATTTTTTTCAAAAATTTTTTTTCTGGGAAAGGGGGGTACCCCCCCCCCTTTCGCGCCCGGCCCTGCTTACTACACTTGCTTACGCTCTAAATGTAACAACCAAAGGTTTTAAAATGCCCCTGGTAGCCTAGTATATATATAAACGCAAAAAAATTACTAAGTGAACAAGCTAAAGATTCGTATCAATAATCTGTTATGCTCGAAACAAATTTTACGAGCTCCTAAGGCTCTTGTGCACAATATATTGCCATATTTTGAGATGTGACCGTTCCTTTTTACGGCTTAGTGTCCCTTTAAATATTGTCCATTTGTGCTATTCTTCATGCAAAATTAAGCAGATGGCACTCTAAGTTACGAAAAAGAAAAGAAAATGACCAGTATGAGAAACATAATAAAGAATTATTTTAAAGTTTAATGTTCAACAACAGAAGTAAAGAAAATTTATTGTTGAATAAAGTTTACAGAAGGTTATTTTAATAAGTAAGGTAATACAATTAAACTATTATTTGATTAAATGCCAAATAAAAAAAATCCACGAAAATGGAAACATATCGGTGAAGACAATTTATTATTCTAACTAAAGTTTGTCCTCCCAAACCAGCAAACCTAATATAGTAAAGATTATTTATCATGCACCGTTAATAAAATATAAGCAAAAGGTGACATTTATATTGAATTACTGCATGTTTCTATTTGTAGGCAACAGTGTGCATACGTTGAACGTATTCAAAAAACGTATGTCATTCATTGAAGCGTATTAACTTACTAATTTAGCCAAACAGTATATATCAAAACTTAAAAAATACATTAAAAAGTTGTGTTTATATTATAATATAATGAAACCCCTATATAAAAAACGCCTCTGTAACCAGAATTCTGAACAAATTAAAAACCCCCGAACAACTCGTTTAACAGGAGTCCCACTATAGTATGTAATAAAATGTTTTTAAGCATTTATTCCTGCTGAAAACATAACTCAAAAAATATGTAAATTCTAAGAATTTTGTTTCTTATAAAATAATGAACTTAAAAAAATATATAAAAATGTGAAAACTTTATAATACAGTACTCTCTCCATACAAGCAACACCAAAAGACCGACATTTTGCGTTTACTGTAGAGAGTTTTGTCTTTACAGAGTAATTTTTAGTGCAAATTGACTTGGTGGGGCCTAATTTCTTGTTTACTATATGGACAGTTGCTTATACAGATGTTTCAATATATATAGAGACCACTGTAATATATATAAATAAAGTAACTGTGACAAAATTGTTTAAATGTTTTCAACGTTTCAATAATAAAATGCAACGTAAAATCTTGACATATTTACATGTAAAACATGCACGTTCCTATTAAAGCACGTGCATAAGCGACGCGATACAAATTGTGTACCCCTAAGTAAAAAATATACAAACGTATCAAAGTTCTATATATACTGCAAATTAATTATTAATCAGCAAGTTGTATTTACAATTTATACATGCAAAATGTACCATTCCTAATATCTATTGTAAACTGGTTTTAAGTGTACTAAAACAGATTAAAAATAGTAAAAATGACCTTTACTACTGTTGAGCGCACAGAGACCAGGCCCACCTATACAGGGCCTACACAAGTACATGATTAAACGACAAAATTTTTATAGAACACCTCACCCTGAACCTTGGACATCCTTGCACATCAGCATAGTACGTTACAATCTACGGCATCAAAATTAGCGACTACTATAAATTTATATCTCTCGAGGTAATTGTAGACGCTTGAAGAATGTAAATCAAATAAAAACAGTAAATAAAAAATATTTTATCTCAACTTTAGTACAAATTTGCTAAACAAAGCGTGTTAACGTTATTTTGTTAACAGATTTTTTAACAATAAGTATATTGAAAAAATTTCAATGTTACATAAAAACCGCACTCACACATCTCGTCAAAGTAGTTGTAAATTTCGTTAATTAAGTTGTACTTTTCGTGATTACAGTTAGCACTCTTTTCATAACCAATTATACACACCTCTTGTCAAAACCAACACTTTAAAATATAAAAATTGAACTCGCGTTATCTTTACATCAATAATATGTTTTTATTCAACTGTGATGTATATCTTAATACTTGCTTGTTCTTAAACATAAAAAATCCACAAATATTTTAATTTAATAAGTGGATTATATTTTATTAAATTTTACAATTAAATATGTCATTAAAAAATAACTAAATCTTTTACTCAAATTAGATATTATATTTCAAGCCTAAATTTAAAATATACACTGTAGTAATCCTAATCCAGCAGCCGTAATGGAAATAAAAGCATGAAATTAAATTCTATTATCCTGGTCAAAAATAGCAAGCTTAAAAAGATGACTACTAATAGGCATCATTACTCTATTGTTGGTAGTAAATTTGAAAAAAGCTTTAACATTAATATGTCACATTTTTAACTTCATCGTGTTCAATGTCAGTAAATAAATCTAGAAAACAGAACATTTCCTTTTAGCCCATTTTGTAATCCTGCATCTGACACCGTGTCTTTATTTTAAACGACTTTTCAAATTGGTAGAGCTTTGCAAATTATAATCATATTCCAGGTATAATCGATGTAAAAAACTCACAGGTGATATCGCACGCACTAAAAGAAAAAAAAAAGTGTTCAATAATTTAAATAATCTATAAAGCTTAAATATAAGCACGGCAGTAGAGAAAGAATAGAAAGGAAAAGGGCAATATAACATAAACTTTTTACAAAAAGTTTAGAATTGCAATTAAAAAACATATAAATTCCATTTTTTTAAATAAAAATATCCATTTAAAAAACACACCCTCTAATTTTTACTAATTTGTTAAAGTAAAGAAAAATAATAAAACGAAACCATTAATTTTTCTCTCACGACCATAGCTTTTCAGGAGCCCGGCAGTAACATGTAGGGAGCTTTCAAGGAAAACGCAAAATAATCATAATTAATATTTTTTGTTAATCAAATTAAAAATCTATGCTCGAAAATACGTTACCTGTTCCCTTCCCATCTCTGTGAATCGTTTGTCCTATTCACACTATTGCTAAAATAAAAAAAAATTCCTTGTGGGATAACGTCTTAATTATAAAACTAAAGTAAATTGCGACATGCCTTTATTCCGTCAAATTTACAGTTCTCAATAACACTATGTCTGGACAGAGAACGTGTCTTTCACATTTTGTTTTTTAAACGACGTATGTTAATATTGAAAGTTTATATATGCGTGAATATTAATTTCGTACGTGGAATTAGCAATAAAGACGATCTTTGCAAATATTTATAATCCATTAAATAAAAGTTGGATATATAATAACCCCTGAAATATATACTTTTCATTTTTGCTTTGCACGAAAACCTTAAATTCTTAACCACTAAAAATTTCTCCTAATTTTGTGCGTTCTCTAGTTCTTCTCTAATGCCAACGGCAATCAGACAAAAAGAGTGATCACACAAAACAATGAGAGATTTTTCGTGAACAAGAAATAATTTAAGGTTTTCTTCCAAAGTAGTAATGAAAAATATATAATTCAAGGGTTATATAATGTTAGAAAATTTAAAATTAATAATAAAATCAAATAGTTTTATGAAAATGAATAATATTTACATTACCTACTCAAAGTCAACCAAACAATCTCGCCACATTCCGTTCTTCTTAAAAATTTTAAAACTATAATTAGTTCATTTAAAAAAATGGCAAGTTAACTATAAAATTTTAGCCCTTTTAAATAACATCATTTTAGTATTTCTACAAAATCTTAAAAATGTAGTAAAAAGAGTCACAAAGTAAATGCGTCATATGTTTTGTCAATTCCACTGACCACACTGAATTGTATGGCTTTTCCAATCCTTTTAATTAGTTTTTACTCTTGAAAATGTAATTAATTTTTGACTGCTAAAACTTTTAGCTTTTTAGATTCGCGCCCTTTTTTCTCAAGCTGTGAATTTAAAAATAAATTTTCAAAATTTAGAATTTTTTTCTACAATGAACAGGTTTTCAAAGGTAAAAATAGAGCCAGAGTACAGAATAGGTAAACATTAATTTTTCCGTCAACACAATATCAACAAAGCGTTTTTTAACGCGCCCCGACAATCCGGCCTATTTTAAATCCGGCCAATTGAAACCCGGCCAATTTTAAATCCGGCCTATTTCAATCCGGCCTTTTTTAATTCCGGCCTATTAAAATGTTAATATCATTAAAAAACACTATAAATTGTTACTTTACAGTGTTTTACCATAGTAAAAAATCGTATGTTAACTTTAGTTTTACCCTACCTTACCTTTGCCAATCTTAATCCTACCAACCGGCCCCTGACCTCTTTAGCCCTACCTGACCCTACCCCTGACCTCTTTAGCCCTACTGTAAGGTATGGTATGATAGATAGTATAGGGTGTGGTGTAGTAATTTATGGTATGGCGGGGTATTGTAGGGTTTAGTATGGTAGATAGGGTAGTTTATGGTACGGTAGGGTATGTTATGGTACAGTAGGGTATCGTATATAATGGTATGGTATAGTACAATATGATATGGAAGGTATGTTATGGTACAGTAGGGTATCGTATATAATGGTATGGTATATTACAATATGGTATCGAAGGTATGTTTCGGTAGCTAGTACAGGGTGTGTTATAGTATGTTATGGTACGGTAGGGTATGGTATATTAGGTATGATGCGTATGGTCGGGTAGGACTAAGAAGGTTAAGGGTGGACTTGGGTAGGGCTAAAATTGTCTGGGTAAAGGTAGGGTAAAACTAAAGTTAACATACGATTTTTTACTATGGTAAAACACTGTAAAGTAACAATTTATAGTGTTTTTAATGATATTAACATTTTAATAGACCGGAATTAAAATAGGCCGGATTTAAAATTGGCCGGGTTTCAATTGGCCGGATTTAAAATAGGCCGGATTCAAAATAGACCGGATTGTCATAGCGCCTTTTTTAATCTTTTTAAATAAATGCTTTAAAATCTGTAAAAAAACGTGTTTCCGGCACTAATACAACATGGTCCTAATTTCCATTCCAGTGTCACTAATTACTTACAATTTGTTAGCCGAATTTTATGTTATTTTTTCGTCATTTGTAACACAACTTCAAAGTAATACTTAAAAAATAAAAAAAATGTAATTTAAAACGTAAAACTTTACTTAGAAAATTAAACAAAAACCCTTGCTTTTAATCCAAGAGGTTATAAATAGACATGAGGAACGGACCGGGCCTGAAAATTAGGCTCGGTGTGTTCCTCATGTCTCGTTATAAAGATTTTTTTGTCCTTTATGTTCAGCCAAACATTGCATGCTTAAATACCACAACCGAAACTTGTATTTGCTCAGTGGGTGTAATTTTACATTTTCAAATAATAATCATAACACTTGTAATTAACAGTAAAAACTCCTGCAACTTTATTATTATTTTATAAGTTTTAAGACGCCCCAACAATGCTCCAGATACTTCCTTGTAGAGAAAACATACACGTTTAACATCAAACTAAGAAGAGAAATCTTTCAATTAGACATCATATGTAAGTATACTATAGCAATTTTGGATAATAAATTTCCAATTATGCATTTTGTCATTAAAAATAAAATTAAACTAAAAAATCTTAATAAAATCTTCAGCCTTTCGAGTTTCTGAAATGAAAGAAATATCATATTCTTTTCAAATTAATCATACATGTTTCTACTGTACATATTCAAAGATATTAACTTTAAAATAAACTTTCACGTTTGCCAAATTTGAAAGTCAATTTCAACGATACTTAAGAACGGGTTTTTAGAAGACAATTACTAGAGTAAATAACTAAAATGAATAGTCATGTGCATAATTGAGTAGGACGTGCAAATTTTGCTTTCGAATTTCAACAGACCCTTAAAAACGGAGGCAAAAAAGGCAATATCAAAAAAAGAGAAGCCTGTAATTTATCCCATTTTACCTTACTGTGAATATAAAATTTACAGAAAATATAAAAATAAACTACGATTCAAATAAATTAGAACTGTATTGCAATACGTATTGTAAAGCATAGATAAAGAGTATCTTCACCTAACACCTTTCATATTCCAGTTATCCCGTTTCCCTACCCCTCCCCCCCCCTTTTTTATTTTACCAGCTTAAATCCCCATAAAAGTAAGGAAATGACGTTTATTTAAACTTTTGTATATTTTTTTAAATGTTAAACTAAAGCGAGTAAATTAAAGTCGTTCTCAAGTTTCCACGCTATTAGACTTCACAGTTAAGAAGCTTCAGAAATTGACAATTAATGCCGAGCTTTTTTTAAAAATTGTCAAACATGTCAAAGAGTAAATTCTACTATGAATTGAAATTAAATACAATAAAAATTATCAATTAAACTAAAAACTGCTTCATTTTCAGTTTTTTCCAACAAACCAATATTCTATAAAAAAGACTTTCCTTACATATTCAGTATAGTGTGTGGCACAATTGCAGTAAGTGCTACGAACAAACAACATCCTTTTCATAATTAATTTTTACCAAATCCGTAATGCAAAGTAGACACGCAACATTAGCAATTTTACTATTGATCCTTGAGTTTTATTTACTAATATTACTCTTGATCACCAATCTTTAAAAATTTAAACACCGCTTTATAGTAAGTGTCAGTTAAAATTATTAAAAAGTGTATTTGAGCAATAAACCTATTTTTCGTCGTGTGGGTCTCAAAACAGGAAGCGTTATTATTTTACAGTCGACCATACGACAATTTTGTAATTTTGATGTTTACTTCTATACTTCTCAACTAGTTCTTCGTACCTTGCCGACAATCAAGCGAAACTTTTGAATTTTAAGGTTTGAAAGCCTTAATTTTTATGAAACTATAATTCAAGACTATTATGACAATAGTTTAGCCCACTGACCTCTGACTTTTCAAATGACATCAATTATCTCGTATTTTGATTGTTTACATCAAGTAGTTTTTAGAGTTAACCGACTAGAAACTCTCCATCTTTTTGCGAATCTTTCCCCACCTCGTCAACTGGTATTTTACCATTCTTGTCAATGATGACCTTGATTAATGTATCCTCATAGATCATTGTTTGTTATATAAAACGCGGTTAGCGCCGTAACGGGTGTTCAGTTTGGAAATGAAAGTTTTGCTCGTGTTTGTTTTGCTTTTGGTTGTAGCTTCAGCGCAATATTATGGCTACGGTAGCCCATTTGGCTATGGCTATGGCAATCCGTACCGTTACGGTGGCCGACGATTTGGGCCTTATGGCGGAGGATATGGATACGGATTAAACCCGGGGTACGTTTTAAAAGTTGCTTATTTAAAATTTAATATAAAAAATGCTTTTATGTGGCGCAGCTATAAATACTCTGAGGTGATAAGGAAAGGGCAGCGAAAAATATGTCCACTAACCTTTAATTTAATTGAGTTAGTGGTGCGAACATTGAACTAGACCCATTCCCTACTAAACCTTTATAAAACTAAGGAAAGTCCAAGTTTCCAGAAGAAGAATTTAATACGGTAAAAGAGCAAGATAAACGATCATTGTACAATATTTTTCTTAAAGCGTAAAAAATTATTAAATCTTACCTAAAATTTACGCGCTTTTTAAAAAAAATTTTAGAACTGTTGTCGGAGCCGAAATTGGTGCCGCTCTAGGATCTCAGTTGGGTTAAACACCGTTAAGCGACCTTATTTACACTGATCAAATTGTTATTACAGTAAATGATGATTGTTTGAACAGAAAACTTTTAAATAAATAATAAAGTCAAATGAAAAGTAACCATAACTTGTACCTTATTAAAAAACTAATAGTTGCCATGCCATTTGATAAATGAAAAAATTTTAATAAACAAAGTTTCATAATAGATTTCCTTCAAAAAAAACAAACATGACTTGCCCATAAATAAAGTTCAAACCAACACAAACCTGTTTGTGTTAGGCTTATGAGTCGTTAAGAAAGAAACGAAAAATATAATAAACGAACGTATATCATAAATATTATTTCGGAGGCATTAAGAACACGAATGCCGCATCAAGTGGAGTGTAGATTAGAACGTTTCTGAATGGTTCTCCTCGCAGTGATATGGCTTTAATGGCTTCTTGGGACAAAAGTCCACCAATGATAGCGCATGTCGCACCTAACTGAGGCCCAGTAAACCTGAATATACTCTATTAATAACATCAAAAATATCAAAAGACAACATTAATAAAATAACACTCAACATTTCTGAAAATCTCCAAACCCTTTGTTTCTACGATAAAACTCACAGTCTGAATTCGGTAAATACACTTTCGTCAGAAGCATTATAATGACTAAATGCATCAAGTTGTTTCCTGTACTCCGTTTCTAACGCTTCATCTTCATACCCATTATATTTTAACAACGCTGAAAGTTTCAAACGTGACTAAAGACTAGTATATATATCTTATATTAATAAAAAGTTATAAACAAGAATAAAAACAAAATTAAATTAGAAAAAACTTACTTTTAATCAAGAAAAATGACCTGGGAACCAAATTTCGCAGTCTTCTTGACAAATGCTTAGTCGACACGTCAAAAGCATCAGAAAATGTCGGGAAAGGAAATAACTAAAAACAGTTAACTGTTTTGTCAACCTAGCGTATAACAAACACAAACTTTTAAACATTTACACGACTTACAACCATCTCTTTTTCTTCCTCTTCTGATTCTAACGTAACAACATCAACCCGTTTACCATCGTCTTCTGACTCCTCAGTTTCCAGACCATCCCCTACGTTAACATCTAGCTCGGCGGTTTCCACTTGTTTTCTCTTCTTTCTAAAAAGTAAAATACAGTAAAAAAAAACTAATAAGACTTTTTTAAAACGGAACCCCGGTTATAGCAATTTTTTGAATCCCCTACGAAAAACTGTACATATGCCGACCCCTCCAGAGCCGATTCGAAAATTTCACAGGTACGCAAAAAAACGACAAAAAAAATTCTACCTCCCTCTCCCTCCCAGGGAAAATCCGTAGCGACGCCCCTGATCGAGATTTCACTGAAATATATAATAAGAGAAATTTATTTTAATTTATAGCCGAGTGCGTTGTTAAGAAAGCACAAACAGTTGCAAAATATTGCTCCCCTACTTTAAACAAAGCAGAATTAATAAGTGTTTCAACTGTAAAACTTACACCATAAATCCTCTTCCTGTAAAATCACAAAATCCATACCCAGCAAAACCAAAAACTGAGCCGGCAATAAAAGCCACTCCTTCCTCCCTGCAAATCAAATTCGCCTCCGAAGTCACAATGAAATCTTGGTCCATGCACAAAATGAGATCAAACTTTTTGTAAAAGCTTCGTGGTTGATCAGAGAGAGGTGTAGTTTCGACCGTTATCTCCACCAAAGGATTCAATTTTTTGCAAAACTCCACAGAAGCTTCGGCTCGCTAAACAAAGCTATTATTGTTATGATTTAGTTTAGTGCTCTAGCTACAGCTATGTTATTATAATAAATATATTAATAAAAAAGTCAACCAAAAAACCGTAACTTTTTAAATAAATTCACTTTAATAACTAAAATCTTTCAAAAACTTGCATTGACGGCTTTGTGCGGAAACTCCGAGCTCATCATAAACTGAGACAGCGAATCGTCACCCGTGACAACTTTCTCATCCAATAAAGTTACTGATTTTGGTCCTGACAGTATTAAATTCTTGGCCACTTCAGCTCCAAGACCACTCAATCCAACAATAAGCACGGCAGACTCACGAATCCTAAATTTAGTTTTTTAATAAAATTAAGGAAAAACTAAGAAGTACAGAAATAAAACGTGCGAATAAATGTCGAAACCCCTAAAATTAAGAAACTAAAAAAATAATTATACCTGTTCTGAGCTTCTAATCCCCATAGACGAATCTGTCTATCGTATAACGCGGCTTCAGAAGCACTCAGTTCTCGCGATAAAGACGGATTTCCTTCGATTGAACAAGAGTGCAGTTTTCTTATTTTAGGTGATGGCTCCATAATATGTTAATTTTTTATGAATATAGAAACCCAATACAACAATATCCTAGCTAGCTGTTAACTAAATAACCTCTTATTTCACAAACAAATTTTTGTTTCTTTCCGCAACAGGGAAACACTTGACCAAAAAGTAAAAGAAGACTCGTCTAGAGCTTTTTAAAAGATTATTTGGCGCGCCAGTTTATAATTTTGTGACATTTAGTTCGCATAACTTTAAATATTGATTTAATCATACTGTTATGCACCTTTGATTTTTTTGCGCCGGATGTAAATTTAAGGATCGTTACGGTTTATTTTTGTGTTCGTTCTTCATGTCTATATGAGATTTTTCTTGCGTTAAGTTCAAAGTAAATAAATAATAATTAATAGATAGTTGAATTTAAAAAATTTACTAAATATGCATCAATTTAAGATATTTTAATAACACAACTTTGTTTTATAAAGATTTAAAACCATGCTAAACAGGTAATTGAACAAATCACCAATGTTCATGATTGTCCTGATGGTGGTGATGGAAGTGGTAGTCATCAAAGTGCTCATGATAACTTGGATATATGTAAACTGGATAAGTAGCGTATGCGTTTGAAGGTACATACGAGGTGTAAGTGTTGTAGCCTTGATAGTAATATGGAGCTCCAGATGACAGGCTGACTAAAAGAGAAAGGAACAAAAGTTTAAAAACTTTCGTCATGTTTAGCTAGCTAGACCAGAAAAAAAAACTGAATTTGTGCGCTTAACAGAAGTATTCCTTTTGCATTTATACTTTCCGCTGAAGCAAGTTCCTTTTATCATTTTTAAATTAAGCGTGAAACTTTATTGTAATTCGCATGATACAGCATGAAAATCGTTAAAGTTAATGTTGTGTGTCGTAATTGAGGTTGGTATATTAGAAACTTCGCTTTAAAACATAAAATGCGAGGTAAAAAATAGATTTCCAAATCTTTAACACATAAATTTATAAGTTACAACAATCATGTACAATAATACGATCTTTTTAAAGTAAACGAGTATAATAATGTAAAAAATATCACATTTTTAAAAGAAGACGCAAATATCAAATCTTTTCCAACGCGTTTTTTAAATTAAAAAAAAATTATTTGCATTTCTTTCCAGTTTTTATCGTGACCAAGACTTTCCGATAATGTTATATTGCCACCAAAATAAGCAAAGTTAAATCTTATCACTAACGACATAAAAAGAGTTTGAGAGATTTTGACAAGTGTATTTATCTTGGTAATGGCTTGACAAGGTAAAGGCGTTCACCAGTTTGCTCGTTGCTAAATATCGGTGACTTCATATAATGTTGGATAAGAGCTTGCATCGATGCGAATTCACGATTACCAATCTTGAAGCGGCCAAGATTCAACGTAACTTGAACTAAAAAGTGTTTGTTGCGGCCGTTTCCTTTCACTGATATTGAGTAGTCACCAGGCTGAAAACCAAAATACTATACATAAAACAAAATTAACTTAAAAAATCCGTTTTTTTTAAAGGCGCAAAGAAAACAATATGCTTCTTAGATAGAATAATGCTACAAAAAATAGTAAAACTAAAAAAAATATTAAAACATAAACATCTGAACAACAGAGACTTACGTTGCTTTCACTGTCTCGAACCAAAAAATCCCCTTCTACGCCACGCGAATTTAATTCAATATCGCTTTGTTCGCGCGATAATGGACCATAATACCATGGCTGCGACGCATACGGCCCTGACAATGAACTGGAGTAGTTAGGCCGTGAACTTGTTGATGGAGCTGAAGCTGTATGGGGTGATACGAACGCACTGCTTTTTGGATTCCTTTCAACAATCTACAACGTCACATTTACAGAAAATTTATAAAATATAAAATAATTAAAAAGATAAAACTACATACCTCAATATAATTTGTAGGAACCAAACCGACATCCCCCCGGGCGTTCCTTGCACGGTACCAATCCGGATCATGGGCTGGATGTTCTACTACGTCTAAACGCTCTCCTTTTTTGAAAGACAATTCCTCCGCGTTTTGGGCTTCAAAACTGTACAAAGTCACCACAATCTAAAGTTTTTTCCTAATTAGAATCCAAATAATAGTACAGGTAATTTAATACCCTTTAATGTAACCTACAATAAATAAAAAATAAGAAAATTTAAAAATTCCTTATAAGCCACTAATTTTTTACATTACATAAAAATTTAAAATTTGCCTACAATATATCCTCATAAAATGTAAGTTAATTAACAAAAGATTAATAATACTTTTTATTTACCTCCAAAATCCTTTCTGACGAATGAAATACATCCGTATTAAATTTTGGCTGCGTTTCATAACTAAGCTGTTGATTGAACCCATTGGGAACGTCGGAAAGTACGGGTTGAATTACCTCAGGGTAAACCGCCGTTGGAGGATCCTGAGTTTCATCTACATAATTAGAAGGAAACCATCCAACTTCCCCATTCAACTAAAATATAAAAATAACGGCAATTTAAATTTAAAAACATTTCTAAACAAACTTTTATTTATGCTCTTAAACTTCTGTACAAACTATTAGGTTGTTCCAAAAAGAATGACAGATTTTGGCAAAAAACCTAAAGTTAAAATCGGCCATTCTTTTTGAAAAAACCTCAAATAAAGAAATATAATAAATAAAGTCATATTTTTAACATACAGGGAAATTGTCAAAACGCATATGATATAGCTCAGAAAAATTCTGGGGACGTCTTGATTCGAAATCCGTTTTCAAAAGTTGCTAAACTTTTTTTGACCGATTTATGAGTATGATAGTTTAAAGTTTGCACTGTTTTCCTATAAGTTTCCCAAAACAGCGATGAAGAGAAACGAACGAGAAAAAGAGCGTGAATGGATAGAGTTATCCTTCGGTGATGCAGCCGCAGGTTTGGATCTCACGGCGTGTAAACCATTTACTTTTTGTAAATTTTTACTAATTCTCAATCAAGACTTTTTAAAGCTATACCATAATATAGTATAGCTAGCCTCGTTAGGGAAACCTTTTAACACTTTCTTTGTTAAACTGATAACAAAAATGCGGTTTTTGAAGTTTACAGCTTAGGCTTCTTTATAAGATTTGAGAATTGTAAAATTAAAAAAAAAACTCCGCTCCAAGTTTTTTTAGAGTTTTGAGCTAACTAAAAAAAACTGATCAAATTCTTCAAGTAACAAAATTATGTAGTGAAACACCTAAAAAGTAAAAAAAAACAAAATAAAACTTGCCTTCCCTTTCCACCAACCGTCCGAACTTTTGTCCACAACAACCAGATGATCTCCTTTGCCAATTTTTAATTCGTCTTCTCGTTGTGGATCATAGTTGAATTTAGCTACAGCGTATGACAATACTTCATTCATCTAAAATAAATAAATTATTAAAAGATAAACACAAAGTAAAACATTCTGCCAAAGTAAATAATCAAAAAAACGTGTTTACAGCGTAATATTATATAAGACGTATTATACAAGTTTTTCTAGTTTTTAATTGTCTTAATACTTAATATAGCAGTAAATTCCTAAATAAAGACAATAATGTGAAAGTACAACGTATTTTCACTATAGCAAACGTAATACAAAACAAACATACCTGCCCTGATTTGCGTCTTTGATTTATAAAAACCGGCTTCTAAAACGGAAACAGCATAAAGATTAAAAATTTTAATGATTATTCGGGCATATAAAGTGAAACCAAAAGAGACATGAACAATATCATGTTTAATTTTTCAACTGCGCATTTTTACCTTCAATAAAAACGATAAAAACTATTTAGAAAATAAAAAATATATAATTTCAACATATTTCACTGTAATTATTTTTTACCACACACGTAAAAAATCATTGAAAAAGTTTTCTTGAAAAAATTTCTAAAAAAATGAAAAAATGGTACGAAATGTCAAAACGCTTTTTGTAACGTAATGCCAAATGCTTCGAAACAAAAAACAGGCTTAAGCTTAACTTATAAATGAATAAAAATTATTACTTATTTTAAAAATGTTAAAATTCTGAAAACCACAAAAAGAATTTAAATCTCGTAATAATCTTTTTCTTAAGTTTAAATAATAAAAAATTTTGTTTCATTTTTTGTTTCAAACACTTCAGGTTATACAAAAAAAACTCAAGAAGTCAAAATTTTAACTTGTAATTGTATAATTTTTCATCAAAGAAAAATATCTAAAAAATTTTGCATTGAAAATAACAATGAGAAAGTAAAAATAAAAATAAAGGAGGTTTCCATGTTATCAGCGGTTTTTGCGAGAAAAAAGCCGGCTCGAATGCTTAAAAGACAGAGAATTACACCCGAGAATTCAAACACATCGAATTATCTCTGAATTTTATTAAATTCCCGTAATTTTTCGCTAGATATATTTTTTTAGTATTGAAAAAAACGAAAAAAGAAAAAACTATATTTTTTATGTTAGTAAGTTTAGTTATTATAATCAATGCTTTTCCATTTTTGATAAACAAAGGTTTGAAAAATGCCACTCAAATTATTTTTTTGGTTACAAAAAAGTTACTTTTTGGAAAGCTGCAATTTTTAGACAGAAAAACGAGAATTAAGAAAGCGTTGTCGATTACTGCCTTACATTGTAAGTGAGCGTTATTTTCCCCCAATATTTCGCTTAAGAAAAAGGTTTTATAACTTATATTTTATTGTTGCAGAAACTACGTGGAAATAGCTACACATTTTTAATTGTAAAAAAATAAGCATTTCGATTAACCTTTAGGTTACGCAGTTGCCAAGCACTGAAAAAGCTTTCCGCAAACCAAGTTTAACGTTGCTTATAACAAAAACCCAACCACTGCCAACTGCACTTGCTATTAAATTAAAAATAAAAGTTTTTAAATAATAAAACAACTTACACGTGCAACATCTTCTTCCGTATCTACTGCTTGGAGAGATGACTGTCCATTAAAAGACTTAAAAATCCCCTCTACCTTATCTAAGACACTTTCACGTTTTACAAAATTTGACGGTACAAAGCCGTCGTTTCCACTCGAATTGAGAACCTATAAATACATTTAAGAGTTAAGTTAAAAAAATTAATAGTCCCAATCAGGGCCGGGCGCTTCTGGGCCGCCCCAGAAAAAAAATTTTCGAAAAAAAATCGGCACAAGTAGCTTTTTAATGTTTACATCGCTAATATAATATATGATCTTTGAATTTACAAAAGCATTTTGATTTAATTTTTTTATTTGCGTCTATTTTATTTTACATGTTCTTCGACTTTTTTAACAGTTTTTAGTACTCATAAATAATAAAAAGTGTTATAGATGAAAAAAATGATAGAATTATTCAGAATGCCATACATTTAAGTTTCGACATATGTCCCAAATATAAATGTGAAATGTAACTTTTCTTACCTTCCACCAATTGTGTGAATTATCAATTAGTTTTAGTTTTTCTCCTCGTATAATTGTCAACTCATGAGATTCTTGAGCTTTATAATCGTATTTTGCGATTACAAAGCTCTCGTCTATCATATTCTATAGCCACATTTATTCAGAAAGTTGTAGGGTAAAAACAGAACAGTACGTACAAAAAATGCACATGAGTAGGGTTTGTGAAACTACCTATAAATAAATAAGCACAAGTGCTAGTTCAATTTCTATTAAACATAGGTTTTAATACATTGCGCGTTGAGCGATTGGAGAAGCGTTTTAAGCGTCCGGAAAAAAGAAAATCAATCGATCTCAAGGACAAGACTTTCCGAAAACAAAAGAAAACGGAATTACAAAAGCAAGAAAAAGAAACAAGAGCATAATAACCAATTTTTATCGTTAAACGACATAAATTAAAAACTTAAGTTGATTGAAATCAATGATAATTGCAAGCCATCAAAAGAGATGTAATATGCGCAGGACAAGTCCCAAATGTCGTTTTGTCCCAAATGACGGCGTACGAGGACATGTACCCAGGCAAAAATATTTTTCTTAAAATATAATTAAGCATAAAAAATGCAATTACAACTTAAATTAAAAAAAATTGTCACATAGAATTTTTATTATAATTTACAAAAAATTATTTATAAAAAATATTTTCAAACTAAATTTAAAAAACAGACTATTTTCATTCATTAATTAGGCATTGCGCAATTTTTATGTTCAAGTGACATTATTTCTGCTAAGAAAGCCCAAAAAGCATTTTTATCCTAACATAACTTTTAAAAATATAAAAACTAAACTTCTTTTTAAAAAATTATTGTTTTATAAATCCGGTTTACTAAAAACTACAAAAAAGGCCAGACCGGGTCTAGTTGACCCTCTTTCAAGTATACTCTAATTACATAAGTTGCGCCCGGGACTCTAAAAATGTATTCGCTAATATAAGATGCTTTCTGTGCTCTTTCTGGTTTAAAAACTAATCGGCATGAATTTAACGCGCGGATAAACCGCGAGACTATTATAATGAAAGAGAGAACTAGACTGAATACTTCATGGAGAATTCGAATCGAATTTTGTTATTAACTTTTATAAATTTACAAATTTTGAAATAAAAGATCCGGTTTTAGTCGTTTATTGTGTTTCTCAAACATTGAGATAAAGGTTACAGAATAAATAGCATTACCAAGTTACAAAGAATTATGTAGACTTAAAAAGCAATTGGTACCAGTCTAAGACACTTTTTCACGATTATGCTTTAATATCCGGTTTCTTGTAGATAAGTCGCCAGCTTTTCAACGGCCATTCGAGTTGCTGATCCAGCTCCGGTTTCGCCTTCAAATACGGCCAAAATTACTGCCGTGTTTGATTTGACTGCACAAAACCCTTGGCTGCCCTTTTTACCAAAAATCAAGTTATCTTCGACGCGTGGTACGACGTAGTGAAGACCTTCCAAATCAGAGCCAGTTGTAGGAACACTTTCAATATTTTTAAAGCTGGCTGCAAGATTTCTTAGCTCGGCGTCCGTTCCCTACAACAGTAAAATTACACTAGAATATATCATGTGTCTGAAGGTTTTCAAAAAATTTTTTTAAATATCAGTGCAAAAGTCACGCTAAAGTAAGAGGCAGAATTAATTACCAAATTTCACCTAAATACAATCATATTTTTGACCTACGTACCTTAAATTCACTACTTCTTGCCCATACTGAGCCATCTTCCAATCCGATTATTGCTGCCTTCTTGATGCCGTCTGAGCTATCCAACAAGTTATTCACATACGCGTCCCAGCCAGACATGTCGATCCTAAATTTAAATAAAAATAAAGGAAGGGCAGTTGAAAACGCGGATGAATCACGCATATATCATCTATTTTATACTTTCGTGGAGAACTATATCTTTGAGATTTAAAAAAATGATTTAATAATATTAAAAAAACATATTTTTTTAAAAGTTCTGTCATTTAAAAAAAATAAAAAAAAGAATAAAAAATATTTTCATTTTTTGCCAGACAAAAAATTTTTTAAGACATTCACCTAATGTCTTAAAAACACATTTAAAAAATTTTAGAGGCTCCATCTAAAAAAATAATTTTAAAAAATCACATATTATAATAAACTAAAAAAGTATTATAAAAATTAAGGCTTGTATCTGGAGCGTGAATATTTTACAAGACCTTTCCAGTAAATCATGATGAACGTAAAAGACCAGTGATGGTGAGGGCAGATGGTGTGGCGCGAAACGTACGCACAATTCGCACAATAACTAGGGCGATGGACTGAAAGGGGGGGGGGGGATACTTGTCTACCAGGAAAAAGAGTGTGCTTTTTACGCACTCACTTTTGTCGAGTATGCGCGGTAGGAAACATCAATTTTAAACAGTAAAAAACAGAACGTCGTATAAACAATAAGCTTAATAATTTTTTAAAGATGAAATCGCCGTTCAGTTTTAATAGTTAAAAATATTGAAAAAGGCTAAAACTACTATTCATTGTATATAAAAAGAATTAAGGCCTCAAATGCTAAAATAAACAGACTGCGGCCGGAATTGCGTGAATCACTCACCCAAAGCTCGAACCATTACGCGTTGCTGTGCTTTAAAATGTTTATAAATCTAAAGAACCTATATTTTCATAAAAAATATTCGGTAGAAAATTCACAAAAATAATAACTTTTTTAATCGTAGCGCGACATTTGGGGAAATTGACAAATGGGGAAACGACGAATGGGGAAAACGATAAATAGGGAAACGACATAAGGGGAAATTGAAAAAAAAATAAAGTATTTACCCAACCCCTGACCCTTTTACCCCGTACCCAACCTCACCCCTGACCTTTTTGGCCCTACCCAACCTCACCCCTGACCCTATTAGCCCTTCCCAACCCTTCCCCTGACCTTTTTACCCCTAGCTGACCTTATCTCTGACCCTATTAGCCCTACCCGACCCTACCCCTGACCTTCTTGGCCCTACCCAACCTCACCCCTGACCCTATTAGCCCTTCCCAACCCTTTTAGTTTTTAATAATACAAATATAAATAAAACCATGTTTTAAATTTTGTCTTACGAATTTCGAAATAAGAGTATAGTCCATGGCTTTTTTTTATAACTCATGAACCTTAAAAAATGAGAAAATATTTTTTTCAATGAAAAATAAATTTTAAGCAATTTATGCCATATTATTAAAAGAATTAATTACTTAATTAAAAAATTTTGGCAACTCGGCAAATTCAGCCCAAAGGATATTTATTTATTTAAATTTACTTGTACTCGTTTCAAAAAATAAGGAATGTACAAAACTCTGCAATTGGCACGAAAATAATTAGTTGTTTGACACAATAAGAAAAATTTACCAGTACGTTTGTGAAGTCGTACCCTGACGTTAATTTTTATACACAAGATTAAAAAAAAGCTAAATGCAATTCATAAAAACATAATTCAAAAAATTAAAATTAATAGTAGACAGCTATAGTATTCTACAGGAAAAAGTCGATGTAGTAAAAAGAAACGCCCACGCTGACCAAAACTACAATTAAATAGAAAACGGAAAAGCATATTTAAAGGGTTTAAAAATAATGCTATAAGATAAAAAAAAGTAATAATTTAGGCAAATAAGCGAAACGTTATAAAATTTGTGACATAAATTCCATAACAAGGCCGTAAAAAACAAATTCCTAAAATTTCAAAACTTGTTCTCCTTTCCTAATAAACGTTTTAGTGAATCAGACATGTAGAAAGGCTTTTCCGTCGTTCCATCGTTCGCCTCGCTATCTTCCACTAGAAATGAAATAAATAATAAAAGCAAAAGTTAATACAAAACCATGATTTTAAAGAAAGGTAAGCCACACACTTTTCCCAAAATATATGGCTGGGGACTTATACTTCGAATTTTTTTTCTCAAAAATATTTTTTTTTCTCAGTGAAAACCAAAAAATGGCGCAGGAAAATACAAAATTCTGCGCCGTTTTAAAAAGAGAGCACAATAAAACAAGTGACACTAGAGAAAAGACTCTCTCTTTCAAACGATATTTTTTTCAAATGGCGCAGAATTCTGTATTTTTCTGCGCCATTTTTTAATTTTCACTGAGAAAAAAAATATTTTGAAGAAAAAAATTTGAAGTATAAGTCCCCAGCCATATATGACGAAACTTACAAAAACATAAAAACGTTGTATCTACACCCATATCATACACTTGAAAGAAAAGATCACAGATAAAGTAGGTCCCTACAACAACAATGATAACTGGTACGAAGTAGTAATGTAAATTAACTTGAGGTAAATCGTCAATTCGAATTTGGCCAGTAAAGTAGTAAAACGCCAAAGCACCTAAAATTGGAGAATTAAAGATAAATCGAATAGTAAAAATCCAAAAAATGACCAGTAGATATTTATTCTTACTTATATCGTCCCACACGTAAAAAAACAAAAATATTTTTTTTTGAAAAATTTGTTCACAGGTAACTGCTATCTGTAAATCAAAAAAAAAATTCAAACCTTGTTTATAAAATATCTATGAATTCTCGAGGAAATGAACTTACCCATTCCACAGGTAATCAAGGCTTTCCCAATAAACAACAAAAATGCCGAAACACGATTTAGTACCACCACTCGGACCAGGTTACGACTTAATAACGAGAAAGAGTCTCTAGCAGACTTACAAAACCCTTTTCCATAAACTGCTGTCATTATATAAGCATTCTTAGACAAAAACCGTAAAACCTTTTCCAAACACCAGAATAAGCACGTCAACGCCCTAAAACAAAATACGATATTATCATAAGTTTTAAGATGAGAAACATTTAAAATTTTGTAAAACCAAATAATAATATTATAAAGTAACAATTTATAAACTTTTGTTGAATTATAGTAAATATTTTTTCAAATGTACCTGTAAATAGCTTTGCCTACAGGGTTTTCCACGTTTTTCAATTTGCTGTACACAAAGTCAAGTATAACCTGTAACATTTTCACAAAGCTCAGTATCATCGATCCCAATGCCAATGTCCCCATGTGGTAGCGCACTGCACGACCCATAGAACGTAAAACAGGAAACGATGGAACGTCTGTAGGCTTCCTAAATGCAAAGTAGTACGACGCAAATGCCCCAGCAATCGTCATATCTGATAGTGCTGATATAAAACAAGTCACCCAAAATAATCCAAAAACGTTGTAAGCTTGAAGTACGGATATTTGTTCTTCTGGCTTAGTGAGGTTCAGAAAACGGCAGTTGGCTTGCTTAAATATACGCGTCAAACAAAATTTCTTAAGATATAATTAAAAACCTACAACAACAAAATTAAAGCAAATACCTAGACAAAAACTTATAAAATTTAAAATCTTACTATTCCAACTTCAGCGCAATTACAAGATCGTCCATTTTGTAAATCCTGTTTGTTTGTATAACTTTGATACACACAATTTTCAGTCCCAATAGATGACAACCATATGGACACAGTCCCCCATAATGCAAATACAGCCATATAAAGAATAAACGGCAGAATTGGAAAAAGTATTGTTGAAAACATACTACCCAATGCTTTACTTGTCTCTCCAATCAAAGCTACAGCCAATGAAACCCTTGATCTGATAAATAAAACGCCGAAGAAAATAATGATCAATAATACTGCTAGAGTGATACCTGAAAACGTAGCAAATTATATACATAAAACATACGTGTATGCATACGCATAAAATAAAAAAAATAGAAACATGTTAAGTGTGCTATTCATAAAGTTTTTGTAGAAAAATTAAAGTTATACCACAAAAAAAGATACTTTTAATTGCGTCTTACCGAAAGCAAGCCAAGTGTTGGGCATTTCAAAATAAACACTAATAATTGGTTGAAATGAGTAGTCGTTGATAGCACCGTCTTGTATCAAAATTTGGTATTTGTGATAGCAAAAAACCGTACCACCAGCCAGTCCGAGAAGCAACAAAAGTATGCTCATCCAAATCATAAATCCTCCCATAAGCCGCATAACAAGAGTCCAGACAAAGCTAACAATAGCGCTCATTATTAACAGTGCCAATATTTGCCACCAGCTAACTCCCAAGTCTACCACAACGTTTTGAAGAACCCGGCCATCTCCTTGAGCAATCGCTTTTACAACTCTAAAAGTAAAACATAATTTGTACATCATTCAACTATTTTTCCAAAAATTATTGGCACTATGACAACTCGGGCGATTTTAGACTTGGGCAATCTCACCCCGACCCTTTTAGCCCTACCCAATCTCACCTTTGGCCCCTTTAGCCCTACCCACCTCACCCCTAACCTTTATAGTTTTATCCAACCTCACCCATGACCCTTTTAGCCCTACCCAACTATACCAAACCCCTCCCACATAACATACCATACCATGCCCTATGTTACCTACTATACCATACCACCTTGCCAAACATACCATACTCTACCATGTTCAGGGCCGGGCGGGGACTTTTGGTCTGGGGGCAGGGGTCCAAAAATCCACAGGGGGGAGCACGTTAAAATTTTTTCGAAAATTTTTTTCTGGGGGGGGGGGAGGGGTACCCACCCCCGTCCCCCCCCCCTCGCGCCCGGCCCTGACCATGTTGTACCTAATATTCCATACCGTACCATAAACTATCCTATCTACCATATTATAAAATACCATACCATACCGTATCATAACATACTATGCCATATCATAATGTATCATATCTTACCTTAGCCAATCTTATACAACACTACCGTGAAATATACATGGGTAGGATAAAGTAGGTAAGTAAAGCAAGGTTAATGGCATAGTATAGTCAAGTATAGTATTGTAGGGTATGATATAGTAGGTAACATAGGGCATGGAATGTATGTTATGTAGTATGGGTATGGTATAGTTGGGTAGGGCTAAAAGAGTCAAGGGTGAGATTGGGAAAAACTATAAAGGTCAGGGGTAGGGCTAAAAGATCATTTTTTAAGAGTATTTCAAAATTTTAGTACCACTCAGTACGACAAAGTTGAACTCTAAGTAGTTTAGAAAAAATTAGTACCACTCAGTACCAAAATCATAAGTACAAAACCTACTTTAATTTTAATAGTATTTGTTATCGCAATAATAAGTTATTATAATTAAAATTTCAGTACCAAATACATACATTTAATCGATTTTTAAGTATGGTACCACTTAGAACCATTTTTAATCGCCCGACTCTAAAATAACTCGAATCTAGGATCGCCCGAGTCTAAGATCGCCCGAGTCTAAAATCACCCGAGTTGAGAAGGTACGAAATTATTAGACGCCTGGCAACGCAAATCAAAATAAATTTAAATCACAATAAAATTTTTAATACGCAGATCGGCTTCAAACATAACATATTTGAAAAACAAAACTTACTCTTGAGTTTCACTTATTTTACTGTCCGGTGCAACCAAATTGTCTTCATTGCCAAAATTCGCCAACAAATTGTTTAAAGTTCCATTTTCGTTAAAGACGTTAGAGGCTTCAACAATCACTTCGGGCACACATCTGCCGAGAACTAAAATAAATTTTAGTCAAAAAGAACGTTCACATTAAATATTTATGATATAAAAGTTGTAAACATTTCAGCGATAAACGAACCATAATATACTTACCGACACTAGACGGCACGGTATATGCAGCACATTTCCCAGCCTTCACTAAATCGCGTAACTGAGAAAAGTTCTGTATAGTGTCAATATCGACGGTGTAATCACAAAAAGCATTGTCTTTAACAGACTGTTGACTCCATAAACTAGCTCGATTTAATGATAAGTATGACCAATACTTAGTCGGACATTTTTTCACACACATCTAAAACCAATAATTATATTTTTATTAAAAAGTTTAACGGTCAACAAGTTCACAGAACACGAACTTATTGACCATTAAAATCTACTTAACATCGTTACAAAAACCATTTTATACGTGAGGGGGGGGAGGGAGGGGGACAACGGCCCTGATTGTTACATACAAGCATTATTTTTCATAAAAAATTGTTAAAAAAACTTTTGAGTAAAATTTCGACTATTATAAGATTACATAAAGAATTCTACCTGAAAAGTAGGACATCCAGAAAGCAAAGTCGCATAAGATACGCATTTTGTAAGATCAAAAAAAAATAAATATGGTTTGTCAATAGTTTCATAAACACTTGGGCGATTACTACCACACGAATTTCCCCAAGAATCCGTTGGGTGCAATATTCGTTCTGGTTTTCCGTATTTGTAAGCTGAAAAGTTGAAAAATCATTTAAAGAACAAACTATTAAATGTCACGGTAAAAAACTACAACATTCATTGTTCATACATAAAAATACTAAAATACACATAATTCAAAAATAGAAATACACAGTTAATACTACGCAATTAAAATATTTTAAACAATATTTTAAACACTTACCAATAAACGCCACAAAAGTCCATCCAAATAAATACAAAATAAAAAGCATGCAAAATGGTACATCCGTGCATCCCCTACGAGTCAAAACAATCGGATTGAACGGTTTTTTGGCAGCCCGTTCCGGATTTTTATTAAGCAATTTTTCGGCTCGCCGAAGCTCAAAATTCGCTGCCCGTTGACCCACAACCGGTTGAACTACCGGCCTCTGAGTGGTCAGTACAAAATGGTGGCCGTGCAATTGTTTCGGCACAACTCCATGAAAATTTTGACTTTCGGTTGTTTTTTGTACTACAGGGAACTGATGAGTCTGATGAGGGACCGTTTCAATTTCATTGTATACTGGTTCAGCGGGCAAATAGTACTCTGACAAAGGTGGAGCCGACCCTTTTTGAGAAACCGCAGCGGTACGCCGACCCATTTTACAAGAGACACCCTCCTAGTTACCCGTCAATACAGTTGAATATAAACAGACTATAGTTTTATCAAAAGATCGCCATATAAAAACGCAAATCCAAATTTGTAACTCCAATATATCACTGGTTGTGCCGCTAAGCCTATGAATGTTAAAACTAAAAAATAAGAGAAAATTATAAATGTAACTTGACTCGCTGTTAGCAGTTCAAACAATATTCGTATCGCAACATCGGCAAAATATTATGTTCCTAACGCTATTTAATTTAAAGCTCATTTTTTTATATTTAAAACGACAAAAAAAATTAAATGCGAAAAAATATAAATTCCAAAAAATAAAAAAAAATTTTTTTAAATAACCTACTAGAAAACGAAACGTCTACTAGATCAAAAAAGAATAAGTATTACTTTTAAAACTTTAAAAAATTTGTGTTTTATACTACAATTGACTAAAAAGCCAAAATTAATCCAAACAAAAAGAAATTACATGTTTGCTTTCAAAGAGATAGAAAGCAAATTTAGAGACAAAACTTTTGAACAATTGCGCAAATTTATCTATATTCAACTTACTAATACGTCCGGTTTTATTCTAATGTTTAATACTAACTAATTTCTAAACATTTAATATGCATTCATGCACCTGTTGTTAAAAGCGATTAATACCCAAACTGTCGTACCAAACCAATTTTTACAAAGGCTAAAACTTGTTTCAAAATTTTTTATAAACTGCTGCTTTTCAGGACTACCCTATAAAAATTGAAAGTTAAGGCTATAGAACATATTATTATAATAAAAAATGTTCCGTTTATTTGCTACGTCATTTAACTCCAGAAGAGTCTAGCAAACAGCTAGTTACTTTTCGACTTTTTTAAATAGAGCGCAACCATTCTGAATAAATTTTAAGAACAAAAAGCATTTTTAGCTACCTGTATAAATTTTATTTTTGTACAATCATATTTAAACATCATTCCTAATGAACAAAACATACAAAGTTTATGTTTTATCGCATTAAAACAAAGGTTTTAACCGTTTAAAGACATCAAAAGTTAACGTTCAAATCTAAAAGCTTTTACAGTCAAATAGCCCATTTTAACAAACACTTTTTTATTGACTTAATTAAAAAAGCACAACAACTCACATCATTTAAGTTACATAGGAAATAAAAAAATGGGTATACAGTGAGTTCACTATTCTAACTATAGTAAGCGAAAAAAATCATATCCCACAAAAAACACCTATAGATGTAAAATGTCTGTCACTAAACCGCCTTCCACTACCCTTCGAAATCAAGTTAAAGGAAATGAGCGCAAAACAAACGCTTACTTTTATTCTCACTCAGCTGACCGCATTATTTTTTCATCGAGAAGCTGCCAATTTATACAGATTTATTTACCTTACAAAACTACAAGACAAAGACGCAATTTCTTTTCTAAAAAAGCGGCCATACAAAAACCATTATAGAAACTAAAAGATTTCAATATGTAATACATTGAAAAATGTAATAGTCTTGGGTAGAAATATAAAGAAGTTTCTTCAAGCGACACTTTCTAATAGATGTAAAACAACGACAAAAAATTAATTTGTCATTTGCTGCATTTTATTAAAATAACATTTTTTACTGCTTTAAAACTAAGAAATCAAACCAATCCACTTAGAGAACTAATAATCATTCCGATCCCTATATCTACAATATAATAGCGCAGTCCTAAAAGTTTTTACTAAAACGATGGCCACCCTTTCATATTACCCTTCAGCTATTTCAACGGGTTGCCAAACGTGAAATCCAGACCGCCAAGAAACCGTTCAAGTCGAATTCAATAAAGTTTGAGAAATAGGGCCTTTACAACGAAGTCCATATAGGATGAAAGAGCATCAAAAACCTATGGTATTCAAAATAAAACTTTAATTGTTAAAAATGCATAAAAAGTCTTAGTAAGGTGCAAAAAATTATTTTGATTTTTTTAAAAGTTGTTGAAATGCTAAGTCCAATTAAAACTAACGTCGATTTATTTTGAAGCAAATAAAAAAGTAATTTTCCCTACGTGCAAGTACGTTTTTATACGAACTTGGGCTATTTGGGACTTTTATCATAACTTAGGTCCTATCGAAAAAGTTCCTATATTGATGTAAACGCATTTTTAAGAACCGTGCCTGAGTAACATGCGGCATTTATCTAGCAAAAAATAACAAAAATCACTTTTTACCATAACTTTTGATGCTTAATCATCAGATAATATAGGTTTTGTTGTTAGAGCCCGATGTCATTTCGTGCGACTTCGTTGTTAAACAAAGCAAATATCAATACTTACCTTTGTTTTTTTGAAACCCAATTTTCTAATGATGACCTTTTTTCTAAAAGCAATATTTTAAAAAACGTAAAACACAAGGACAGTACCCGACCTGCCCGCTCTGATTGACTTCAGAATTTTCGTATAGGAAGATCATACAAATATAAGATCTTCAGCAAAGTATTAAATCGCGCTTTCCAGGAAATCTCGAGAAAATCGAGACCAAAAAATACGTTTTGAACTTCCCGCCAAATTTGCATTGTGTTTCAAGCTTTTAACTTTAACTTTTAGGAATTTTTCTTTTATATACTAGTAGAAAATCTCTAAATAGTTTTTTAAATTTGTAAGCGTATTTGGCCTGGAAAGTCGAAAAAGTGCTTGAAACATAATGCCAAATTTTTGGGAAACCAAAATAATTCAAAATTAAAACTCAAAAGCGCAAGAGGAAATTTTTTATGTGTACTATATATTAGAAATAAAACGAATTTATATAAAGACTTTGAGATGATAGCGAGTAGAACAGGTTGGATAATGTCCCTGTTAATCTAAATCATTATAAAACACATTTAAAAAAATTACGTGAGCGTACCTTTACCTGTAACAGTACTGTCGCCCACGTGCATAGCAGTTAACAGCCGTTATTGAAATTAACGATATGCGTTATATGAATGGAAATAACCCTGAAAACAAGTATCGTTATTTCTCTTTCAGTTCGAGAGGATATTTTCCGATTTCAATAGGTAATATTTTGCTGAGACCTCATCCAAATCGCTAAACAACAGAAGAATAGGTTCAGTTTCTGTAAAAATACATAACTTCAAAAGTATTAAAATACTGTGCATATAATTGTTAGAAAATGCAAGGACCAAAAAATTGTCACCAAGGTTATCAAAATTTAAAAACATAAAGAATTTTGTAATAATTTTATTAATAAAAAACTTGACTGTACAAATTTTGTTAAAATTATGCGATGAAACCAACAAAATCGCGTCAAACAAGTGTTATGAGCCGCATTTTAAATAAGTAGAAATATACAAGTCTTTATTTTTTGACATGTCATTTGATTACATTAAACAATTTAATTAGGTTCCCATAGATACGAGCCCATCAATTTTATTTACTATATTTCAAATAACAGTTTTTACTTCATTATATCCCATGCGAAAAAAAAATAAAAACTTGTTTTCAAGAATAAACTTATTGTTGAATTTGCAACACGAAAAAAAATCAATTAAAACTGTTTCGTAGAACTGAGTAAAATATCATTAAAAACAAAAAAAAATGCTTTACAAAAGCAAAATTCTCACTTTTACGACCGTGGGAAAACTATTATACCAAAAACATCAACCTGCTGAATGCCGTACCCACGACAACGATGGTATTAACTAGAATTAAGAAGGTTATTATTAAGTTAAATTAATTTCACAGTACGCTACAGACACACAAACTAAAGAATTGTGTCTAACGTATTTTCCAAAAGCACAAATACATATACACCTTTTAAAATTTTTCCAATAAAATAAGTACACAATTTGATTAAGATTCTTGCCCCGAAAAAAACAGTGGCGCAATCAGAATTATATAATAAATAAATCAAGATATTTTTTCTAGTCACCGTTGATGAAATATATTTAATTAGGATATTTTTAAAAGTAAATTAGATTTTAAAAGTTCAACCAATAAGAAAAGCGATTGATGAACCAAAAAAAGATGTTATTAAAAAATACAGTATGTTCTTCAAAAATCGTTTTCCTCTTGTAATTTAGGGACACATATAACATGAACGGCTTTCTCACATTTACACAAAAATTGTAAAAATAGACGTTTAATGTTTGAATAGCTAACATTTGGTAAAGTTTTACGAATTTTGGTCCGGTTTAGCAGCTTTACAACTGTATAAACATAACGATCATTATTAAGAATCGTATAAAAGATGGTATCTGTAAAGAAAAAAGGGTAAAGCGATTATTTTTTGTAAATTTTTGTATCATTTTAACTGCAATGTGTAAAGGTTGAAATTATTTTAAAACAGCCTCTGTTTCAAACGTTACTGTTCTTTTCAATTCTTTTTATTCCAATAAAGTGTTGTTTCATTTTATTTTTTAATAATTTATGTTCTAACGACTAGCTTTTAGGGTGCAACCGTAATTTTAATAAAATCACGTTACGGCGTTCTAATTTTTTTAAAAATTTATACTATGATTCAGCTTGTAATTTTACAGGGTTGCCATCACCCACAAACAAAAAACAGCCTTTTTAATTTCTCGAAAACTGCACAATTTGGCCAATTTCCGCTTTCATTAAGCTTCTATTGAAATCTCGAGCCTTTCAATTTCGAGCAAGTGAGTTACTTTTTACTGTATTAGTTAACACCCGTCTTTTTAGATTAAGAACAAATTGTTAGTTCAGCTTATAAAAATGTGTAAACGGATACATTGATAGTAAGCTAGTGTTTTGACATGGTTGTCTTTTAAATATATTAAAAATTATATATTTACAGTGTTATAGAATAGCCAGTTTAAGTACCTCTAATTGTTGGTTACGTATATGATTTTTACTTTTAAATACACGTTTAAATTATTTGCCCCGATTATTACAAAATATCACGTTTGGACACAAAGTTTTAAAAACCAAGTGTAATTTTCGATCGTAGACTGTAATCCATTTTCGCAATGAGGTTTAAAGTTGTCATTGACTAAAGACCTGCGGTTGTTTTTAACAATATTTATTTCAGTTTTCAGAAAATGAGGCAGCTAATTTGGAGCGTTTTAGCAATTTTCTACATGGGGTATGTTTGACAACCTATATTAAATAGGAAGATATGTAAATTTAACTTTTCGGTGAAGCTTTTATGTATATTTTTAATGCTCAGTAATATTGTGTTTTTGTATTACCAGAACTTTAATAATTAAGTAAGTAAAATTCAGTTTTTCAAATCAAAGCGTTTAAGTTTAATTGGAATGCTAAACCATCTTTCATCCTAAATCATAAAAAAGTTGGCATTTCGTTTTATTTCGGTTAATTTTTTTAATGTTTTGACATTTCGTTTCTTTTTGTCTTTTCGGAAAATTTTTCAGAGATCAGACTAATCGGAAAAATTTTAGTTTGAAAAATGTTTCGTTGTTACGTCAAACACTTTCTGACACTTCGTTTTTGCAGAAGGCTTGGTTTATCGACGCGTTCGTTTCGTTTTACACCGGCTTTGTCGCAGTTACAAACGTTGGAAAACAACGAAAAGTTGTTAGTGAAGGATCGTGAAAAAGTTATGGCCAAGATATTCGACACAAAGATTAACGTAACAGACTATGTGCTGGCACGCAGAGATGAGAAGATAGTCGAAAAGATTCATGGCGTTGAGGTATCAATTTTCTTCTTTTGAGTTTTTGTTTTTCGGTTAGTTATATATAGCAAAAAATTTAAAATTGGAGAAGTAATATGTAGCAAGGTTTGTTTTTAATGGTTTTTCGTGTTGCTCTTTATGTTTAAATCTTTACTGTTTTTTAGATAGCTGATCCATATCGTTGGATGGAAGACCCGGATGATCCTGAAACTCAGCAGTTTGTCGCCAACTTGAATAAAATTTCTGAACCTTTCTTAAAGGGATCAAACGTTCGTGGAGAATTGAAAGAAAAGTAAGGGTTTTATCTGCTGTTAAATTTGAAATTTAGGTTGACAAAGCTTTGGGATTATGAAAAGTATGGAACTCATTCAAGACATGGAGAATTCTATTATTACTTTCACAATTCCGGCTTGCAAAATCAAAGGTACGTGAGTTTCTTGTCGGGAAAATTATTTGTTTTTTATTGTATTTGTTAATTGAAAAATTTTAACGTTTTTAATAGAAGGTTTTTATAACGTATATTTTTAAATGATTAATGTTGGCTTATAGCGTATTGTACAAGCAGAAAAATTACAAGGAAAAAGGAGAAGTATTTATTGATCCTAATACATGGTCAGATGATGGTACAACTGCTATTAGACAAACTGCTTGGTCTAGGGATGGATCACTTTTAGCTCTTGGAATAAGCGAGAAGGGTTCAGATTGGGTAACTGTTAAAGTAAGTAATCTAATAACTACTTCCTGTAATTTTAAAATGATTTGTGGTTTTTACTTTTTCTGCTTTGTTCTCGCTGCTTTTAACGATAATTCTGGGAAAATATAAATATGATTTTTACATTGACTTGTAGGTAAACAATATCTTTTTCATAAATATTTTTCAGTTTCGCAAAAATAATGGTGAAGAACTTCTGGATGTTATCAAAGGCGTTAAATTTAGCGGTATCTCATGGTTAAAAAATGATGGTGTTTTCTATTCGGTACGTTTACTTTTTTTTAACTTTTATGTATGCTTTGTTTTTTTACTTTCTGGGTTAACGATTTTTTATTTATAGAAATATCCTAGCTACAAAAGTGCTCAAGACGGAGTATCAGTTGAAAAACACGAATATCATTCACTGTATTATCACAAATTGGGAACCAACTATCTAGATGATGTCTTAGTAGCGGACTTTAGAGACAATCCTAACAATATGGTGTATGTATTTATTTTTTTAATTGTCTGATTGGGTTTACTTAGGGATTAGATTTTACAAATTTTACAAGGCTTATAAATGACCTTTCTTCTTGTTCTAGCGGAGCAACTGTTTCCTTGGATAACAAGTTTTTGGTGGTTGATGTGTATAAAGGATGTGATCCGACAAATCAATTGTATATATTTGATTTGGAAAGTATTGGTCACAAAATTACCAAAAAGTTAGAAATGAAACCTGTTTTCGACAAATGGGATGCGAAGTACGATGTACGTAATTATTTTTTGTACTTTATTTTTTAGAATTGTTGGCTAAAGCTCACACTGAAAATGATAATTTAAAGACAGGTTAAAAAGTATTTTAAAAATAAAAAAACAACTAATCTATGATTTTTTTTAGCTGATTAGGTAGGGACATGTTTTCTGACTACTAAAACATTTTTTTTGCGGTTGAGAAAATTAATATTTACATTTAATTTTTAGTTTGTAAGAAATGAAGATAACCGAATCCTAATTGAAACTAACAAGGATGCTCCAATGTCGAAATTGATTCGCATCAATCTTCAAGAGCTGGAGAAAGGAGAAGCGGCGTGGCAAACGGTGTTGCCGCACGACGAGAAGCGAAAACTCAGTTTTGTTGTACCAGTCGCTAAAAACAAAATGGTCGTGGCGTACATGGAAGACGCGTGCGATTCCCTTTACGTTCATGATTTGGCCTCGGGAAAACAATTGGAAAAACTGCCATTAAGTCTCGGAGCAATAGGATCTATATGGGGAAGAATTACGTATGACGAAATATTTTTTTCGTACGAGTCATTCTTGGAGCCAGCTGTCATTTACAGAGTCAATTTTGCAAACAAAACTGAAGAAAAAGCACTAGAGTTGGAGGTAGTGCACAGAACAAAAGTGCCCGGTTGGGATCCTTCGAAGTTTGTGGCCAAACAATTATTTTACAGCAGCAAAGATGACACTAAAATTCCAATGTTTGTTGTACATCCAAAAGATATGAAAATGGACGGAAAAAATCCAACCATACTGAACGGTTATGGAGGGTTTAACAATGCCGAACAGCCGGCATTTTCTATATCTAGATGCATGTTTATGGAAATGTTTGGAGCCGTCATTGCCGTGGCTAATCTGAGAGGTGGCGGTGAGTATGGGGAGACTTGGCACGAAGCGGGGATGAAGAATCGAAAACAGAATGTTTTTGATGATTTTATCTCGGCTGCCGAGTATCTGATCAGTGAGAAGTACACTAACACTAAAAAACTAGCTATTCAAGGAGGATCAAATGGAGGTCTTTTAATGGCTGCTGTTTCTCAACAACGACCTGACTTATTTGGAGCAGTTATCAATAGAGTAGGGTAAGTCATTTATTTTTTTGAATTGCAGTGAAATCGTTATTTTTAAAAATTTCTACTTTTCAAGTTCTACCTATCTGTTTATGAAGTTGGAGTAACTATTATTTTTTAGAGTACTAGACATGCTGCGTTTCCACAAATTCAGCATAGGTTCTGCTTGGATACCGGAATATGGTAACCCGGATGAACCAACCGATTTTGAATTTATATATAAGTAAGTTTGACATAACTTTTTGAGAATATAGTTATGCATATCGGCGAAGTTTTTTTTCTTTTGGTAAACGAATAATTAATTTATTCATTATGTAATATACAAATATTAAAAGTTCGGGCTGACGCCCGTGGATCATGTTACTAGCTTACAGCTATAATCATTTATTAACAGTAGTCAAATATCTAAAGAGCGCAGCGGTCGGCATAGCGCCGCCGCAAACTAGCTGTTATCGGATGCTCTCTATAATTTTAATCCGGATAAAAAACGATTTTCGCCTTTTAAATATACAATCATAAAATGTTTAATGAGGTGGGCGTTACAGTTATTAATCTTACCCAATTTTAGGTATTCTCCTCTACACAACATACATTTATCTCCAGGACAGCAGTGGCCATCGACATTGATTATGACTGCTGACCATGATGATCGTGTAGTCCCAGCGCATTCGCTTAAATACATTGCCCAGATGTATTATACTCTTCAGAATTACAAGAATATTCAAACGAATCCAATAATCGCTCGAGTTGACGTGAAAGCCGGTCACGGTGCTGGTAAACCAACAAAGAAGGTGATCGATGAAATTGTGGACATTTACTCTTTTATACAACGGGTTCTGAAAATTGATGTTGTAGATTAATGCAGTTTTTGCTTTTTTTTGGTTTTTCATGAAAACATGTTCAGCATCAGCGGTCATTACGTTATAATAGGTATATTTATATTTACGTTATTGTGTTTTGTAATTTAATTTATAAAATAAATAGATTCGATTAAAAGGTGTTTTATAAAAAATTGACAGGAAGATGAGTATTCAGTTTGAGCCATTATTTTAAGACAACCTTCATAATTTTTTAAAAGATATTTCATTACGTATGTAAAAGAAAAAAGTCCTTGATTATAAAAAGTTAAAAATGTACAACTGATAGTAATGTTCAGCATGCAAGCATTTATGTTTTTGGGAATATTAAATATCGTCAAATTCGCATCAACACACTCTGTGATTTATTTGTCATAGAGTAGAATCATAAAACAAATAACACGAAATCACTTTATGTCCACATGAAACTGCTTTAGCCATAAAAACTATTTGTGAGACTAAAGCTGCATTTTAATATCTGAACATTTTGAAGCGTCTCAAGCAGTCCGTCAACCCTTTCTTTAACCGATGAATCTTTACGTTGTTACCCCTAAGGTAGGTACACTAACTTATTAAAAAACTTTTTTTGCAAAGTTTAAAGTTTTCTTGTTATAAATTTTCCACGTCATAATTAAACATATATACTTTATATGAGTGTCATACGTTAAAATCATTAAATAATTCCTAAGCCTAATTTCAGATACCTTGCCTTGTGCTATTTGGATGCTGCATTTTTATTCATTTGGCTATCTTTATTTACGGCTGTATTAATTTAGTTTGGTATATAATGGCTTTTACGTTCATAATGTGCATTTTGTACAGCTTTGCTATTGCATTCACAGTGTTAAATATGCAACGATGTAGTACTGTTGTTGTAGCTTTAGAAGTAAGTCAAGCTCCAAAAAAGGTGCCAACCTGATTCGCTCTGATCGACTTCAAAATTTTTATATAAAAAGATCATGTAAATATAATATCTTCAGCAAAGTACTAAATTGCACTTTCCAGGAAACCTCGAAAAAATCGAGATCAAAAAAATTACGTTTTGAATTTGCCGCCAAATTGGCATTGCGTTTTAAGCTTAAAACTGCTATATTTTTAGGTTTTTAATAATTTTTCTTTGATTTACTAAGAGAAAACTTTAAACTTACCAACATTTTTTAATTTTTGAAAATACATAGTTTGTTTGAAAAATCTAAAAAAATGATAAAAAAATGCTAAATTTGCCAAATTGGCGGAAAACTCAAATATTTAAATTTTAAAACATAAATGTGTACTATTAGTGGTGCAAAGAATTTATATAAAGGCTTTGAGCTGATTCTGAGCGGGGCAGAAGGAGAATTTCCTTCTAAATTTTGTGCATTAAACGAGATTCTTCGTTTCTATCATATAATGTTTCAACGCAACGTAATACAATATATCTGTTTAAAGGTGTTTATGTTATTTCTTCAATTTGTTGTGTTCATACTCATCATAATTATCGTGGCTGGCAAACCGGTAGAAGGTATTGATATTGTTTACGAAGTTTTTCCACCAGGCGAAAACTTTATACCAAGTAAGTAGAATAGTTACTTGTAATATGATAAGGCCGTTAATTATAAGCAATAAAAGTTTGTTCAAGTTAAATAAAAAATCAAAATGTGTTTCAAAACCAACCCGAGGCTCTTGTCGCTTATATTTAAACAGGAAAAACTTTGAATTTCAAATATAATAATATCATAAGGAACACTTCACAGCACTTGTAAAAATTATTTCAGCGTACACTACTTTGGCGTGGGCCTTATTGATTTGCATGTTTTTACTATTATTTATCAACCTGTTAGGTCTTCTGGCAACTTTGTACAACGTTTCTTATTATAAATATTACGAAGAAGACCAAATTGTAATTCGAGGATAACAATAAACATTATTTTAACAGCCGCGCACACATAAGTTTAAAACCATCCAAAGGCTTAAAAGTGTACTTTTAACAAATAAATTGTATTTGCAGTTTCAGAAAATTGTGCTAAGGGTTCGACTTTTATGAGCCGTTATTGTAGATCCATTACTCGTCGAGTTACACTAATATAACTATTTTCTTACTATAGTATACAGGATAAACATAAAATCAAATACCACAAAAAATCTCTTTATAAGATAGCGTCGAAAAACCAGTGTGAGATGTCAATTTTAATGGGCTTTCAGAATCTGTTCCGGCTGTTATTGTAACACCATTATTCGACGAGTTACAGTAATTTAAATCCTTCCATGCTATATTATACATGCTGAATATACGATCGAGTACTACAAAAAATTCCTTTATAAGATAGCGTCGAAAAACCAGTGTGAGATGTCATTTTTTATGGGCTTTCAGAATCTGTGTTGGCTGTTCTTGTAACTCCATTATCCGTCGAGTTACAGTAATTTAAATCCTTCCGTGCTATATTATACATGCTGAATATACGATCGAGTACTACAAAAAATTCCGTTATAAGATAGCGTCTAAAAACCAGTGTAAGATGTCAATTGTTATGGGCTTTCAGAATCTGTGCTGGCTCTTGTTGTAACTCCATTATTCGACGAGTTACAGTAATTTAAATCCTTCCATGCTATATTATACATGCTGAATATACGATCGAGTACTACAAAAATTCCTTTATAAGCTAGCGTCGAAAAACCAGTGTAAGATGTCATTTTTTATGGGCTTTCAGAATCTGTTCCGGCTGTTCTTGTAACTCCATTATTCGACGAGTTACAGTAATTTGAATCCTTCCATGCTATATTATACATGCTGAATATACGATCAAGTACTACAAAAAATTTCTTTATAAGATAACGTCGAAAAACCAGTCGAGTTACACTAATATAACTATTTTCTTACTATAGTATACAGGATAAACATAAAATCAAATACCACAAAAAATCTCTTTATAAGATAGCGTCGAAAAACCAGTGTGAGATGTCAATTTTAATGGGCTTTCAGAATCTGTTCCGGCTGTTATTGTAACACCATTATTCGACGAGTTACAGTAATTTAAATCCTTCCATGCTATATTATACATGCTGAATATACGATCGAGTACTACAAAAAATTCCTTTATAAGATAGCGTCGAAAAACCAGTGTGAGATGTCATTTTTTATGGGCTTTCAGAATCTGTGTTGGCTGTTCTTGTAACTCCATTATCCGTCGAGTTACAGTAATTTAAATCCTTCCGTGCTATATTATACATGCTGAATATACGATCGAGTGCTACAAAAAATTCCGTTATAAGATAGCGTCTAAAAACCAGTGTAAGATGTCAATTGTTATGGGCTTTCAGAATCTGTGCTGGCTCTTGTTGTAACTCCATTATTCGACGAGTTACAGTAATTTAAATCCTTCCATGCTATATTATACATGCTGAATATACGACCGAGTACTACAAAAATTCCTTTATAAGATAGCGTCGAAAAACCAGTGTAAGATGTCATTTTTTATGGGCTTTCAGAATCTGTTCCGGCTGTTCTTGTAACTCCATTATTCGACGAGTTACAGTAATTTAAATCCTTCCATGCTATATTATACATGCTGAATATACGATCAAGTACTACAAAAAATTTCTTTATAAGATAACGTCGAAAAACCAGTCGAGTTACACTAATATAACTATTTTCTTACTATAGTATACAGGATAAACATAAAATCAAATACCACAAAAAATCTCTTTATAAGATAGCGTCGAAAAACCAGTGTGAGATGTCAATTTTAATGGGCTTTCAGAATCTGTGCTGGCTCTTGTTGTAACTCCATTATCCGTCGAGTTACAGTAATTTAAATCCTTCCGTGCTATATTATACATGCTGAATATACGATCGAGTACTACAAAAAATTCCGTTATAAGATAGCGTCTAAAAACCAGTGTAAGATGTCAATTGTTATGGGCTTTCAGAATCTGTGCTGGCTCTTGTTGTAACTCCATTATTCGTCGAGTTACAGTAATTTAAATCCTTCCGTGCTATATTATACATGCTGAATATACGATCGAGTACTACAAAAAATTCCGTTATAAGATAGCGTCTAAAAACCAGTGTAAGATGTCAATTGTTATGGGCTTTCAGAATCTGTGCCGGCTGTTCTTGTAACTCCATTATTCGTCGAGTTACAGTAATTTAAATCCTTCCGTGCTATATTATACATGCTGAATATACGATCGAGTACTACAAAAAATTCCGTTATAAGATAGCGTCTAAAAACCAGTGTAAGATGTCATTCTTTAAGGGCTTTCAGAATCTGTGCCGGCTGTTCTTGTAACTCCATTATTCGTCGAGTTACAGTAATTTAAATCCTTCCATGCTATATTATACATGCTGAATATACGATCAAGTACTACAAAAAATTTCTTTATAAGATAACGTCGAAAAACCAGTCGAGTTACACTAATATAACTATTTTCTTACTATAGTATACAGGATAAACATAAAATCAAATACCACAAAAAATCTCTTTATAAGATAGCGTCGAAAAACCAGTGTGAGATGTCAATTTTAATGGGCTTTCAGAATCTGTTCCGGCTGTTATTGTAACACCATTATTCGACGAGTTACAGTAATTTAAATCCTTCCATGCTATATTATACATGCTGAATATACGATCGAGTACTACAAAAAATTCCTTTATAAGATAGCGTCGAAAAACCAGTGTGAGATGTCATTTTTTATGGGCTTTCAGAATCTGTGTTGGCTGTTCTTGTAACTCCATTATCCGTCGAGTTACAGTAATTTAAATCCTTCCGTGCTATATTATACATGCTGAATATACGATCGAGTACTACAAAAAATTCCGTTATAAGATAGCGTCTAAAAACCAGTGTAAGATGTCATTCTTTAAGGGCTTTCAGAATCTGTGCCGGCTGTTCTTGTAACTCCATTATTCGTCGAGTTACAGTAATTTAAATCCTTCCATGCTATATTATACATGCTGAATATACGATCAAGTACTACAAAAAAATTTCTTTATAAGATAACGTCGAAAAACCAGTCGAGTTACACTAATATAACTATTTTCTTACTATAGTATACAGGATAAACATAAAATCAAATACCACAAAAAATCTCTTTATAAGATAGCGTCGAAAAACCAGTGTGAGATGTCAATTTTAATGGGCTTTCAGAATCTGTTCCGGCTGTTATTGTAACACCATTATTCGACGAGTTACAGTAATTTAAATCCTTCCGTGCTATATTATACATGCTGAATATACGATCGAGTACTACAAAAAATTCCGTTATAAGATAGCGTCTAAAAACCAGTGTAAGATGTCAATTGTTATGGGCTTTCAGAATCTGTGCTGGCTCTTGTTGTAACTCCATTATTCGTCGAGTTACAGTAATTTAAATCCTTCCGTGCTATATTATACATGCTGAATATACGATCGAGTACTACAAAAAATTCCGTTATAAGATAGCGTCTAAAAACCAGTGTAAGATGTCAATTGTTTTGGGCTTTCAGAATCTGTGCTGGCTCTTGTTGTAACTCCATTATTCGTCGAGTTACAGTAATTTAAATCCTTCCGTGCTATATTATACATGCTGAATATACGATCGAGTACTACAAAAAATTCCGTTATAAGATAGCGTCTAAAAACCAGTGTAAGATGTCAATTGTTATGGGCTTTCAGAATCTGTGCCGGCTGTTCTTGTAACTCCATTATTCGTCGAGTTACAGTAATTTAAATCCTTCCGTGCTATATTATACATGCTGAATATACGATCGAGTACTACAAAAAATTCCGTTATAAGATAGCGTCTAAAAACCAGTGTAAGATGTCAATTGTTATGGGCTTTCAGAATCTGTGCCGGCTGTTCTTGTAACTCCATTATTCGTCGAGTTACAGTAATTTAAATCCTTCCATGCTATATTATACATGCTGAATATACGATCAAGTACTACAAAAAATTTCTTTATAAGATAACGTCGAAAAACCAGTCGAGTTACACTAATATAACTATTTTCTTACTATAGTATACAGGATAAACATAAAATCAAATACCACAAAAAATCTCTTTATAAGATAGCGTCGAAAAACCAGTGTGAGATGTCAATTTTAATGGGCTTTCAGAATCTGTTCCGGCTGTTATTGTAACACCATTATTCGACGAGTTACAGTAATTTAAATCCTTCCATGCTATATTATACATGCTGAATATACGATCAAGTACTACAAAAAATTTCTTTATAAGATAACGTCGAAAAACCAGTCGAGTTACACTAATATAACTATTTTCTTACTATAGTATACAGGATAAACATAAAATCAAATACCACAAAAAAAATCTCTTTATAAGATAGCGTCGAAAAACCAGTGTGAGATGTCAATTTTAATGGGCTTTCAGAATCTGTGCTGGCTCTTGTTGTAACTCCATTATTCGTCGAGTTACAGTAATTTAAATCCTTCCATGCTATATTATACATGCTTAGGCTTAGGCTTAGGCTTAGGCTTAGGCTTAGGCTTAGGCTTAGGCTTAGGCTTAGGCTTAGGCTTAGGCTTAGGCTTAGGCTTAGGCTTAGGCTTAGGCTTAGGCTTAGGCTTAGGCTTAGGCTTAGGCTTAGGCTTAGGCTTAGGCTTAGGCTTAGGCTTAGGCTTAGGCTTAGGCTTAGGCTTAGGCTTAGGCTTAGGCTTAGGCTTAGGCTTAGGCTTAGGCTTAGGCTTAGGCTTAGGCTTAGGCTTAGGCTTAGGCTTAGGCTTAGGCTTAGGCTTAGGCTTAGGCTTAGGCTTAGGCTTAGGCTTAGGCTTAGGCTTAGGCTTAGGCTTAGGCTTAGGCTTAGGCTTAGGCTTAGGCTTAGGCTTAGGCTTAGGCTTAGGCTTAGGCTTAGGCTTAGGCTTAGGCTTAGGCTTAGGCTTAGGCTTAGGCTTAGGCTTAGGCTTAGGCTTAGGCTT